ATAGGAGCGTATCCATTCCCTCATACCAAGCCAACAAAATCGTTATGCTATGAGCTTGATGTTTGATCGATCACCTGGATGAGAAAGCTAGTTTAATTTATTGATGACGTTCCGTCGACAATGTCTCGGCACGGTTGTACGATCACCACATGTAGATGTGTCATATAGCAAGGTTTACTCACCCGCTTTCATTCGATTGATCCTTAGTTTCGGTACTGTCGAAGATAATTCGTGTTGAACATCAGTGTTTACTTTCGGAGCTGGGCGTGTTTAAAGAGGTTGGTTACTTGGAAACTGATCAAGGAAGTTATATGGGACAAGACGTCCGCCACTAGATTGTTTTCCTCAGTAATGTATTGTATATCTGAGGCAAAACGAGAAAGGTAGTCTACCTTTTGAGACACTCGAGAGGAGTACTCGTCAGAAAACTAGCTTCAAGAGAAGGTAAAAGGATTTTTATCTGTTAACAGAGCGAATTCTCGGCCTTCCACATATAGTGTTGAATGTGCTGTTCATCACAATACATGGCTGACTCCCATACCAAAAGTGCTATACCTCGATTCGGTGTCCAGTAACCGTCTCAAGAGGAATGCAAAAGGTTGCCAGCAGATACTGATGGGTGCTTTTATGTTCTGGTGTGCCAGAATAGTTGGTTTTATGATGATTTCCCTGACTAAGGAGAGTGCCTTTTTGCGTTGTCATCCGAATCGATGATTTTCGCATGTATACGAAGTTGATCTCTTAAGGGTTTCATGAGATGCTCACATTTTGATATGAACCGTCCATTTGGCGTCAGTACCGACGAGATAGCAAACTTTCGCCACCACATGAGTGGTGTATAACAGACGGCTATCTCGCCGACTACGGTTGCTGTTAGAGCGTGCCAGTGGGGAAGTTTCCCGTGTCGGATGGTGTAGAGCTTGAGAAGCTTCAGGATCTTCTGCAAGTTCTAGAGAACCTACCACATTTATTGTGTTACCAGTACCAACTAGGATTATCTGCCTCCTGTAGTCCTGAAACAGATCACTTTTATGACGAGCTTTTTCAAGAGGTTTAGGTGCTTCTACGATTATGATGAATGTTAAGGTAACGAGTGAGTGTACGACAGAGGTCTGTAACGTCGTTTTATGTCGTTTGAAGCTTTTCTTTGACAGAATAAACCTCGGTGCCGGGGTTTCTGGTGATTTCCAGAATCTGATCTTCAGATGTAGCCAAGACAAGAACCGCTCACACAAGTTGAGGAAGCGCAGACAAGAAGATCAGTCCAAAATAACTGTTGTCAAGGGTCTGTTGAACTGTGACCTCTCACATTCTTAGCCACATTTCTGTCTCTGAGACGTGTTGCAATTCCATGTTGTGGAAATGCTGGTCTAACTTTTATCGGTCGGTTAGGTCTTCTTTGAAGTGTCGTCAAGCTACTACTAGTGAATATATTGGTTTGACGTGCCTGTCACGATCCCGCGTTATCCCGTTCACTACCGCGAGGAATTGCGCAGGCGGGCATATCAGGCAGTGTTCGTGGAGGTGTGTTCCTGTGTAGCAGAATATAGTATTCTAATTATAGTATGAATTAGGAATTCCAGGATTAACGCAATTGAATTAAGAAGACACAGGCACAACGAATGTACTGTATTTAGAATTCGAAATCGAGCATTCAACAAGTACAAAAGAATCATTAGTTAATTCAAACACCACATCTGCCACAGCTTAAATAGAAGTATAAGTGTTTGTAATCGGTTGTACGTCTTCTTGTTAAGTTCATCCTGAGTCTGTCCGACATTGTATAAGATAAAAACTTTGTAGTATCTAGAAAGTGCTCATTAGTATTGGAATTAACAAACGAAATCGGAACAGACTCACCTGGAATTGTATACAACCAGCATGTCGGTTTTGTAATGAAATCATTAATATCTAGAATTCCAACCATAGATTTTTCAACACTATCCCCCCCCCACGAAATAATGTTGGATCTTTATACTCCCAAGTTATGAATAATGTGGCTTCATTTAAAACATATATCTCACATTGTTTAGAGTAAACATTAGAACTGTTTTTGTGATAAGAGTAAACAGCAGTTGATATGAAATCATCCGAAATATAATAAAACTCGAGGTCACTTAGTACTCGTGCTTCGCATTGGGCAGGTTTTTCACGAAGACCAAATACATTATGAGGATAGGTAATATATGATATGACATCAGGATTTGATTCTTCTGAAATATTCTCATGAAATTCATCAGGACTGTCGTTGCAGAGCGTAGGATCGTTAGAGAAATCAGCATCTATCCAAACCACATCAGGTTTTCGATCATGATTAGGTTCATTTAACATATTTTCCTCAGAATTGCAAGTAATTTCATTAGAAATATGTGAATCATTAGGAAAAGTCATACTTGGTACAATAGCATGAGAATTCTGATAAATCGGTTGATTAGGAAATGTTGTCTCACAAGAATTCTGGATTTCATTTAACTCTGAACTGCCATATGACTCTGCACTGTCTTTTGAAATCGTTGATAAAGATAAATGATCATCATGAATACTCGACTCAGTAGAATCAGAATTACAAGACTTAATATTAATTGCAGTAAGATGAACATTAGCATTACAAACTGACTGAACTTGTCCAATATCACGACATTTGAAGCATTTAGAATTATGAAATTTACATGAATTAGAAGAGTGGAACTTGCAACAGGACAAACACTGACCAAACTTGTCCCCATCCTCGTGAACTGCATCCAAATTCAATGAATTGTCTGCATAACCTTGAGTATGCACTAGGTTGAGATGACGTAGTAATGTAGTGGACTTTTTTATATCCTCATGAATCATTTTACGAAATCTTCCTCCTTTACGACATTTGAAATTTGTATACTGAGCATAGTCTAGCAGTAGATCCTTGAGAGCTGTATAAGAAAGCGAAATGGGTTTTTCCGGCATAGCCAGAGTTCTTAATAAGCTGTATGCTTCTTTTCCAATGAATGTGAGGAAGTGTGCCACAATATTAACATCCTCATCATCTTCCTTGGTCATAGCCCAGATTTCGAACCTTTCAAAGTAATCTTCTAAAGCTTCTGAAGTTGAATGAATATCTAACTTTTCCATTGCAGGCTCCATCGCGACGCCAATATAGTATTCTAATTATAGTATGAATTAGGAATTCCAGGATTAACGCAATTGAATTAAGAAGACACAGGCACAACGAATGTACTGTATTTAGAATTCGAAATCGAGCATTCAACAAGTACAAAAGAATCATTAGTTAATTCAAACACCACACAGAACCAGGCCTCTATTCATCGGGGCATAATGGCATGAGTTGAAGGTTGAGAGGCGAAATAGTCTTAATCTTAAATAGCTGAAGGGTCTGTTCCTTCATAACGAAGATAACATGTACTGAAGGACCAAAACTTATCCAGAAACGTAAGAAATATCACTACATGTAGAAATGAAAACTAAAAAACGGTATATAATGTTACAACATGTGACGGACGCACAGTTTAAATTCGGTGTGCCAGATCATGTCGAGCTCAGAACTAAATATGTCACAGTTATCCAGAGGTTGACAACGCTTTTAAAAGTTATACCTTTATCATCGATATATACCGACCCATGTGGATCAGGAGTCAGAAATGAGGGAGTTCGAAGATATATTTTGAAAGCTATCAATAAATCGAGAAGCCAGAGTTCATGCCCGCCACTGCCATAAGGTTTTAGAGCCTGTTATGTGGGAGCTTCTTCTGTTCCGTTTAGAACCATATGAACTATTTGCTTTAAGGATATTGGATATTGAAATTGAAGGTGACACTAACGTGGGATGTAGGGTTTGTTGCGTTATATTGTGATTCCTCGTAGTCTTGCGGTCTTGGTAAATGTCTCGGGTCCCATTCATGCCAAAATTACTATCAAGTGATTAGTTTTGACAGCGTTAAACATCTTTTCAGGCTAACACATGTCAATTGTATTGATACGTATTTTTCTTGTATATATGAAATATCGTAATTAAATGTTGCTTGGTTTTCCACGTAAAACTGTGTATGATGCTACTGCACACTGCGTTACTTTTAATTTTACTCAAATCAGGTGTTATTTGTTGCAGATCTAATGTGCTCACCACTCCATCAGTCGTAGAAAATCTTCCACCCAAGCTCCCAACTTTGGGGGAATTTTTGGGAAATCCCCATAGTGAAATAGCCTTCACCAAAGTTTGGGGTTTTTGTGCCATCCTCCCAAAGTTTACTATAGCGGCTTCCCCAAGATGTGCCAAATTTTCCCCAAAATTGGGAGTTTGGGCGGATACACATTTAAAATTGCGTCCTAGAGAATCAAATTTCTGGTTGTTCTGTCTTTGACAACTGTCTTGTCTCGGGTTAGTCTCTTAAACTGATGGAGGACTGAACTGTCGTCGATTGAATATGTGCTACGCCTTTTTGGGAAAAAAACAGTCAAACCAATCGTGTTTCAGTCCTCAAGTGTTGTTGAGCACAGCTAATCTTCTAATACATATCATAGATAAATCAACAAGGCTCTCTTCTTATGATGTTTCAAAGCCCTATAACCCAGTCCTGTCTAAGATGGGGTACTAGTGAAAAATCTGTTGTTCTACGGAAATATGTGTTTACAAAACTTTTCATAAACGTGTCATATCTGGGTTGGTTCACTCTTTCATATCAGCGCACTTGTTCCTTACATTACTTCTTTTTTAGGTGTCATTACCAAGGTTTGATTTGATAATTTCGAATAAATTGAGCATTGGGTTGATTGTTATAAATAAAAATAATATATTTGTAATATCCCAATGAGTAGAAAATTGGATTTTCTGACGTTTCGTGGCTTAGTGTAAGTCACTTCTTCAGAGAATAAATAACCAAATTAAAATTAATCCAAGTTTAAATAGTACAACGGAACAATGTACTATTTAAACTTGGATTAATTTTAATTTGGTTATTTATTCTCTGAAGAAGTGACTTACACTAAGCCACGAAACGTCAGAAAATCCAATTTTCTACTCATTGGGATATTACAAATATATTATTTTTATTTATTACTTCTTTTTGTCGTAATATCTTATTATCACTTGTAAATGTTCAATTTGTAACTTTTCCATGTTTTAGATAGAATGAAACTTAAACTTAAAAACCAGTAAGAATGATTATTATCGTTTAGCTTATTATATTTTAACACTGCCACTTTTAAAATTAATAAGTTTATCAGGAACCATTTATTTCAGACATCCAAAGGGTGCTTTCACCTTCCAAATAGGGGGTAAAGTGTTTGTGACTTCAGCATCTAAACTGTAGTGTAACCACTTATTAACAATTGGTCAGTTCAGTTTTTGAAATGTGATTCTTAAAATCAAGGTTGTATTTATATACATGTATGTCGTTTTTAATTGTCTGTTTTCATTTTACTACAAAATTTACTAGCATTATTAGCTTATCGTCATCAACTCGATCACCAAGGGTTCTATGTTTTCTTCGTTGAGCTTAGGGAAATAAAACTTTTATCTTCTGTTGTTCAGTTATGTGAAGAGAATCAAATGCTCATAGTTGTGGTTAAACAAAGTGCTCAACCTACTTAGCTTTATTGTCACGTCATTATGGAGGCCTCAGGAGAGTTCTGCGTTTACGAGGTAATCAGAGCAGGATATTAAATATGTCATTCAGGTAAAACCTGGAGATTCACTGTCGGCTATCGCTGCCCAGTTGGGTTTTGTAACCCCTACTCAGATTGCTAGAGCCAATCATTTACCCCTCATGAGTTATGGCCTCCCTCCCGTTTTTCCTGGTCAACGTTTAATTATTCCAACAGCTGCACGTGCGAATTGCAGTGTAAGTTTATTATAATATATTTTTTGGAGTGTAATAATTGACTTTGCTTATAAATGGTCATTAAAATGTAGTACTAATTGGAGAATAAGGAAAATTAATAGTATTTTTTTAAATGCTATATTAACATCCATAGTCTAACGAGCACTCTAGATTTAGGTTTATTAGGAAATGCTTTAATTAAACTACAAATCAATGAACCGTGTCTGTTTTAACGGATTTCATCAATATTTTTTAGTTGGATAAATAAAAAGTTTATGATCAACTGGGCATCCATAAATAAATTAATAGAACTAGAAGTTAGTTCGATGAGACTCATTTGCATGTAGAATTCCTTAGTTTGCTTGAAAAAATTCCACATTTAAATTTATCGTAATCATATCCTGAGCTCGGTTTTTGTAGTTAAACACAGTTTCACATAAAATTCCATTGCTACTACATTGAGCACAGAATAAATGAAGTGTTTATTTCCGTAACGTATGTTCTTTCCACTTTCAACGTCTTTTCCTTATTCCCTCTTCATCTGCAAGCTGGTTTGTTCTCTCCTGCAGTAGGCTGTTGCTGATCATATCCGGCTAACGGACATCAAGTATCATGTGTAGACAACTGTTGATAAATACTTATACTTTTTAATGACAATTGTGGTAGTTCTCCAGGCTTTAGCTCCGTACAGCAGAAGTTTTGACGTTCGTATTGAAGATTCAAACTTTGATGTTAACTTTCAGACAGTCGTTTTAAGTTCTATATGTTGTTCAACTGTAGGAACGCTGTCCTTTGTCAATCCTTTCCTTTACGTCTGCATCGGATCCTCCTCGTTCATCGATGATGCTGATCATTCAGGAGCGTGGAAGATTCCACATCACTCAGAGCTTCTCCATCAAGTGTGATCGGGTTGGCGCTCTTCGTGTTCTATTTAAGGATCTTGGTTTTCCCCTTGTGTATGTTGAGGCCTACTGGTGCAGAGGCTACACTAGTTGTCTTCATCTGCATTTGTTGCTATGTATGGGATGGAAGGACCAGATAATCTGCGAAGTTCAAATCCTTTAGTTAGATCTAATCTGTCTATTGTATTCCATGCTTCCCCTCAAATGTCTAGCTCTTCATAATCAAGGCAACGACTAGAAAAGAGAGAAAGGGTTGGAGTAGGCAACCTTGTCTGCCTCCGGTCCCCACTTGGGATGCGTCTGTCAGTTGTCCTCCATACACAACTTTGCACTGTAGTCCGTCGTATGAGTTCCGGATGATATTGACGATCTCAGGTACACCATAGTGTCGAAGAAGTTTCCATTGGGTCCTCCTATACACACTATCAAACGCCTTCTCATAGTCAATGAAGTTGATGTATAGTGACAAGCACCACTCAACTGATTGTTTGACGATGATCCGTAGTGTCGCAATTTGGTCTGTGCACGACCAATCCTTACAGAATCCAGCCTGTTGATCTCGAAGTTGGGTGTCTACTGTGTCTTTCATCCGGTTCAGCAACACTGTTTAAAACTTTCCCTGGTACTGACAGTAGTTTGATGCCTCTGTAGTTTTCACATTTACTCAGGTCTCCTTTTTCTGGTGTCTTGATGAGAAATCATTCTCTTCTGTCCATCTGCACATTTGCTTCCTTGGAATCTTCCTGAATAGAACGTGAAGTATACTTGCAGTTCTATGTCTGACTTCAGAGCTTCAGCTGGTATATTGTCAGGCCCTACTGCTTTCCCACTCCTGATTCGTCTGATGATCGGTCATCCTGATTTCTTCGATTGTTGGTGGGGTGAAATCTATAGGAAGGTTTGTAGGTGCTGCTTGGATGTCCGGTGGATTCAATGAAGCTGACCTATTCGAGAGTTCCTCAAAGTGTTCTTCCCATCTGTTCCTCTGTTCTTGAATCTCAGTGATTGTCTTGCCTTTTTTGTTCTTAACCGCTTCCTCTGGTTTACTATATTTCCTTACTAGTTTCTTCGTTGTGTCACATAGTTGTTTGATATTTCCTGTTGCAGCTTTTACCTCTGTTGCTGCTAGGCCGTCCACGTATTTCTACTCGTCAGCTCTAATACTCTTCACTTACTTGTCTGCTTCTATGTATTCAGTTTGCACCTTGACTTTCTCTGCTCGTGATCGGCTGTTGTTAATCGCTATCTTCTTTTTCTTCCTTTCTTGAATCTTGTCTAGGGTTTCGACAGAGATCCATTCTTTATGATGATGTTTCTTCCGATCCAGAACCTCCTGACACATTGAAGTAGGTGCTTCTTTGATCCCACTCCAGATACCCTCCATCTTACTTCCTTCTTTCAGTAGATCCTGTAAGTCTTGGAACCTTTTGCTGTGAGCTTTCTTGAATGCGTTGAGTTTGTCAGTATCTCGAAGGAAAGCTGTACTAAACCTTAGTACGGCTGTTTGTCCAGTTGTCCATTGCTTCTTTAGCTTCAGTTTGATTTTGGCCACAACCGGGTGGTGATCTAAAGCTATGTCAGCTCCTCTCCTGGTTCTCACGTCTTCCATCGACCTTTTGAATTTTTTAGTGATGCAAATATGATCGGTCTGGTTCTGTGTAGTGTGATCCGATGAGACCCGTGTAGCTTTGTGTATGCGTTTGTGGGGGAATATTGTGCTACCTATAACCACTTTGTTAAATGAACATAAATTCTCAAATCTGTCACCGTTCTAGTTCTTTTTTCTCAGTCACTCCATATTTTCCCATGATATCTTAATATCTGGTGTTGTCCATCCCGACTTCGGCGTTTAGGTCTCTCACTAAGATGGTCAGGTCGTTTCCTGAGCACTTCGCTATGATCGATTATAGTCTCTCATAAAACTGTTGCTATTACTCGTGGGTGCATAATGCTGGATAACATTCATTGTGATTCCCTCCTTTGTTGTCAAAGATGCTTTGATGATCCTGAGTCCATGAGATTCTTACCTTACCATTGCATTACATGCTTCTTTGAACAGTATCAGAGAAACTCTCTGAGTGTGTGGAGCATTTTCTTCGTGACCAGAGTACATCAGCGTGTCTCACAAATCTTTTTTTTCTCTCCAGCTTGGGTCCAATGGGTTTCACTTAGTCTGAACACCGTCAAGTTGGGTCCTCTGATTTCTACAACTATTTGATTGATCCTCCCGATCTCCCACATTGTCTGAACATTCCATGTACTTGTGTTAATTGTTGATGTGGTTGTTAGAAGGGTGATCGGCTTTGTGACTTCCGAAGAATCTAGGCTTTCATCATGAGGCTTGGTAATTGTTCTGAATGAAGATCGTTTGACTTGGAGAGCAGAGTTTAAATGGTTTATTCTGGTTAGCGTTTTTTTAGCAAGGTCGCCCAAGCCACGCAATCCGCACTTAATCAGTTGGCAATCAGTGTCCGTAGGTATGGTATGTGCTTTGCACCTTCGAAGTGCAAAGTACTTCTACAAGACTGGCAGGATTGTAATCCTGTACTCACCCTGGATGGTGAGCAGATAGAAATAGTCGAGAAGTTCGTGTATCTAGGTAGCTGCATAAGTGCTGGTGGGGGTGTGAGTGATGAGATCAATGTACGAATAGTGAAAGTCAGAGCGGCTTATACCAATCTGGGCCACCTTTGGCGCCTTCGTGATGTTAGTCTGGCTGTAAAAGGTCGGATCTACAACGCGTCGGTGAGAGCAGTTTTGCTCTATGCTTGTGAAACCTGGCCTCTCCGAGTTGAGGACGTTAGACGACTCTCTGTGTTCGATCATCGTTGTCTCCGGGGGATTGCTGACATCCAGTGGCAACATCATGTCAGTAATGCAGAGATTCGGCATCGTGTGTTCGGGCACAGAGATGATAATGCAATCGATGTCACCACCTTGAAACACCGACTTCGGTGGCTTGGACATGTTCTACGAATGTCGTCCCAGAGAATTCCACGTCGTGCATTATTTGCCGACTCTGGGACTGGTTGGAAGAAGCGGAGAAGTGGTCAGTGCATGACATGGTGTCGTGGCATGAAAGAAAGCTGCAAAGGACTGGCTTGTGTTAGTCCTTCACAACTCCCTGGTTGGGGTCCGAGAAATGGTGCAACACAGTGGTTAGAGACGTTATCAGATATGGCTCAGAATAGAAACCAGTGGCGATCTTGCTGTAACCTTCTTTTACTTTCTTCATAGAAAGTGGTTGTATCTTCCTTAACTGAAAGATTTCTTCTGGTTGTACCCTTCCGTTCCCTCATTATTATTACTATTATTATTACTACACTACCTTACACCAACCTCTTCGTTATTGTTCTTTTTTTTTCACGCTCCTTACCTTTTTTTCTTTCTCTTCGAATTCTCATTGTTCTGTGTGGCGCATATATATTGGCACTCTCTTGTACCATTATTTATGTGTTCAAATAAAATAATAAATAAATACGGGATGGGTTTTCTGACTTTATGCTCAACCTTCCTCCCTCACTCGTGCTTGGGACCGATAGTAACACTAGAAGAGCTACAGGCGGAGTTAAAGGAATTTATTGGGACATCTGAAATTGTAACATGTTTGCTCGAATATGTATAAATTCACAAAAACATTGAAGTCCAACCAATTTAAAGTGATTATATTCTTTACAGTTGGTTCATCACTTCCTTTTATTTATCCTTTTAAATTTCTCTTTATGTACTAATATGAAGTGTAACAACTAAACAGAATGGGGTTTATGGAAATTGTAGTAATTTAATAGATGAATTCATGAGCCGATTAAAGCTAGACCACCATGGAAAACCTCCAAGCACTGGACGGCTGTTTTATCCTAGTATGAGACTTCTCAGCAGTGCGCACCCACAACCTTTATGCGGGGCTCGGACCCGGGATCTTCGGTCCCAACAACTTAAACCAATTGACATTTTCATCAGATCTTACACCTTATTGAATCACCTAGTCAGTAAAGTTGTTCATAGAGTCAGGTCGTTGCCCTTATATCTTGAACTCTTAGATTTCTTTTAACTAGCTTTCTTATCTGAAATAATCTTCCTGAGTGAATATTCGGCACAGACGTAAAATAATTCATACATCTCATCAATAAATTCCGATCATTTAACTGAATAGCGACTTTCTCTTAAGAAGCACCGCGAGTCAAACTCTGTTATTTTTGGTGTGGTTTTTTCACCAGCATTAGTGGTCAAGCCTTTTCTACCTCATTTTCATGCAGGTGCATTTAACAGGATTGCATACTATTGTCCTGATTGTTTTGTCTGCTCTGCATTTTTCAAATGCTGATCAGGCTTATGGCTTTTTGATTTGTTACATTATATTTTCGTACATAGTTTACCCAATCACAAACGGATACTTTCCATTAAATGTTTTCGATAACTAGTTGAAATTCAGTCAAGCATGCATTCATATTCATCTGAATATTTTAAGTCTCAATATAGGTTCCTTATTCAACAAAAGAGATTTACATGTCTTTCATGTGAACTAAAAATGATGATTTCATAACCATATGTGCATTGTAGTTAGATAACATTTTAAAACAGATTTCACTCAGGGTTCAGCATAAGAAAATTATTTTCATACACTTCATCCTTTATTTTGTGATTCCAGTCAACTAAAATAAAGCATCTTCCTGGTGTTGCGTTGCGCATAGAAGATATGGATAAGCAAAATGTCGATACTACAAGTAGTGGATTTCTAGCTGTTCAACCCTTCTTTTATACAACACGTGTTTTGAATCCTAATAAGTCCTATCCCATTGATGATGATGCCCTGGAACGCCAATTTGTTAAAGTGAATGCCTTTCGTGTTCTAGAAAGTCTTGATGTAAGTTTTACTCGTATCCAAATGTTTACTTTTTTGTTATATGGCTGAATACCTCATTACTGTTAATGTGCTCTTAAGAATCCATAGTCCTAGGGATTTTCATCAATGGTAATCTAGAAATCATGTCTGTTGTTTATAAAAAGAAGTGCTGGTTGTAAGTTATTAAGAAATGGGATACGGCAGAGTGTTAAATCAATGCCCTAACATCTGGAATATTAACTGGATCTTCATTATGATTCGATGTCGATCTCATCCTTTTTACAATCCATCAGGTTTGCTACGCTATTTTATACGTGATGGTAATTCATGACTCCAGATAATTGGACCCGATTAGTGGGCATTAAATAACTAGGGTTTAATATCTATTTTCATTCATTATGAAGGCTTACAGTCTTATGGATGCTCATTATCCTTTTGAAATTCAAAGTTTTGTCGTTCAATGTCATATCTCAAGGTTCTAAGATTAAGCTGCTTGATTCATGGTGGAACTCTTCAGTAGTAGATCATTTTTCTAAACCGGTTGTATAACTATTATCCAGTCATCCACCTTAGTGATCATATTTAACTTTTGGCTCTCAAACTGTCATCAGAAATAAACATCGGAAATTTATCATCTAGTTCCTGATTTTATATTAATAATTAGTGTATAATGGCAGAATATCGACTAAACAAAAATCTTTCTTTTATTTAAACTCTCCAATATCGAAGTTTTTGGATTGTATCTGTGGTTTTTTTATCTCTCTTCTCTAGAATTTGATAGATGGTGTTTTGCTGGTCACACCTGAATCTTTGTGTTTCGACGCAAGTCAAACTGCAGTAGCTCAAAAACAGGCTTACATTGCTTCTCATTCTGAATTATCTTCAAGTGATTATAACATTGATGCTACTCATAACAAAATGATTGAATCGCATCATGACTCTGACAATAAATCATCTACCTGCCATGCTAATAATGTTGAATTTTCTTGTTGCCATATTCCTCAAGAACTACTAAATTTAGGATTATGCATTCCATTAGATTCAATCATTGCCATGAAAACGCTTGTTGAAAACGATGTTATACATATTTTAAAGTTAGTGTTTGTTTATGTGCCTTAATTATTACCACTTTCATACCACGTACTTATTATATTTAAATAAAACAATAAGTCATAAGGGACATAAAGTTCAAAGCACAAAACCACAGTTTAAATCTTTTGTATGAAATCAATACGCCTAAACCGAAGTAGATAGAATAGATGTAAACCTTTAATCATATGATTATTGGTTGGATACTCTATTCCAATAGACCATAAAAATGAAAATATAGAGTTCTCTGTCCCTATTTCATTTTGTAAATTATTTGACACAAATATTTATTAGCTGAAGTCACATAGTTCAGTTCACATAGGCACAACAATGATAGATCGACAAGACAAAAAAATAGAATATTAGATTTAGTTATCCTAATAGTAACAGGACACTAAGCAAGCCATAGAGGCAAAATATATGGATCGAAATAGTGAGGGGAAAAAAGTAGAATGATTATCGTGTTCTAGATTTAAAGAACTATTCTTCAGCTATATCATTAGATTTAATATTCAAGCGTATGTGGTGTAACTAAGATAAATGTTTCACTATCGAGATTGTTACAAAAAATGATTAAAAGTATGGTATATTGTGTTACAATTTCAATATGTTTTTATTTTTATTGTTCATACTAACATTTCATTGACAATATTCATTCAAGTTTAAATGATTTTTCTGTCATTATTCACCAGTAAATATAATCCATATTTAATCTTCATCCAAAGCAGTTGTAGGCGAAAAATACATGAAGTTAAAGCTTAAATATCTATATGATTGTCTATTTACTCTTCGTTTCTTCGTTGACCTTGTAAATATCATATATAGCTGTCCAATCAATCTAAAATAAACATAGGTTTCTTTGATGTAAAAAATTGATATGGAACTCAACAGTCAAGTATAGATTTTTGCGCTCACCGTTTGAGCTACATATTTTAGATACAATGGATTTTGAGATTGGAATCTAAGGACTAAAAGTCAAGTACTACCTAATGAAGGATTCAGTCTCAATTTTAATAACTTATGGTGTAATTATGCGAACTGTGGACACATATTCAAGGAAATAATGATAACATATGGACTGAGGATGCTTTCGTTTCTTCATTTTACCAACATCATAGTATATAATGATTATTGAGTGATCTCATTGAGGCTTTGAATATTAAACATGTTTTATTATCCTTCATTTAATATCCTTTTTTTGTAGTGTTTGTAGTTCTTTTTACTACTGTCATTATTACTCACTCTTTCTTCGCCTTGCTATGTTTTCTCTAAAGCCAACAACTTGGAACTTGAGTTTCCAAACTCAATATTTTAAGCGAATAATCATGCTCTTTTCCCGAGAAGTGCGTCACTTCTAATTGATTTCAACAGATAAGGTCGCAGAATTCTTAGTAAAATTAATATTGTAAGAGACTAGTTCAGATAGCAGTATTAGTACTGGTACTAGTAGCCTTAAAAAACTAGTTTAGATTTAGTCTATTATTTCTTTTTTTTCTTGAATACGTCATCGCTAAGAATTAAATCAGATTGTTTACGTTATACAAATTCATAAATATAAAACTGACTTGTATTGTCATAATACTCCAGCTCTACTATTCCTACTTTAGAAATTTGTCTGAATAGAGATTTCTGTCTATTTTTAGGTGTGTATGCTTGTATTCTGAAAGCGCTAACGAAAATATTTAAAACAAATATTTCAAGCTATGTGATAACTGTTTATCAACCGATCAGTTAATAACTGTGTTATACGAGCTTTATGGAAATACAAAGACGTGTTTGCTATGCAGAATCGATATCACTTTGGTAATGTCTAAAAATATCTCAAACTTACAAGATAATAAAATACAATAATTAACCTTTAAGGTCAAAAGGGGTTTTGCGGATATTATAGTAATTTTAGTAGTTGAGATCATGAGTCTATTGAAAGTAGACTACTATGGAAAACCTGGAAGCACTGGACAGCCTTTTCGTCCTACTGTGGGACTCCTCAGCATACTTCTAGTATACTCATTACGAGTACTTTCATAGGAGAAACTGGACTAATATTAACAGAACTAGGTAACCTATCGATTACGTAATTGGTTAAGGTTTTCATAGGGAATTGTTAAAGTGGGTGAATGAAATTTGAATCTATAATAAACGTTAATACAATATGGTCAAGTGATGGATGCTCACGAGAATGAATTATTACCTGAAGCCCTTGAACGATTTGAAATCATAGACAATTTTTTTAACCAGAAGGATAAATTTTTATGTTATAAAATGATATGTTTACTTATAAAATAAACATAACAAAATGTCATAGGCGATTAAAAGAAATTAGTTTATAGATTACTTACTCCAATCAGTCAGTCCTAATTTTTGGCGATTGTATCAGTTTTCTTGAGGAACAGCAGTTAACGACATAATAGGTCTTTTACATGGTTTTATTTTTTCGCTCATATACACCCAACAATGTCTCATGAGTAGTAACATTTTAAAATTCATTGTCTTGAAAACGTTTAAAGAATCTCTGTAACAATCTCCGAATACCACTATCTTGAAACACCGACTTCGGTGGCTTGGACATGTTCTACGAATGTCGTCCCAGAGAATTCCACGTCATGCATTATTTGCCGACTCTGGGACTGGTTGGAAAAACCGGAGAGGTGGTCAGTGCATGACATGGTGTCGTGGCATGAAGGAAAGCTGCAAAGGACTGGCTTGTGTTAGTCCTTCACAACTCCCTGGTTGGGGTCCGAGAGACGGTGCAACACAGTTGTTAGAGACGTTATCAGATATGGCTCAGAATAGAAACCAATGGCGATCCTGCTGTAACCTTTTACTTTCTTCATAGGAAGTGGTTGTATCTTCCTTAACTGAAAGATTTCTTCTGATTGTACCTTTTCGTTCCCTTATTATTATTATTATTATTATTATTATTATTATTATTATTATTATTACACTTTCTTACAGTAATCTTTTCGTTATTGTTCTTTTCTTTTTTTCTCTCTCCGAATTCCCATTGTTTCGTATGGCGTATATATATTTGGTGCCCTCTTGTACCAATATTTATGTGTTCAAATAAATAAATACCACTTTTAAGTCTTCCGTAACTGTGAAATAATAAAACTAGATCTCAATCTACTTGAAGTAATAGTATTTCGGGATTTCATCATTCTATTTCCATTAATTTTTGTTAGCCATATGACTGATATAAAAAATGAAGTGAAAGGTTGGTGGAGTACTATAGTATTATATATATATATATATATTGTAGCTGTTATTTAGGCGTTGGTTTCAAAACCCATAATATCAGGAAGACTATTTAAGCTGGTTTTTCTTCAAGCTACAAGTTGTAAAATCCCGAATACTATCGATTCATCGGGAAAAGAATGAATTCTCAATAAAACCGATTAGTATCTTGCATGTGATAAAGACGATTATGAGATGATATTTGATTATAAGCACCGTTTGTCCTCATAGAATGGGTCGCGAGAGTATTTCATTATCCGTAAAATCAATAGTTTACCTATTCACAATTTGTGCAACAGAAACCAGATCTATAGAAGAAAAACCTCAATAAAGTTTATGAAACAATAAATTGTTCAGTAACCTTTATCTGGCTGTTTGTATATTTTGACTTCTGTAGATGGACTCTCTGTATCTATAAACCTGCTCTCAGTGCTATACATCTACTTTTACTCTTTTATCCTTGTGGAGAAATCTTGACGATTCCCCTGAAAGAAGCTATATATGGTTAGTCGTTTGAGAGGAAATCGAGAGGTAAAGCAAAGCCTTTAAGCTGTACCGCTACATTTTAGGATTGTTAATAATGCTGTCCTACTGTTTTACTTTTACTCGTCACTAGTTAGTTTACTGATTTGGGAAACAGTCTTCGGACACGCTGAAATTCGTTGGGTTGTCTCTTCCGTAGGCTGATGAAACATATCCTGATGTCTATAGATAAATTTAAACTTTTTCATTATAAATTTTGTGATTTATCCATTTCCTTAGTTTCTGATCTAAATTTATCGCTATAAGAATTTGCCACCTTTTTTGTAGGTCCGAATGTAATGATAAAATAAATTCATTATCCAACTCAACTTTGCAAAATGAAAAGACAGAAGAACATGTCAATGTACAAAGTACAAATGAAAATACGAAGTCAACTGATGAAAATACTGGCAAGTTTTCTATTTTTATATTGTCAACAAAAGTTCAGTTTTTACCGAAACAAGTCTAATCAATGAAAGAATATTTTATAGTAAAAGACTATAGATTCATTTGAACACATTGGGGATTCACTTAAAATCGGTATCAATAAAGTGTGGCTAGATAGTTGCTCCAACACTATGGAGTAGGATACTACGATGCAATGAACCAATTTGATTTTATTCTTGTAAGATGACATAGGATCTCAACTAAAGAAGCACTTTATTTCTTCATTTATATGTTTTTGATTATAATTCTGTAAGTAGATTTATTTCAAACCATACGATATTCATAATTTTAGTCATATGATGAAATATTATCTATGGTTTTCCAATCTTTGTAAGTTAAATTCTCAACTATCTGTCTAAAGGTCGTTTGTACAATCACTAACATACTAGATGACTAATGATAACAAAGTTGTGTGGTATCTCTGTAACCGTTAAAATATGTATGTATATACATATTGATAGGGTTTTAGTTAAATAATTATGGATTATGGACAGTAAATTCATAAGTGTTTTCTTTTCTGTTAAAAAAATAAGAGTAAATAACTCACAACTAAACCAACACAGAAGGTGGTCGTTGAAAATCGTTCACGCATGTATAACTAATTCTCTTACCTTACCTCATTTATATACTTATCACTATTAACAGTTGACTTCATTGTATTCGGCTATAGGGCTTCTATTCATCTATCCATTTGTCTGTTTGATAGAGATCATTTTAAAATAGTTTAATAAGTATAAATGAGAGATCGCTATGTTTTGATTGTCATGTATAGATTTAAATTAACGTCTCCTTATTTAAAACTTTGAATAACTGAAATTAAAACAAAAACACTGACTAGTATGGACAGCTAGTAAATTGTGAATTTATAATGAATTCCGTTTTGCTTTTATAGTTTGTAATGAGATATTTTATGGAATGTATTTCGCTAAAAAAAACTTAATGAATATTGTTAAGTAATTCTTAGGTAGGATAGAATATTATTCTGATATTTCTTCTATTTTAATAGTTGAATTCATGAGTCTATCTAAATTAGACCACCATTGAAAACCTAAAAGCACTAGGTAGCCGTCTTGTTATTATAAAAACCATTTCGCTTTTTAAAGTTTAGTGGAATTCTTTGATAAATATATCTAAACAACTGAGCATTGGTGAGTAAAGGTTTACGTCAAAATCCATCAATCAAGTATTCTTCGTAACCAATAAAATTTTAAAACTTCCATTATATGTTCATTCATATTGCCTATCCTATTTTTGAAGTATGCCATTGAGAATTAAATTTTTATTTATAGTAAAATTCTTTTTTCTTCCTTTCTTTTTAATTATTCAGATAATCAGCGAAATGATCCCAATTTATCCAGTAATATTGATAAGGAACAGCTTGACGAAACTAGTAAATCAATTATAAACGATAATTCCGTTGGTCTCTCCGATAGCACTTATGCTGTCAATATTGATGAACAGTTGAAAACTCCTGAAATTCCCTTTGAAATCGAGACAACTTTGTCAACATCATCATCAGTATCATCATCACCGCACCAACTACCAACAACATCTTTAGAAACATTGAGTACATCTGTGAGTCAATTATTACAAAAAGAAAATAACAGTGAAGACAAAAATGTAACTAACGTTACAAACGATTTATATTTGAGAATCACTCTAATTGGAGATATAACTCATATATTTCGTCTTGCTGTTGATCGGTAAGCAAAAGTCCTCTCAGTGATTACAGCAACTTGTTGATAATCAGTATACAATATTATTATTATTATTATTATTATTATTATTATTATTATTATTATTATTAATGGCTTTATTCAATATTATATTTTGGTACAATATAGAATTCTCAGCACAGGTTATTTCAACAAGTTACTTACACAACAACAAAAAAAAAACACAGTAACAAATACAAAAAAAAATGAAAAAGGTTTTTTTTTAAAAAAAAACGAAAAACTGTACAACTTTTAAAATTAAGGACATGTTAAGAATGCAAGTTATTGACTAGGTTAACTCTAACAACCTGTTCGTCACAGAGTATATTTGCTAGGTAAGGTATTATAGAACTTTTATACTTTTGCTTGCGTGCATGGATTTTAATGTAATTACGTCTCGTTCTACCAGAAGATATACAAGGAGAAAGATAAGAGTGAAGGGGATGGTTAGTATCTGATAAAATAACACCTGCCAGGGGTTTGCATGACTTTAAATGTCTATCCACAACCATATTAATTATGACTTCGAAGGATTCACCACACATCTTGCTAACCGCCTTCAGCACTCTCCGCAATACAGCAAAGTCTTTCCTCAAAAGCCCGGGAAAGAATAATGGAGAACAGTAAAGAATAATAGGTAATATGCAAGAATTGACAAATTGTAAGAGTAAATGACGAGTACTCCCAAGAGCATTCAGTCTCTTTATGTAGTAGGTCAGACGGAAAACCTTCTTTGATAACAATAAAACGTGGGAAGACCAAGACAGATCAGAGGAAAAGGTGACACCAAGATAATTGACCTTCGACACTGTGTTTATCAAAGAGTCTCCGATGGTACAAGCATTATGTGATCTCAAAATGGTGTTTAGATTCCGTTCATATCTCATGCTAAAGTTAACAGCTTGACATTTAGACGGATTAACTATGAGACCATTACCAACAGACCAACAATCAATACGAGACAAAAACTCATTCATTTCTATGAGATGTAATGAGGAAGAGATAGGCATACATACAGTGAGATCATCCGCATATTTCTAAAAAGTGTTTTATGTGGAAGATGGCAGATCATGCAGAAAAAAAGAGAAAAGAAGCGGTGAAAGAACAGCTCCTTGTAGTACACCTTCATGAGACAGTAGAGACTCTGAACACTTTCCTCCAAACACAGTGTACTGTTCCCTTCCAGAGAGGTAGGAACATAGCCAGTTGGTTATCCAGCTGTCAGTGTTGACGCTGATTAACTTGTTAAGTAAACGTTGTCTTGGTATAGAATCAAAAGCTGAAGTATAGTCCAGAAAAGCACATCGAACATCCTTCTTACCCTTTTCTAAGTTGAACACTATGTTGTGATACAGAACAGCAACAGCATCTAAAGTGCTTCTTTTGCGTCTGTAAGCAAACTGATTCGGATCAATATGCTCTTTTATCGCAGGCTGAAATGGAAGTATTAATAATTTTTCCATTGTTTTGAGGAAGGGTGAAGTTATTGCAATAGGTCTAAATTTTACATTCTTATCACCAGATGCTTTCTTGGATACAGGAATTATCTTCATCTTTCTCCACATTTTCGGTATGAGATTAGATGAGAAGGATCTGTTAAAGATAGCTGTGGACGGATAACGTAGGACGTCAGCACACTTTTTAAAAAAAGATGTTTAGGATACCATCAGGTCCCAAACATCGAGATGAATTAAGCGACTGGAGACATCTTCGTACATCAGTTTCAGTGAAAGTAGGAACACAGCTATTATTTAAACCCGTGGATAGAGAGAGCATCACATCAGATGACTGACGTACAAAAGACTTAAAGTCACAAACATTCAGCTGGTTATCACTTCTAAACTGTCTGTCACCTGTAAGTTTGTTAAAGAGTTTCCACATACTTGGAGAGTTTTTGCTTATTTGTCTTTATGTTATCACCTGAACCATCTAGTATATTTTTGAGCTACGTTTTGGACTACGAACGGTTTATTAATTAGAAGGTTGGAGGTAGTCAACTAGAAACCCCGCTTGACGTAGGTTTCGTGCTATTTAAAAATCTTCATCAAGGTATGTTTGTACTCTCGAGGAAACTGATGGTGGATCCTAACGTGTGTTACTCAGCCGCAGTCTTAAACGGTACTTTATTATTTTATTTATTTGAACACATAAATATTGGTAAAAGGGGGCACCAAATATATATGCGCCACACAAAACAATGAGAATGGGGAGAAAAAAAAGATAAGCGTAAAAGAAAAAAAGAAGAGGAACAATTACGACCGGATTAGTGTGAGGAAGTGTAATAATAATAATAATAATAATAATAATAATAATAATAATAATAATAATAATAAGGGAACGAAAAGGTACAATCAGAAGAAATCTTTCAGTTAAGGAAGATACAACCACTTTCTATGAAGAAAGTAAAAGAAGGTTACAGCAGGATCGCCACTGGCTTCTATTCTGAGCCATATATGATAACGTCTCTAACCACTGTGTTGCACCATTTCTCGGACCCCAACCAGGGAGTTGTGAAGGACTAACACAAGCCAGTCCTTTGCAGCTTTCTTTCATGCCACGACACCATGTCATGCACTGACCACCTCTCCGCTTCTTCCAACCAGTCCCAGAGTCGGCAAATAATGCACGACGTGGAATTCTCTGGGACGACATTCGTAGAACATGTCCAAGCCACCTAAGTCGGTGTTTGAAGATGGTGACAACGATTGCATTATCATCTCTGTGCCCGAACACACGATGCCGAACCTCTGCATTACTGACATGGTGTCGTTCTCAGCGGAGTTCAATGATGTTAGGCATGAACCTATATAATCGATTGTCATGAATAGTAGTCATACAGTGTTGAGTACCGGTTGATATTACAAAATGAACCATTCAACGTCGATCCAGTGATCAAGAGTAAATAGTTTCACCACTTAGCCCGAACGGTTCTGGGTACTGTCGGCGGTTGAGTAGTCAGTGCTAACCTAATAAATCACATACTAGGGTGAAACAACTATTCAGTGCCTCCCTCTGGTTTTCATTCCTGGATTTTTTTAAAAATCTGTAAAATGGTCATTTAAACATTCATTGATTAAACCATTTTAGAAAACATGAGACTCATTTAAGTATTATCTATTGCAGATATTAGTAGAAACATTTCTCGGAAAGATCGTTGCCATGACCTTAATTTCTTCCATAAATACATATCTACCTACCTACCTACCTACCTACCTACCTACCTACCTACATACATACATACATACATACATACATACATACATACATACATACATACATACATACATATACATATGCATATTTTGAAGTTTTAAACTACCTAGTTTTACAAACAAACATCATAGTTTTATAGTTATGTCTTGTACTGTGCAGGTAAAATCATAAATTTAAATTATTGCACAGAATTATAAGCTTTTACCGTGAAATTTCAGCTTCATAAAAGTAGAATGCAAAAACGTTGACAAGGATCACAAAGCTAAGTGTCATTCTAATTTGATTGAAATGATGACAGTTTTTTGACTCAAGATTCATCGGCCTATTCATCTTTGCTTTTTTACGCCTTCATCGTTGAAATCTATTTGACTCTGTAAAAATGACTAACAGAATATACAGTCTTCTAAACATCTACGAACTAATTCCTTCTCCCTGTATTATATCCTTATATGCAGTCTTTCTTCTATTTATTACTTCCATTGAAGTAACTACTTCTATGAATTTGGTGACCATCTTGTCGTGCTAATGAGGCGTGGCAACTTGAACAAATTTATATATGTGCCTGGTTCTACGTTGTAGCTGACTGACTGAAACATATTCGATAAGAATGTTTGGTCATTTTACACCCTTACTATAATTCGAGCATTATATGATAACTTAAGTGAATTTTTCGATCACTTCATCTGCATTCGAACAATTAATTGGCCTTAGTAAAACATAAATGATCAATATTTTGATCAGCATAAAACAGACTTTTTCACCACTGGAACAATTGAACCGTTTTTAATTCCGATAAATTATGTGAGTATATTTTGGTCATTGAAAGGTGGAAAACAGGAAAGAACAAACATAGATTACTTGAGTATTGAGTATTGAACTAAGACGATTGATTAATATCAATCCCAACTTGATGTTCATTTAGAGTCCTTCAAACTCCAATGTTTTGTTTATTTATTTAAACTCATAAACATTGGTATAAGGAGGCACCAAATATATATGCGCCATACAAATCATTCGATTTGTGTGGAGGATAGAATACTCTCCGGGCTCCCAAACATAAGCAGGTTGTTTTATTAAGGGGCAACACCCCGAGCTTTTGACTCAGAGTTCTAATCCTCAATATAGACTGGAGCAACGTTAGGAGATGCAGTCGCATGGTAGTTCGTGACCAACAATATGTTCATACACCATTTGTCCCTTCAGGATCCTGGAGCTCATATGCACCATTGGTTTGGAATCAGAATTTCCCAACTCCCCTAGATGGGTCCTCCATATCCACTAGGGCGATTAAAGCACCGAACATCCGCTTTTCGTCCTTTCAATTATGTAAATAACACGCTTCATCATTTGTTCGTCCTCAAATTCTAATAGGCATACAATACTCAATCTATATACTATGGTTTATCTGATTCCTTGGCTGCAAATTGTTCTAAAAATTTGTTTTCATTTCATCATTGTTTTCCATAATTCTGCTCTTTATTAGTTTATATATGGAGTTCACGTTTCTTTCCCGTTAACTACTAATTTGCTTAAATCATCCTACTTCCATCTGTTTCTCGGAGTATTTTATACTAGGATTCTAAAATTTCTTTAGCAAAATTACATTCTGTAGCGCTGACAGTTTCTGTCAATTTATTTTTAGTATTATATCCCTTGATTATCTGTAAATTTGTGTACATACGCCAGGTTCTACGTCGTGCCTAAATATGCTACGTTTGAAGAGATCATGATATCATCCAAACCGGCAAACGGAACGAAAGTTAGCAACACAACTACAGGACAAGTTAAACTATTCACTGCGTCCCAGCTCTGGTAACTAGAGGGAGAACACCAGATTTAGCGAGAGAAAAGTGTATTTCACAAGCAGTTGGAAGCACGAACGAACAAGCACACAACTCAAGCGTATATATACAGTATAAAAATGTCCTTTACAAACGTCACAAAATAGCCTATCAAAAGAGGAAACGAACTAATTATATTTAAAGTCCTTCTAAGTGAGAAATACAAACTGAAGGTTAAAACGGGGGCTTTTGGGCGCGAAAGTGAGAAATTCAAATTTTAAAAACCAAATTACAAAAATAAAACGTTCATCAAGTGGTTTCTGGGGATCTCGCATCCCCAACAAAATGACTAACATTAAAAAATATATATTTTATCTACTTTTGTTACTACTTAACAGCTTAGTTAAAACATTATAATTGGAATTCTACAAATTTCAGTCAATCAAATAGATGATACAACAAAACAGCCACAGATTGCTTGATGTTAAAAACAGTAAAATTACATTAGCTACTTAGAAAACGTAAAAAAGGATTTCTTTTCTTGCTCTTCAAGACTAGACAATATTTTTCTTTTTTTTCTTGAAATGTTTTCCTAATGCTGAAATATCATCAATCAACTATCATCTTAATTCTTTATTTGTTTGTTTTAAAAGCCTCACTCAAGTCTACAGTTTTCTTTTACGTGCTGGTGTAGGCAGTTTAGACAAGCATATAGAAGTTAACAATCATTCTGAACAGGTCGTTATTGAAAATTCTGATAAAGTAAGAATTTTATATTGTAATTAGTAATTATTTTCAAAGGATTTCAAAAGTACTCTTTGTCTAGTTCACATTTGTGTTGTGTTTGGCTTTTCACTATAGCCCTGTATATATTAGTGTAGAGCTATGATGAAAAACTAATTGAAAAGAAATATTTCTTCGTTCTGTTTGACGTTTCACGAAATTTCTAAATGGGAATTTTCACTCTAAATAATCAGATAATTTCACCTCAATTGTTTCACATATTGTGTAAACAATGTTTTTATAATTATTGATTATGCTATTTTATTTAACTCGTATTGTAAATACAACACAAAACTAGTGTTTGTAAACAAAGTCGTTGTTAAAATCGATCGAAAATCATGTTACATTTTTCAACGATTTATTACTGTTTTGTCCTGAAATTCTTGAGTGTCCCATTTTTTCAACCCATTATTCGTTGCGATTTCTCTTCGTAGGTGACTTTGTTCTATGTTATCGAAGATCATTTGTATTTACAGATATACTGTTTAGTATGATGGATTTTTTTAAGATAGTGAATTATTTTTGTATATATGTATATATATCACGTACAACATTGTTCACTAGCTAAATTATTGTTAATTTACACCTTTTTCAGTTTCTAATTTTCACTTTACTTTTGTGAGCATCGATTATGTTTTGTTCTGTTCTGGGAAGTTGAATGAGGAAATAATAATCTAAGGACGAATCTAACATGACTACTGTAAATCGATCGACTGTTACTAAATAACGACACTTGATCAAAATGCAATCATGTATAAGAAATGAGACTAGTCATTATGTGAAGATTTCTATATTTCGGGAAAAACACAATCATTGAAGTAAACATGATTGGTTAAATACAACTTGCGTGACTTTATTAAGTATTTTTTTGGTTGAGATCATGAATTAATTGATGTTAGACCACCATTGGAAACCTGGAAGCACTAGACGGCCGTTTCGTCCTAATATGGGACTCTTCAGCAGTGCGCATCCACGATCCCGCACCCCACGGGATTCGAACCCAGGACCTACTGGCTTCGCGCCTGAGCACTTAACCATTAGACCACTGAGCCGGCATCCAATGGTGTTAGTGTCTAACATCAACCAATCCACGAAATTGCGCGACCACCTTCCATTGTACTGAGGTAGATACCTGTCTCTACCGGACACGGATTAGCTCCACTGGTCACGACTTCTCACTAGAACTCCGAGAATTCCCTTACGAAGCTAGTCACTAGTGAGCACATGTTAATTATCAGTATGGTGGTTGTGGAGATTGTTAAGTTTTTGGTTGAGATCATGAATTAATTGATGTTCGTGGATGCGCACTGCTGAGGAGTTCCATACTAGGACGAAACGGCCGTCCAGTGCTTCCAGGTTTCCAATGGTGGTCTAACATCAATTAATTCATGATCTCAACCAAAAACTTAACAATCTCCACAACCACCATACTGATACTTTATTAAGTAGTCATAAAATGGTTTGAAATATTCCCATATTGTAAATTTAGAACAACATATATAAGCGAACAATATTGTTTTCGATTAGATCCTCGTCAGACTTTACTCTAATATACAGTAATATTTATATGCATATACGAAATTATTAAACCAATCAAGGTAGTTTATAAGTCAATGATAACAATGGAAAAGATTACATAATAAGTAAAATGTGAAAAGTACAAATTGATGGTGTGACAACAGGTGCATTAGTTTTGATAAAAATAATAAAGGTTCAAATCAATGTTACATAGGTCAATGATTAGAAAGATATAGAAACTGAGATAACAATTATAAAATTATAAGATGACGTAATAAGAAATGTTCAGATAATTGGACCATGAAACGTATAGTTGAGAGAAAATAAAGTAGTAGGAGGGTGTGAAGAAAAATAATAAACGAAGAGAAAGTTAGAAAATAAATTCATTTATTACTTAAGGCCAGGGGAGAGATAAGGGTGTTACAAATTTCTTCTGAACACAAAGACTTGGCTTGTTGGCTCGGATTCCTATAGCTTCTGCTATATGTAAGAGACGAGATCGAACACCATAAGGAAAACTAGTGGGAATACGATAAATAACTTTGAACGACTTGTTTCTGTCCACTATATGACAGCTATCGATCAAGTGTGATAGTTTGTTGAGTAGTAAACTTGACTTGAACATATCAAAGAAAAGGTTCCAAAACATGCATTGTTCCACTAGTTTCCTAGTCACGATATATTATATCATAAAAGGTATAAAATAACAATATGATTTCTCAACTAAATTTAACATCATTATATCAATAGCCTTAGGCTTCTATCATATGAAATGAGAAATATAACCCTTATAAAGATTTAATATATCTGCTGTGATTAAAAATAAATAACTAAATAAATAAAACAAATGAACAGTACAAAGTCTAATTGATTCAGTTTTTTTCTTTGTTTAACCTTTAATAAAAATTATTATTTATTAATTTATGCATACATAAAACAAACAAACAAAATGTATTTTGCTCTCATTATTAACACTTCTAGAATGAATTGTAAGAAGGTTTTTTTTTCTTTTTTTAAGAAAAAATTGTTCATCTCACTTGTGTAGGATGTGAAAATTATTTTGTTTTAGATCATTTCAATAAAGTTTATTTTAATTTTTTTTCATAACACCTATATGTTTTTTTTGGGGTGAGTGGGGGGTGGAATTGAGTACGTAGTTCAATTTCTCCTTTCACCATTTATTGATTAAATTTGTGCACATTTAACATGAATGAATTATGTTCAACAAACTTATTATTTTTCTGTGATTCATATTTTATTTCTTTTTAATTCCATATAAAGTTTGTCTCATTCACATATATATTTATTCTGATTGAAGTGTTTAAGTTGTTAACGAACTGATCTTGACTACAAAACAACCTCAGCAGTGCGCATCCACGATCCTGCCTTGCGAGATTCGAACCCAGGACCTATCAATCTCTCGTGCAATTGCTTAATCACTAGACCATTGAGCCGGCCAACATCCAGCGGTGTTAATGTCTAATTTAAACTAATCCACAAAATTGAGTGACATATCCACCATTGTGATCAATGAGTTACTATCTCACAATCTTCAATCGACTCATGATCTCAACTATTGAAATTACTATAATATCCACAAAACCCCTTCAGATACAAAATAACTGTCAAGGTTTATATGATTTTCATTAATTATATTGAGGAAGACAAAAATAAATTTGTAATCAAAAAAGTCTAAGTTATTCAGTTCTTTTTCCTTACAACTAGATGAAATAGCTAACTTTTTCCTAGATATAAATGATAAACTTTTTTCAGATGAAGAAACTTCAGTAATGGAGATTATACACAGACATTGATTGTTACGCGTGATTTTCCTTTCGATTTTGTTTCAGATATATATTTCGTTAGGTACTTTAACGGTTAGTCGTGGCCATCTTGTTGAAGAAAAATCATGATTAATGTATCTGAAACAAAAATCAAAAGTAAAATCACCAGTGATACCATGAAAGGCTTCATTCCTGAAATTACACTTTACAGGTAATATAACTGGCTAAATAATAGTTCGACTTACACAAAAAACCTTGGGAATTACATTCAATGAAGTAACATTATATCCTACTTTCCTCAACCGGACGATTGTGATTTCACGAAATAATGATAAATTGTTTGGTTTCTCTGTCTCTGCGTGTGTTCACTTCAACTTTTATTGTGGAGCTAGTTGTATTAAGCTCACATCTAGACAAATACATTGCCATATTTCTGAACATCACCTGTCATAGTTGACCGAAGAACAGAAGAAAGTAATAAGAAGTTTTATCTGGAAGCATTAAGTTGACACTTGTCACCACGTAGATGAAACTTCAACAATTAAAATCATTCACGAACCTATCCTATGGTTTCAGAATCCAACTCACAGCAAAAAACATAGGAATACATATAAAAAATCTTAACCTTTGTATGCAGAAAAAGTTTATGCAGCCTCTGGACTTACGCTGGCTATCTGCGTAGTTACTATTACGTTTTTCAGAATTTTTCTAAACTTCCTATTTCATAAAATCCTAATTTTTAATTTGAAGATTACGTAGTGTGTTTAATAATTGGATTATTTAATCTTCATCACGCTTACTTTACTAATTATTCACAGATAACGCAAGCATTTATCTGCAGTTTCAGATGATGTTCTTACTCTTATGTAACTGGTTGAGACAATCAACTGTTTATAAAATCTCCTCTTAGTTTTAATATTATTTTTTGAGTCATATTATTAGCTGAAGCCTGTATTGCCAAATTAACTTACCACCATGAATTTGGTTTTGATTTTAGACTTATTTCTAAAACTTATGTCCTTATAATGAGCCTTGATGAGGAACTGACTGAAAAAAACCCTGAACATTTAATGTTTCAATGGGTATATGTTATGAAAATAAATCCTTCAAGCCCTAAAAATCGGATTTATTCTTTTTCTACTTCATTTTAGGATTTTTCGCAAGTTTTTTTACATATTTCGTTTCTTTGGTATTTGTGTGATCATATTTTAATTGAGTTTATTTTATTGCATATTGTCATAACTTGTGCTCTGTGTCCCATTAATGTATCACGTAATCATACCACCAATTAGAGAACAGTGAATTATCGACCGAACCAATGACGCATAAAACCTGTACGAGCAGTGTAGAGTCCTTAGCTATCCTGCTTCCTGCCTAGCCCTGCTTGTTAAGTCCAGAACACCATTTGCAGCCTCTGTAATATGAATCATTTATTTCAAACATACTGGGTTTATAAACCAACCAAACAGACCACATCGTACCATAAAATAGGAAGCAAAATTTGTACAAGATTTAGCCAAAAGTTTCTGTGAATGTGGGAGACTGTAATTAATAAGCTGGGAATCACTTAAGAATAGTAAATCGTATAATAATAGATCTTAGGTCAAAATAAAGCTTATGATAAGAGGAACAGGAATATTAATGGTTTAGTTAATTAACAATTATGCTATAGAAAATATACATATAATATTACTCCAGAAATAGATTCCAACAGTTACCATTCATTATTCTCATCGGGATATAACACATATTTTATTCATCATTAAAGGTCACTTAACCTCTTATTTCAAGCTGTACGGTCTTTCTTTACTGTTCTGTTCCACGTTTTCGATCTTCCTTCTGAATTCTTTAAAAACCATATAAATTTTAATAAACTTTGGTGTATTATACCGGGTGTTAGTGGGCTATAAATTCAATTATAGCACGTTCCATTCGCGATTGTGTTGGTGCACTCTGATTGGCTATTTCTTATCCAATCAGCGCTAGTCGATACTTGGGGAAGACTCTAGAATCTTCTCATCTAAAAACTATAAATGTACTAATGTTTCTCTTATTGTTATTCTTACTTCCATCTTTCCCTGTTATTTGGAATATAATTTCTTTACTGTTCAACCATCTTCTGGTTTGGGTGTCCAAGAATACTAGGCAATAAGATTAACTTGGTTGTAATAAGAAAAATTATAAAACCAGTATACACCCACATCAATTTTTGATCAATTCCCTCTTCATATCTATACGTTTATCTTAAACAATATTTGTAATTTACACATTGAAATGTTATTACAGGATGTTAGCAGTTGATGAACAAGAATTATTATTAAATAAAAAGACGCTAATATTACAGGGCCTTTAAATTTCTTTCTTGTTATTTTCAATATCATATTTATTGCTTCCGAGTGTTATTGAAGTTTTTTATGTTCATGAAATGTTTCCTGACATAAAAAAGTGTCACAATTTTTCAGCATTGTGTTGTTAAGCAAATAACATTTAGTGTCAAAAGTAGCTTAGATTACTATGTATATATTCGTACAAAACTATGGGGTTTTTTAACCTCCTTAACATCTCTGCATAGAAAGATGAATGACAGAGGCAGTTAGTTCCTAGGTAATTTTATATGATGTGTATAATAATTATAAGGTTTTTATTGTCATGTTTATATTCTTTATGATTCTTTTGATCGATAGGGACAGGCGTTAGATTCTGATTCTACAGTATGTCATCGTCGTAGTTTAATTGAAGAAATGTTAGAAAGTCTGGAACAATCTATTCATGTACCAATACTCAATGGTGGTGAAAGCAGAATATTAACTAATGACATGCTAGTAGATGTAAGTTATTAAATGTCTTAATTAGAAGTAGTAGTTTTAATCAAATGATATCCTTTGTTGTTTGTGCTTATTAACGTTTAAATGAAACTATTGATAAGATATTCACACTTAGGTAAGTTACAATTGCATGTAATTCAGAGAAATTACTATAACTATATACATTATAACACCGATTTCTGGGTTTTTTTACTGGAACTTCTGAGTCTGTAAATAGTTCATCCTATGAATAAAAAGATCCAAATAATTGGGGTTGTTATAATAACTGTTTACTTTTATAGTGTTTTTCCTATCACTGATTTCTTTATTTACTTCTATCAGAATGTTTGTTTACTCTATTATCTGAACAATCAACAGTTACGTTGATCATGTTGTAAACAAACTGTTGCTTTTTCAAACTCTAGATTATCATAAGATCGTGTAAAATTATACGTTAATTACAATATAATCCATACTTGTACTAATGAGAGGTATTTTATACGGTTACCGAAGAATTAATATACTCTTTTTGTGTAAATATGGGTAGAAAATGTTATCGCAAGCATTACAATGTTTAGGTGCGTTTACAATTGTTTTCAGAAGCAATCTTAAATTTCATCATTCCATTACTTTCTAGCTTAGTGTTAACTTTCCTGCATATTGGAGTAGTTCTAACTTAAATTCTATCTACAAATCTGAAGATGATGGCTATTGTTTAAACACAGTGTACAGAAAGTGTAAAGATGTTGAAGGTAGTGTTTTATTGCTTATACGTGATACAATGGGCGTTGTATTTGGTGCAGTTATGTCGGAAACAATGAAATGTAGTAAACATTTTTATGGGACTGGTGAAACATTTGTCTTTCATTGGAAACCAACATTTAAAGTAAGTATTTTATACCTTATTTTACACAGTATTATTATTATTATTACATTGTTTATTCAATATTTTATTTGTATATTTTACGACTATGTACATTAAATATTTACTTTGAAATGATCAAGAGAACATAACCGAGTCCTAGAACTGGGTTTCACATTATCTGTCAACAATCAGTAAAACATACCGTGTTCACTTCGTCATTTAAATGTATACATTAGTCACATGGATTATCACTGTTCTACTTCAGCTATAAATTTAAATCAACATATGTTCTCCTTAGCTTTTAAACAAACTCTACTGACGTGTTAAAAATAACTAAGATCAGATACCATCCAAGCATTTGTTAATGAGAACTGTATAAATATATATCCAAATGTTTTACTCGTTGCTCAGTACATACTTTGATGATAATTCTTTTATAGTGGCTATCACTAGAATACATGACACTTATTTTGTCCTGTTTTGAATTCGTACTCTGAATTTTGTTGATTTGTACTGTTGTTCTTTTCAGTGAAACTCGAACACGATTTCATTAGCTTCTCTTACCCTATACTATGTTATATCCACAAAGCTGATGAGTCACAATAGTCACAGTTTTTTTTCAGTAAGAAATTTACGTCTATATGTTTAGTTGTTATAATAAAGAATTCGCAACACAAAACCATATTTCCATAGATTTCACTTTAACTTCGACATGCATCAGTGTTTGTCACGGGTTCTAGCTTACATAATTTCACTTTCGAGTCCAGATTCTTAACTGTGTGTTGATTATTATTTACTCCAATGCGTCCTTCTATTTCTGATTGGGAGCTTTTAAATAGTGTAGTAATATTATTCAGAATGTACACAAATTTGTAGGGATTAAACAATGTATTTCTTACTAGTCACATTCTCATTATGCATCAAACACTGATTTCATGTTATTTGGAAAAAGCTTACTCTAAATTGCTCGAAAGGTTTAATTTTTTAATGACTGTGTGTAACGTTTTTTTCCACAATGTTGAGCAATTGGTGTTTAATTTTTTCACTACTTTCGTCCTAGTATGGTTTGTTGGAGTCAGACATTGACACCGTTGAATGCCGGCTCAGTGGTCTAGAGGTTAAGTGTTCACGCGCGAGACCGAAGCACGTGGGTTCGAGTCCCGCACGCGGGATGGTGGACACACACTGCTAAGGAGTCCCATACTAGGACGAAACGCCTGTATAGTCCTCCCGGGTTTTCAATGCTCGTCTAACATTGATCGGTTCATGATCTCAAACAAAACTCAATTATCTCCACAACCCTGTATTGATAATCATGTCATCACGGTGAAAATAACAAGTAGTTGAATAATTAGTCGACATGATTAAAACCGGAATAAAAGAATATATAAAAATCAATATGATTATGTAAACGATTATCGGTTCTACCCAAGAGTATCTCATCGATGATCAATTCAATATTGTCATCATTTTTCATTAATTAATTATTACTTTTATCATTAATAAGTATTTAACGTTAATTCCTATTGTGGATTGACATCAGTTGGAGTGATATTCAAAAGAAAATAGTAATAAACTGCTAGCGCTGACAAACTAATCAGTAGTATGTACGTACAACTCTACATTTAATCGAAACCTACATCTTTCAGCTTTCACATCAAGCGATATTATGCAGTGATTATCCAGTGTTATTGACAAAATTCGTGCATTTTTTTCTAATTACAGAAATATTGTTGGACTAAGAAGAATTATTTTTTCATGCGAGGATCTCTTCATTCATTTCATATTGGCGGTCAAAGGTAAGTTGGTTTATTTTTCCAATTATTTTGATATGTATAATGAGAAAAATGTTCAATTTTTGTGTATAATGCATGTTAGAATGTAATATGTACTGTTATATAAAGTTTAAATTTGGTATCTACTGTTTGTTAATTGAAGTTTTAACAAGTTTGAACTTTTTCACCCTGAAAACATTTTCTTTTTGAGATCATAGAACAAAATCATTAGAAGAAACTTTGAGAGAAAACTGTTATTCTTTCTGATCGTTATATTTACTATATTGTTGTTGATCTGTTTTGCTACTCATTCTGTTAATTTCATCGTCTGATTGGTGTCATATGGCCACTTAAACCAACACATATGTATGTTGGGCTCTGCGCGTGTTGATAATTGACTAACTGACTCTACATAAGAAAATATAATGGTCAATTGATTCATCTTAGCTTTGAACTATTTGGTAATTCAAAATGTTGACTGTAAATTGAGTTCAAAATCTGAGGCCATCAGATGACTGAAAGAGTATATTAATTTCAGACTACTGATTAAGAATTGGAACGATTTGCATTTTTAACATTAGTCCATTCAAGATATTTCTTAATCCCTAAGTAGATCCTCTACATCTACTATTCCCTGTTTTAATTTCGTCTGAATATTTCCAGTAAGTAAAGTTTACACATAGAATTTCTCTGGAACAGGTTATTAAACTGTGATCATATGACAAATTATTTTAAGAGGTCAATTCTTTTTTTTCTTTTTCTCACAACAGTTATTATGACGACATTTGTCACATCCTTTTTTTGTTTTTTGTTTTTGTCTTAAAGCGGACGAAATGCAATATGGTTTGATGAATCATTAAAATATGGTTGTAGTGAACCGACCGACACATTTGACAATCCTGTACTCAGTGGAAATTTACCAGATATACAATTCTCTTCTTTATCATTGAATAAATCTGATAAAAATGAGAATGTTTTAATAGAAAACAATATTAATAATGTACATGTTAATTCTAATCCATTAAATCCAACGATAAAATCTTCATCTACAGTATGTGATAGTGTTTCATTCATAATTGATACATTTGAATTGTGGCAATTAATCAGTTGTTAGTGTGATAAAGTTTTACATATTTTATTGTATTTGATCTATCTATGATTTCTTGTTATTAACTTATTACAAATCCATGTTTGTTAAATTGTATGACAACTATGTTAGTATCCTTTTATTTTTATGACATATTGTATGTATATGAATGCTAAATTGTGTAATAAGGATAGAAATTGTCAATCTTTTCTTTTTCCTTAGATTATGTTTGATTGACTTGATTGCATTATTATTACTATTATTGTTATGAGTTAAAGGATCTATGATTTCAGCTTGAAAATAATATGTTTACAGGCAGTAATTAATAGATTGAAATGATTTCTCTCTTTTGTTTCGTCATGTCATTCCATTAATTGATCAGTGTGCTTTGTTTCCTTTTTTTTGTAAAATAGTTTCTATTGTTTTTCGTTTACTAAAATATGAATAAACAAAAGTATCACACTTGCTTTTGTGTCATTATCCACAATTATTTCACTTCATACCTACAATATAATATTTATGTTAAATCTATCAAATCGTCTCAATCACCCAATTGAGGTACACGCGCAATCGAATTTCACAAAACAGCGATTTGTCTAAAAACTGGTTCTTTATTGAATAATATACATAAATTAGTTACAAGTCTCAACTTGTGAGGTATCTGTGGCGTTTACCGCGTCTGTAAGTCTGAAATAAATAGGGCTTCCTGCATTAGTAACATAAAGAATAATAACGATATGCAATAGTGCAAATGACAGCTGATAGTTGTGTCTAAACTTGATAACAGTTTATCAACAAACAAAAACGGATTCAAGAGTAAACAATATGGAAACCGTTGCGTTTAAACAAGGATTGAATGACGACACAAAAGCTGTGAATAATTGCTACGGGGATTGGAAAAAATTAATTATAATGATAAATACAAAATTGCTATAAGTTTATGTAAGTATTTTTGAATATTACACGACAAACTTGCATTACAACATACGCATGGAAATTGCTAGGAATACAACTATTTACTGGACACTAATAAGTAGTATAATGCAAAACACAAAATAGTTAAAGGGAAGAGAATAAGGACAGAGATTGTAAAGAGATTTAACAATTTACTAGGAATTATCTAACCACATCTAATGTAAATAACAACTTTTTCACGGTTTAATATCAGCTATAGTGGACCGGCAAAGATTCATGAGGCACAAGGAAGTCGTCCTAAAAGCTACTGAAGTGCAAAGATTTGCTTAGTACATGCACTACCATGTGGTAAACTTGTCTAATTTTCTCGGGTTTCTTGTTCCTGTGTTATGTATAGGTTTCGAATGATTAGAGAAGATTTCCTTAGACCTTGGAATTTATACTGATCAAACTAACTTTGATGTGATTACCTCAAGAGGATTTCTATCCTCAAATGAGATTACTTTCAGTTTTTAAACTTTTCATGGCATATCAGTAAACTCAATTGTGCCATTAATAAATTATTACCCTTTAGACTTATTGGAACGTTGCCTTCGTTTATTTGCAGGCTTTTTGGTTTTGCCTGGATTTGGAAGACTAGTTGAATAATTCACTGAAATATCCTGCTCATATTAAAATTTCTAATGCTGTCTTTGTTTTAATTTGAAACAATATAATTGAATTTTTGTAAAGAAATCAGTAATTTAATAGTTGAATTCATGATTAATTTAAAGCTAGATCAACATGGAAAACCTGGAAACCCTTGACGGCTGTCTCATCCTAGTATGGGACTGCTCATCCGTGATCCTGCTCGCGAGATTCCAGGTTTTCCATGGTGCTCCAGCTTAAATTGACTCATGAATTCAACTATTAAATGACTAAAATCCCTTCTGATAAAAACCATTAATATAAAATATTTCTCTCGTACAACGTATACACAGCTCTTTAAAAAGTATTTTATACATAATTGTCTATTAGAACCCCTTGTGCTCATAAAAATAAATAATCAGACTTATTTCACTTGTTGAAATCATGAGTCAATTGAAGCTAGACCACCATGGAAAACCTGGAAGCAGTGGACGGCCGTTTCACCCTAGTATGGGACTCCTCAGTAGTGCGCATCCACGAAAGGACTTTCAGTCTGACCAGTTTTGACAAAAACGGCTGAAGCAGTAGCCATCCGAATGAAGAAACCGGAGCTATGAGTACAGAATAAATATGTTCAGCCACTCCTCCTCCCCTGGCCAACATCAAGGCCAATTAATCAATCGTAATCTTAACTATTGAATGACCCAATTTGACTATGACCTTTCGTAGTCAATTGTAATTGTCCCTGTTATCTTTATTCATAAATCTTTGTATTATTCGTATTATTACTCTTTATTATTATTATTATTCGTATTATTGGTTAAACATCATTAATCTCCCTACACATGATTCATTCACTTCGCATTCATCCCTCCGTATTACGTCTTACTTATTTGATCGAATTGTAATTGCACTATTATTTCTGAGATGGTGGAGAAGATTTGTAGCTCAGGTGGATGATTTTGGTGGAGTTTCGTTCTCTGAGCTGGATGGTTTGGTCGTGGAGCTTTCATCGTTCTTCTGAACGACATCATCAGCACTTCTATCTGAAGTTTGTGCTGATGATGTCGTTCAGAAGAACGATGAAGGCTCCACGACCAAACCATCCAGCTCAGAGAACGAAACTCCACCAAAAACTATTATTTCTCTCTCACCCTATTTGACCCATATTTATTTCTGATCATGGATCTTAAAATTTTCATTTAACATATACGCAGATTCAAGTTAACATTTTATATGAGTCATATTAACATTAACAATTTTATTGTATTTTGTTTATCACAATCCTAAATTCACATGCTCTAAACGATGTACTTTACCCTTAACTTGGCCATTTTTCGGATTAATAATTTAGATATATAATTGTAGAACCTGAAGGGAATTTATCGAAAAGAATATTCTTCGTTCAAATATTAGTCTTTTAATATCATTTGTGTTAATATTACCAGTCATTAGTCGCTCAAGTCTTTGTTCTACGTAATCTGGCGAGACTATAATTTATGGACGAACCATTCAGACTTATGATAACATGTCATGGATTTTGGTATGAAATTCATTCATCCATTTGGCTAAATAGCATTTTGACACTTAAGCTGAGGTCAGTTCGTGATGAAAACCCCAAAGCTAATTCCTAACCCTAACCATCAACACCAAATCATAATCATGAATCCTTATACTGGTTTATAACCCCCTAGTAAATGGGTGGACATTCTCAAAGTCACTTGAGCGTCGCTCAAAGGTCATTCATAAATTCTAGTCTCAACTTTATCATCATGAATTTCTCTACTCTTTCCTATTTGACAATAATTTTGAAATCGAATAAGAGCGTGGTGATACATAGAAACAATAAACGTTTTCTCACTGAAAAAATTTAGTCAGGTTCTAAGATGAATAGATCGTAATTTCTGACCATTATAAAGTCTAGATTTACAGTAGTAAAGCATTTTAAAATCCTGGTTTCCTATAAAACCATTTATTATTTCTCAAGACAGTATTTTTCTAGAGGTAGATTCTTTCATCACTTTGGTTTAAAGTGTGAAGGGAGACTCATGATATGCACAGTTTAATAATGTGAAATCATTTCTGAATTCAGATCAATTTTCTTTTCGACGAAATCAGTTACTTAAGCTATGCATTCTTATACATAGTTATATGGAAAATATATGTCTATAGGAGGATAGAAAAGATTGCATCACAAAAATGGATTCGAGAATAAATAACAAATGAGGTTACGTACTAACTAATCAAGGGGTAAAGAAGAAAATAATTTATGGGTCAGATAATAGTTTTTTCGCTAAATTCTCTTTTTCTTATTTAATGATATCATGGGTTATTTTAATTATCAGATTAATTTAGCAAGTCAAAACAACTGAAGTTTTAAAATTATTTACCAATTTAAAGCCTATGAGTTAAAGAGATAAGTTACAGATCGATGGCTATAGATATCAGATATCGCTAAGTCATTAAAATATAACACGACTTGCTTGAGTTATAATTTCATTTTTGTAATTTGGATACTTTTGAATATCTTAGCTACACACAGTTTTATCAAAAACCTTTACTTACATTGCAATAGGCGTGTCCAAAACTATCCCTGTCATATCATATAAAGGTGTGAGCCTGTGTATGTAAGCATGTGATTGGTTGTTTCAACAGTGTTGCTTTCTAATAGTTGATGAGGGGAAACATAAGCGTTTTTTTTCCAGAATTTATATTAATCTTCCACTTTTTGGATTTTTATTAACTTCAACATATGCATTCATTTGAGTGGATTTTTTCTAATCATTATTGTTCAATGACCATTAAGACTATGTTAAGCATATCGACACATCCATTTACAAATTGTTTTTGTAATGAATTTTATACACACAGTACATTTGAAAAAGTTTGAAATATCAAATTTTTAATAAATTTAGAATTAACAGAATGGGGATTTGTAGAGATTGTAGTGATTTTAATAGTTGAATTCGTGAATCTTATAAATACTCTAAATATCCTTGCTCTGCCAGTACTCTTCATAGATACAAGAAGTAGTGGAACGTCACAATTGATTGATCACTGGGTGGTGATCAGTGTCATGCTTGTCTAGTCCTTATTAGTGCAGATCTAATGATATCGATCATGTTACAATTTGGCCAACAGTCTAGGTGACTCGACACTGCGGGCACTATGTATTGATATTTAGATGGTAGTTGGAGGTAGTCAACAGGAAACCCTGGACCCGGGTTTCGTGCTACTTGACACTCGTCAGGAAGGTGTACCTGTAATCTTGAGGGAACTCGTGCTCCCTGGCGGATTCGATCTCGTGTCACCCAGCTTCACAGTCAGAGACGTTACCACTATGCTATCCGAGACGTGACTAACCTCCTATAGGACTGAGATGTAATCACAATTGATTGATCACTGGGTGGTGATCAATGTCATGCTTGTCTAGTCCTTATTAGTGCAGATCGGTCAATCAATCGTGATTACATCTCAGTCCTATAGGAGGTTAGTCACGGCTCGGATAGCATAGTGGTAACGTCTCTGACTGTGAAGCTGGGTGACACGAGATCGAATCCGCCAGGGAGCACGAGTTCCCTCAAGATTACAGGTACACCTTGCGGACGAGTGCCAAGTAGCACGAAACCCGGGTCCAGGGTTTCCTGTTGACTACCTCCAACTACCATCTAAAGTAGTGGAACGTAGATGCGCACTACTTTACGGCTGAGAAACGTAGAAGATATTCGCAAGTTACTAGTATTTGATCTCAGATATCTTAGAAATATTGCTCGCATCTGCTGGGATCACCGTGTGAGTAATAGTGGGGTTAAACTTAGGATATTAGGGAATGATGGTAAATCAGTTGATGAAGTTGTCAATCTACATCGACTGAAATGGTTGGGACATGTATTACCCAAGCCGAACTACGAACCAATTCTTTTTCCTTGTATTATATCTTTATATACAATCCTTTTTTAATTATCACTACCACTGAAGTAACTACTGCTATGAATTTGATGTTCATCTTGGTGTGCCAACTTGAACTGATTTATAAATGTGCTTGGTCCTACGTTGTAGCTAATTGGTGTTTTTATTAGATATTGACAGCTTGTTATTGAAGAAAATAGATGATAACGTGTATTTTGACTGGAGTAGAAATTCATGTGATACTTAGGTTACGAACTTAGTGAATGTAATAGATGCAATAAATAAACTCTTTTAAATTTTACAAAACGTCGTGAACGTTTCACGCAAGTCCTGAATTCTACTACTAGCCACCATCCATATTTGCTTATAATGTTTAGGATATTATATTTGTTATCCGAATGGATTGTTATTTTTTAATATAAAATTCATAAAAAGTACATACAATTGTTAACAATTTAATATTAAAAAATTGTGGGACCACGTAACCTACTCATTTTAAAATAGTTGACGTAGGTCTATTACAATAATCTGATGAAATCGATCTAATAATTAGATCATTTTAGGACATTTTTATCAGTAGTATCACTGGCGTCTTCAAAACAAAGTTATTAGGCTTAATATGCAATGGAAAGAAGTATATATTCGAATAATTATTTACAAGGAAGTTGGATTAGAACTAAAACCATAATTCATGTATCGATTCTGGTTAAATTAAGTGGAATTAATGAAACCGGCGAACATCCACCTAATTTGTATTACCATACGACTGTGTATGTGACTCATTTACCAAGGATAAGTTCACGTATTTAAAATTAAGTTGCATTGAAATTTTTAAGTTATTAACAAAAACATGGTTTGCTCAGATTTAGTTATATATTTCTTATACAATTGAAAGATAGTAAATTTTGTACACAAAGGAAGAGTTAACTAACCAAAGAACTAGTTTACACAGATAGATAATATAAATCGAGTACTGTACACATCTGGAAAACAGATTAATAACATAGAGCACTTAAAAATCTCATGTATTAGGTTCGATAATGAAAATTTACAAAAACGTTGGTTAGATTGACAACGGTATCAATTATTGAATATTCATAATAATAATAATAATAATAACATATAAATTCATAATAATGGGATATTCCCATAATCGGTTTAACCTTAATGTTCTGTAAATTTGTTCATAAACATAGTTTACTTATTGAACAAAATACAATCATATGGTCAATTGGTACACAGAAAAATAGATAGATGTTTATTTAATTCTTAAAAAGAGAACACACTAAATGCGTCGCGTTAGTTGTATCATCATCACTCATACGTATAATGATAATAATAATAGTAGTATTAATACTTACGTAATATGTAATATTTTCATCTTAGAAAAAAACATAATCTGAGAACAGAATAAGATTTACTTCTTTAAGAAAAAATTCTCAAAACAAATAAATGAACAACCGAATAAGCAGATGGATGAAGATTGTAAAATAACAAAGAGAGAAGATTAGAAGAATTTCAAAAATCATAAAAATGAAAATAAAATCCACTATATTATACAACTTGCCTATAATTTATATTCGGATATACACAGTGATTGTATGTCAACGGATTCCATTCAAAAACAAATAATAAGAATAACTAATCAATTAGCTAAAACTAGGACGTTTATTTGTACTGATAATTTGATTTCTGCTATGATGATTATGACTTGAAGTTCGTAATGTCTGTGTTTGAATGGAATCGACTCGACAAAAAATGGAAGAGGAAACTGAAGAAACACGATGTCGATTCTCAATAGATAGACTAGATGAAGATGAAGAAGATTGTTGATGATAATTTCTAGTGAATGGACGATCATAAGAAAAATTTGATTTATTAATTGGAATATAGGTAACAGGGAGTTGTCGAGTGATTGCAACTGTTGTCGGCGTTGTTGTTGTTGTTGATAGATTAAATGATGAATATGGTTGCCTGAAACATTTAAAATATAAAAACTGTGTTGAACTAGATATTAAGTACATAGTGGATAATTTAAATGTAGTTAGCGAGAAAGTATTCTATATATAAACGCCATAAGAAATAAAGAATTTGTGAATAAAGAAAATAACATACATAGTTAGATAAGTGATAAAGAACCGAAAATTGGTTTATTTTGTGATTATACGCTTTTAATTTGACAGTACTGTTGGTCGAATATTTTGTGCATTAAACTGGTTGGTTGTGTGTCCCGGTGTTTGACGTGGTAGATGAGATCAATCTACAAATAATAAAAGTCAGAAAAGTTTACGCCTGTCTGAGCTATTTTCGGTGTCATTACACCATCTGTCTGATTTTAAAATGTGTGTAAAACACGTGATTGAGAGCAGTACTACTCTGTTTCTGTAACACCGGATGACTCAAATGGACGGATGTTTGGTGAACTTATGTGTTCAGTTATTGTTGTCTTTGAAGTTCTCGCATCAGGTGAAACCAAAGTGTAGGTAATGCCGACGTCCGGTAATTCGCGATAACAATTCAATTACTAGAACGATCTAAAAATACTGACTTTATTATTTTTCACTGGTTCATCAAAGTAAGATAAGCGTCTACTGATTGTTTTTTAAAATAAAATTTTTATTTTACTAACTACTACCTTTGTTTATGTATTTAAGGATTATGCTTTAATTCCATCTTGTACTTTCAAAATAGTATTATCCTAATTTCTGTGGCAAATGCTTTTTACTCCAAGCTTTACCAAAATGTTTATGTATTATTAATGACCACAAAATAACGGCAGAATTGTTAGAGATGGATAAAAGTATAATTCAGTGATAAAAGCTTGTTAAAACAGTTGAGGTGGTTGTTAGAGGTTATCGAAAGGAAACCGTAGAACTAGATATCGTGCTACTTAGTATTCATCAACAAGGCGTGCCAGCAGTCTTTAGAGAGCTGATGTTCTCTGGAGGATCCGATCTTGTATCACCAAATTTCATAGTCAGATACATTTACCAATGAATAACATCGGGTACAATAGACCTCTTGTAGGAGTGATGTACGTATAGTTGTTTGATCGTTAAGAAATGATCAATATTATGTATGTCAAGTCTTTCCTTAATGCTGATAGAATTTTATTTATCAAGTTGTATGTGGCCACAAATCCAAGTGACTTAACATTACAAGCACTATGTAGAGATATTAAATGGTTAATCTGTTGGTATTCCATGCATGTATAAAAGTGATGATTAATTTACATCAAATACTGATGAACGTTATGTACTCAAAGTTGTATACTAACTATAAGAGCAAATCATATATAATTCAATGTATTTAGATATAGTTTGATTTATTTACGGTGTGTAATAAATCCTCATCTATAGTCATGCCTGTTCTTGCAATAGGCCAAATCATACTTTCTCTGCTGTAACAAGTGGCTGCTTTTTTGTAGTTATAACAAGAAGTCATACAACACAGAAATACTAACACATTATATAACAAAAATTAACATACCGCCGATGTGAAGAACCGGTAGAGATTGTTTGATTTTCCAACAATGAACTGTAACCACTGGGTGAAGTTTGAATTTGTGACAATCTAGGAGTATGAACCGGATAATTTGATAAACATTGTTTTCCATTGAAAAGAGAAGAATTTTGCAGTACAGATGAATATGTATTGTTGGATTCTTCCGCATGTAATTCTTTCAAAGGTGTTCGTAAAGACCCGTTAATAATTCGATTATTTCGGTTGTTACGATCTAAAGTGGAACTAAATGACCTATTTTGGAATGGTGGTGCATAATATGAAGTTGGAGTTGTTGTATGCATATATAAAATTTTATTATTAATAGGAGTTGATTCCATAGAAGGTATATCTAAACGTCGCCATTTATTGACTAAAAGTTTCATTCTAAAAAGTGAATAAATTTGTCCAGGTAAAATCCATATGAAATAAAATATATAGTACAGTAAATTTATAATTATTTTGGAACAGAATGCTAAATAAATTAGAAGACGGAAGATCAAACACCAATATACTTGATCTTCATTATGAACATAGATTTACCTTAGAAATTCGTGATTAAAAGTATGGCATATTGTCAAGAAATTCATTGAGTGATTGGTTTGAACTGTTTATAAAGTTTAAAGACGTTATAGATGAGATTCTAGAGTTAATCAAGCTGGATAATACAGTTCTAAATAATTCACATTAAAGTAGACATACTTGTCGCTTATTCTTATTAAAAAAAAAGTTTACTATTTTTCATGTTTGTGCAAATTATAATTTCTCGATTATGCATTTGTCAATGAGTGACTTTAGAAGAGCGTATGGACCCAGTACTTTTACTATAGAAGTAAAATCAACCGTTTTTTTTCAACGAACTATGACAACATTATTAATGGAAACATTCAACCAATGACTACAGGTTTATTATTTTATTTGGTGTAAGCTGTCGAATATCTATCAAAGTCTCAATAGACGTCAATAATGTTTATCAAATAACAGATAGCTGACAACATTCAACCGATTAATTTTTTTGTTTTTAAATTTAATATCAGTCAACGTCAAATTTTGCAATTTAAATGCAAAATATTTACTTACCTCTGAACATTTGTTGACATTGTAACCGAAGAGAATTAAGTTATCTGTCAAGAATATCAGCAGTACACAACTAACAATAAGAGTAACTTGCACAGGCAAATCAACAAGGTTGATTAAAAACAACCACATGTCATTTAACAAGACTATCCTATACGACAAGCGTTCATAAACTCTTAAGCAACCCCATAGGATGCTCGGCGTAAGACTCGAATTTATTAATCACATATAAACAGTATCAAATTAATTCGACGGATAAATAATATACTATTATTATTATTACAATACTTTAACTCACCTATGAATAACTTGGAAAACACGACCTATGGTACGAAATTTTCGGAGTGGGCTTAAGTTCACTTGTGAAGATCTATTTTTAGGATCTGTTTGTGAGGTGACTCGAGATTCAGGACATCCAAGAATTGCAACCACTACATTTTCTGTATATTGAAAATTACCCAAAAGAAGAAGTAAATAATGTTTTTGGAATGATAGTGAACGACGATAGCTTTGAGCACGAAGAAAACGGACGTATAGCGAGAAATACTAAAAAAAAATAGTGAAAAAGTAGAAATGAGATACGTTTTTGAATAGTGATTTAAGTAACGGCATGAGGCAAATTATACTGGTATAAATTGTGAGGAAAATGTCATATTACATTATCAAGAGTTAATGAAAAAAACCAAGTGAACATTAGACAAAAGCTATTGCCATTAGAACTGATTACTTTATTTACAAGATACAGTATTTCTCTGTTCGAATTATTATTAGAAACAATGTACATTGAATTTTAACAGTCAAGATTATATGTAGAATAAGTCGAAAATTAGTGAAGAATGAATACATTGATCAATTACTATCAGTGATAATTGCCACAGTAAAAATCACATAGATATCTGTAAACAATAATTGATATGAACTGATGATATGCCATATATAATCAATCCAAAAACTGATCTGATAACAACAACAATAAAATTAGACATTTTGGTTGAAAATATTTAAACGAAACTTAAATCACAAAAATTTATCGTTGACAGACAAACAACTGCTTTAGCTAAGAATAACAGTATCACATTAGAACAACGAAAAGAAATTGATATTACTGACTAGGTTATTGTGTGATACTATCAACTATGATAGGTAACCTATACAATTCAACCATCAATTAATCAACTACAAGGATACCATTATTATTATCATCACCATCTATCATCGTCTTCAAATAATAAAAAAAATACTAACAAAATATTAATACTCATTGAAATCATGAACCGATCAATATTAGACCACCATTGAAAACCTGGAAACACTGAACGACCGTTTCGTCCCAGTATGGGATTCCTCAGCAGTGCGCATGTATGGTCTCACAAGTAGAACTCAAACCCATGACCTTCAGTTTCGTCAGAACGCTTAACCTCTAAACCAAATAGCCGGCATTAACGGTGTTAATGTACTATAAAATGATAAAAAAGCAACTCAGTGCTTCTAGGTTTTCAATAGTGATCTAACTTAGATCGGTTCAAGATCTCTATGCAAGTTAACAAAATGTTAATAATCGTAATTGAATTATATATCCGAACTCCAATGGATATGGATTATAAAGAATATAATTTGAGTCTCTTACAATCATGAATACATTCAGCAATATAGCAAACAAAGAAAAAACGGTTGTGTAAGAAATGCACGTAAATGACATTGAGATCAGTAAACTTATTATAATTATAATTATAGACAATATTCAAATACGTACTTGTTCCATAGACACAGTTTGATTAATATGAACACTTGGTGAAGACGGCATTACATTAGTTGTCATAATGGGTAAAGTTTGGACAGAGTTATTTATCTTATTCGAATTTGCCATATTTATAGTTTTCACGTGACTGTCAGATGTAGACTGGAGCTGATAAGAAAAAAAAAACAAATATTTAATATCTTTAACAGAAAAACAAATTTTGGTGTACGGAAATTTGAGTCAAATAAATAAGTATACTACTTAAAAACTACCGAGTACACAATGTGCATAATGAGTAATTTCAATAAGTACAGTAACGAAATTACTTCCCAGCACATAACTAACCAATTGAACCATACAAAAAAGATCTTTAACGAAAATAATTGAGCTCATCTTGGTATATAACGAATTTACAGTTTACTTGTAACGAATAAATTAAGTGAGATACATTCATTTATCATTACATATAACGTAATTTATTGTTCATGAAGTTGGAAGTAGTTTCATGAACAATCAATTTATATTGCCTGTGAAAAATGTTCGCTAGAAATAAACTTCATATTGAGAAACAGGTTTAAAACGCTAAGAATAAGGTCTCAAAACAATTTGTTTATTTTTAAAAAGAAACGTACTGAATTATTTAGAGTATCAGTAGATCGTCTGTTAGTTGCCTTATTAGATCTGTAAGATCCTTTATTGAGTATGCCACAGTTATTATTACCATTATTCAATGAGGATTCGTCGCGTTCAGCATCTAGACGATAACCACCATCACGATTTAAAGAATTTATGATTCCAGACCCAATGAAAATATTCTCTCCAATACTATCATCGTCTGATGAATGTGAATCAGAATTATGATCATCATTATCATCACCCTTTTGTAAATCATCATTACGTTCATCTACTGCAACGCGTGATAGTAAATCTACGCAAACATTTTTTAGTTTAGTAAACTTGGCACTTGTCAATTCTGACTGATCTCCACAAACAGGCGATTTTTTCTTTGTAGCTGATTGTTTTATCATGGAACATTGTGATGTATTATTAATACCTGAAAGATTAAAAGTACCTGGCAGTACAGATGTCAAAGTAGGCATGAGACGAAGTTCTGCTTCGGCGAGATTTAAGCGTAAACCATGAGCAGTCGCCTAAAGAATGGTGAAAAAGAAAACAATTAGACTTTTATTATAACTGGAAAATTTGCTTCATCAACACAGTTATAAGTGGGTGGATAACTGTTTCATCCTGAGAGTCGTTGTTGTTGTTTACGTGTCGACCCTGTTGTGTCTGCAATCATACTGCTTTTACTCGACAATCGAAAACCGGTACAATCCCTTGATCCTACTGCTTATACAGGGAAATGGTGACCACCTAGATTCCTACGACATAGTGAGAACACAAACGACTGGCGCAATGAAGGTTTATTGACTCCCGCAAAACTTAACTCCAAACAAGTCCCAAAACCACATCATAATAAAAACAAATGCAAACATTTATATACTAATTTTGTACATAAACTTCATGGTACTTTTTAAGGAGAATAAATACCTTTACTGTAAAAACACCCAACGAACATAGTCCACGTAAATTAATACAAGTAATAATATTGTCTCATTGAACGAAATTCACACTTGTCGTCCTGGCCGAAATTGATAATGTTTTGATACAAAAAATATGAACCTAAAAAATGTCATCTTTTTTTAATGTAACTCTCAACCAGGTAGAAGTTCATGTACCCATATTTTGACACCTAGTAATACTATCCAGTGGAACAAGTTAATATATACATATAATTAAATTATTAAAATATGAATATTTTAACCATCGATTCACTGGTTCCCATAATATCCAATCAAAATAATTATTTACTTCAAAATATCGACAATCAAACATAACAAGAACATAAAATTTATCCTACCTGTAATTCTTTGACTTGATTTTGTAATTTAATTGTATCACGTCGAGTAGATGCTAAATGAATTGTGGCGAGATTTATCGCTTCATATACACGTTGATTAAGATTTGATGAACAATCATTAGGTGCTTTATTTTCATTAGCCGTAGTTATATTTTCACCAATAACATAATTATTATTAATATTATTTGGCATTAGTGTAGTTCTGGTAAAGCAAGAACCATGAAGAGGGAAACAAGTGAAAGAGGCATAATTAGATTTTTTCAAAATAAAAATAAATTTAATAAAACAAAAAAAAACACAATACACTGCTTTCATTTGACTTTACGGGAAATGGACGATTCACCAAGTTGACATTAGAAATTGACCTTAATCAGATAACCAATAAAAACTAAGTAACACTGAACACATATTTTATTCTAACACTTAACTACTCAGCAGTGAGCATTCATGACCTCATTGAGGTTTGAAGAAAGGACATCTGAACATTACATTGAGTACTTCACATTTAAAATGCTGAATTACTACTATACAATGGTTCACACTTATAACTCCAATCATTTCACGGGACAAAGGAAGGTCTTGGGTTCGATGCCAAGTAAATTCATGTATGCTCACTATTGAGGAGTCCCGCATTAGGATTAAACAGTTGTACATTGTTTACTGATTTTCAATGTCGAACTAACTAAGAGCAACCTGTGATATGAACTGTATTGCTTAAAGATCTCTACAAACTCGTCATACCAATTAAAGTAGTAATTTACTAAATGACAGAATATTAGAATTTCAACTTATGTAACTGTTAACGCAGTATTAGTAAAAACCAAAATAATGTAAGCAATGATAATTCCAATATTGTTTCCTCCTCTTAAAAATCACAAATTTCTTAGCTTAAATGTGCATAAAACAAATGAAATAAAAACTCTTTTATATACACTTGAAATTTATCGCAAGAAACCACAGTATTTATATTCTTATCTTCGAAAGAAATACAAACACCATTACGAAAAATTAAATAGAATGTTATAAGGCTTGTTCAAGTGTCAGTGTTAAAATTTAAGAATGAAATCGCTTATTATAAGGTCCACAAAGCTAATGAATGGATAGGAACGGAAACAAACGTTTTACTTCGTTAACACGGGTGACTATACAATAATAATAAATCCATAGTACAGATAGAAATTTAGAGATATCAGATTTTAATGAGCATACTGTATACAAAAACATTGTCGGACAATACCGAACAAGACAAGGTTAGGAACAGGAAAATTGATGATGTAAAGAAACTAAATACTCACTGATAAGTGTTCTTCCTAATTTGGTCATATAATTGATCCAATTCAATTTTTAATGACTGAGCTCGATTCTTTTCATTTGTTAATGATATTTTTAATTCCTGAGAATATACAATAAAAAAATGTTAAAGAAACTAGAAAAAGCTCTACATCTAATTTTTGTATTGTAAAATTTACAGGCCGTCTTTGTCTTCACAAAAAACACTGAAAACATAACTATTCATAACATATACGACTTTGGGTAACATTTCAAACACCAGGCTTAAATTACAAAAATTATTTCAGATACTAGTAGAAATAAATTCCTTTAATAATCATTTTTGATTAATGGTTATAATTAAAGTATAGACAGTGATTGAATTCATCAAGAAACCATAATAATAACAGATTAAATTCCTTTTTAGGCACATACATGCAGTTATAAGCTGAAATAGTAATACAATGGTTCACTACTATTATTTATTTATTTTAACACAGAAATATTGGTACAAAGGAGCACCGAATTTATATGCGTCATACAAGTCACTTATTTTGTGTGTGGGCTACGATACTACCCGGGTGCCCAGACCAAAGCAGGTGGTTTTCTTATTGAGTCACACCCAGAGCCTTCAACCTAAAGGTCTGATCCACAAGCAACGTCAGGAGATGCATTCCCATGGTAGCCGGTGACCAACAATTGGTTCCTACGCCATTTTTCCATCAGGATCCTGGAGCCCATGTGCATCATTGGTTTGGAGTCAGGGTTTTCCAACTCCCCTATGTGAACCCCACCTGTCCACCAAACTGGTTAAAGCGCCGAATATTCGCTTTTCGTCCTCTGAATTTCGTAAACAACACCCTCAACGCGAGAGGGCAGTGAGTAGGACTTCCCTGGTAGCGGTTGTATGCACGTGGCCATGTGAGAGCATTTCGAGAGGGAGAGTTAACTCTCCCCACCCTAGGCTGTACCAGGGCATTTGAGGGCTAATGTTTTAATTGACTAACGTCCAACCATTGGGTTGAATGTTCAAACTTTACTTTAAATAATTCATTTTAATTAGTCCATTCATATCATTAGTTCGTATATATTAGGTATAATTAAAAATGAACTATATAAACATGTAATGGAAAAATTAATAATCATCATTCAACTGATAAAACGAAATACACAATGTTAAAATTAACTTTTCACCAATCAACAAAATTCTCTTTTGTGCATATTATCATCATTTTTCCAGAAAAAAAATGATAATATGAATATTATAAGTAAGTAACTGATAGAAAAGAAAATAGATTTACTTGAATTAAATTATTTGATGATGACAATTCATTTTCAGCTTGAATCTTAGCTGACTGTAATGTTTCAAGTTCCGTACGAAATTTCTCTGTTTGTGTATTTTCTTTACATAATTGTAATCTGGAATAGTACAAATATCCGGAATATATATAGGAGTAAAATAATCAAAACAGTGTATGAACCCGAATCCAAATGTGAAATACGGAGAAAATTTAAATCCTTACTTATCTACCTTACTTATGGTGACGGTAAATACGATATAATAGTTTCTTTTGTTATTAGTATTCAATGAATAATAGACGATGATTTCAATGAAAGAAGAGGAGGACCTCCTTAAATCAGTGAAATAAACAATATTATAAATATGTCCCAACAACAAACGTTTGGAATGGTCACGACTTAAATACGTCCAAAATGTGTCATTTGTAAATTTGAAAGGTTAATTAAGAAAGAGTAGGGAAATTTCTTGTTGGGTATAGAGGTGTGCTGTAAACAGTATAATTATAAAATAAATCATGGGAATGTAATCCATAATGGGATAAATGTTATGTCGAGTAAACTAATATAATAGTAGTAATAAAAATAACTAACTACTGAAAATATCATATGTCGTAGGTGAAATGCTGTCAGGCCTATAATAACGATGGAAAAACCTATGCGAATTGAGAAGGATTAGTGTATAAATCAATAATGAAATAGAGCGGAGATAAACAGAAAAGGTGACTGAGTATTTAACGGTCTAAAATATACAGTTTACGTATGAGGTGACCATATAATGGGTCATATTAGGTAGAGAAACACAATATATATCTCATTTGAAGTTGACCCCGATTGCTCTACATATTATGCAGAGAACTTATCATCATTTTCCCTATAAATTTATAAAGGATACGCTTTGGACGTATTTAAACATCAACCGAATTATAAGTTCACTAAATCAATATATCTTTAAACTTGTAAACAAATAATACACAAATATATTTCAGCCAATCAAAAAGTACCACAGTTACAAACATTAGATACATTCAAAAAGGCAACCATTGTCCCAATGGTTCACAAAATGAAATTAAAGCCAAAAGAAAAACAAAGTAACAATTATAGAGTGGTGAGATTCAAACAAAACAAAAAGCCGTTATTGTGCAAAAACATATACAGCAAAAACAGATCACCTTAAAATTGCCTGTGGAAAAACACGTTCAATAAATAAACTAGTTATCAGTATTCTTCCACTGAAAAAAATTGTTTTGAGCAAAACGAAAGATAGTAAGAAAAATAATCGCATTAAGTAGAAACCGGATAGTACTTAAGTGATCAGTTGCTAGACGTTCAAGAATAAGATATGATAAAAAACTGCTGCCAAGCGAAATGATTTACAATCATACTGGAGCAGTGTTTTTTTTTTCTAATACAAACGTTCATATTCCTTCCTCTCAACGTAAAGCAGAAAAGAAACGAAAGTTGGACAGTGTTGACAAGTGCTCAGCATAAAAGAGATCACTTTACCGATTTTAATGAAAATGAAAAAAACGCTAACCATTTGACGTATATTGATACTATGGTCAGTAACTAAATAGTGGTGTATAGCCGCCGAAGCAAGTAGGTAGCGTGTAGTGGGTAAGGATAGAAATGTAATTGTAGAGATTCAGATCACCACCAAAACAGAAATATTTGTGATACCAAAGCGAGCTCTGTAAAAATAATCTTGTAGTGCGATTAGACTGTGCAACGACTTCTTGATTTTCCCAAATATCTTCAATATATGATTATTCCTTGTATTTTATGGGTCGTACTATAAAAGTTACCAACATGAAAAGGTTACTCATAAATCTACAAATACTTTGGTTTTCCGTACATAAGCTAACCTTGAAGTAAAGCCTCTCATATTAATGAAGACCTCTATACTGTTTGATGTACAAATGTAGGGGAATTCTGGAGATCTAGGAAATCATTATCAAGTGTTCGAGCAACAGAAATATTAGTATTCTAATAATTTAGTGAGAAAATAATACAAACCTATTTAGCTTTTGGGTAATAATAGATATGCATATGATCTGAAAATGAGTAATACATTCGTAAATGATTATATTTTATAAATAACAATGTCATGTATTAAACCTAACCTTAACTGTTCAACATTAGTTCGTTGACGCTGAACTTCATCTTCCTTCAATTGTAATTCATGCTGTGTATGAACAAGATCAACTTGTAAATCACACAATTGACCTTGCATTTCATTAGTTCGATTATTTGCATTATTCAATTCTTCTGATAACGAACTTACAACTTTAGTCAAACGATTCACTGGAATTTAAAACAAGGCATATGATTTAATATTTTAAAAATGTGAAGATAATTATTACACTTAAAGTGGGCATATAAAATTAAAGAGAGCTGTAAAAACAAAATGTAATTACATGTTAATAAAAGATATTAGTCGCGAAATTGTGTAAACAATCAGAATCAGTGAGGGTTGAATAGCTTCTTTTGTTTGAGTTTGGGACACTTAGGAAAAGTGAAGCCATTACCCTACTAGTGATGGAAGTTAGTATCTTCAGGTTGTATGGTAAACATGCTGCTCACCGATCATTTATTCGGAACATAAATATTCACATTTCCGATGTTAGTTAATTAATAGCACAGCACGACTAGTCAAGCATAAGTAACAGAATCAAACATATATCAGCATCGGCCAAAGTTGCTAAAACATATCAAGAACACCGAGACAAAATCATCATGATGATTACCAAAGTAGCATGAGTAGTAAAAAACCAAAAAGGATACAAAATATAATTCGAGATAAATAAATAAGTTCGAAGAACAAAAGATATGAAAAAAAAACTAATAAATTAGACACAAATACTGATGACATTGGCCATTGTTCAGTGATCGATCAATGTAAATATCTTGAACCTATATGTCGCCAGTTGCTGTCTGAATAGCTTGATTGTAACCTTTCATACTATGAAACTGGGTGCCCTGGGTTCGAATCCACTGGGGTGCTAACGTCCAAAAAAAACGTAACAAATCCTAACTAGCACGAAGGTTAAGAAATTCATTTAGAATACCTTAAACCACCTAGACACTTTACAAGCATTTTGTAATAAATTAAAACTAATTAACATTGAAATATTTCATGAATTTTTTTCTAGAAACGATTTCATCAAAAAGAGCTACACCTATTTCACCATATATTAGATTTTATTTGACATTTAACAACTATATTTCGACTTCAACGTTTAAGCATATGAATAACAAATATTCAACTCTTTGAATAAAAAATAAGCTACTTACTTTCGCCTACCAAAGCATCAGAACGATTAACATGGGTTTTCAATTCAGATTTAAATGAAGCTTCTTCTACATGAAGAACATCAATAAGACATTTACGAAACTGTAAGAGAAATATAACAACAAATGAATAAATCAGTCAATTATCAACGTCATTATTTTCTGTAGCCTTTCAATAGTTACTGCCGGTTCCAAGCCCGGATAAAAAAAGAAGTTGAGCGCAAAGTCTGCAACGCTATCCCGTTAAAAACAACCTTACTAAACAAACGCTAAGCAGGAAAAAAACACCATTTAAATATAAAAAAAAAGAACAATAATGGCAGAAAGAGAAATACCTCATCTTCACGACGCATAAAAGCTGATATTCGTTCCGTCAAATGTTTTATAATTTGGCACAAAATATTCTCTGTGGGTAATTGCACTTCTGGATTGGGAACCGATAACGTCCTACTTCGAAGTATATCACAAGTTTGATTAATCGAAGAAGTGATTACTGAAATCCAAAGTTTCTCATCGGTATCCAAAGCTTTAGTTAATGAAACTAAAAGTCGATTCATAAACATTCTCATTGTTTCTTCACCATCTTCGAAGGTAGACTGGTCTTTATTAATCCATGAATTGTTATGTATAATCTATAATTAAATGTTAAAATGATAAATTTTTACGAAAATAATACACACAAGAATATTACTCAAACAAAAAAAATTAAGAGTTGAGTTCATGAGTCGATGTAAGCTAGACCCCACCATTGAAAACCTGGAAGCACTGGTACGTACTAGGACGAAACGGCCGTACAATGCATCCAGGTTTCCAATGGTGGTCTAGTTTACATCGACTCATGAATTCAGCTGTTAAGATTACTACAAACTCCACAAACCTTCATTCTTAAAAAAAATTGTCAAAAATTTAAATACCTTGGTCACTTCATTAACTGCTTCTTTCAAATCAAAATAGGAATTACGAATTTCAATAATCCAAGGGGCACATTCATTATATTCTACCTTTATAGTAGTTTCTTCATTATCATTTGTTTTATTAATTAAAATACTTCCTGGTCGATCACAAACTGATTGACGAGCAGTCGCAATTGCAGTCACTGTTGCAAGTCGAACACTCTCTTCTCTTAAACGATTAGATAAAGTCTAAATTAAAAGAAATACAGTATAGCGTTACATAACATAACATGTTAAACAGTATTATCACAAAAAAAAAAAAGAATAAGCATGCGACATGACATTCTTAACTTCAGGAGGCCCCGTTAAACAAGCACATATTAGAACTGATCTTATGGATATATTGCAGACCTGACCAAAATAAGGTGTGTATCGAATGTATTAACAACAAGAACCTTCGATTTTTTAAAGAGAAAACTGAATGCATTACGAAAAAGTGCCATAACTGAACTGTCTCAGAAAAATGAAAATTAACATTTTGCATGCATCAAACCATTAAAAAATATATTAAATCAACGATTACATTGAGCTCAGCTGCGACAGCTCCTGAAAGTGCATCATTCTCCACTGATAAAAATGTTGAGTTAGGTGACTCTTCTTCCTTAGGCGTAGATGTTGCCCATATTTGATGAATATGTTCTTGTTCAATGTTAGGATGAAAATTTTTACGATCGGATAGAATATTCAGTTTTACATCTTTACTCGGATCAGAATATACAGAAGGTTGATTTTCAAGTGAAATAGGGATCTATTAAAATTGAGAAAAAATGTTCAAAATTGTAAACGCTACTACGAAGTGAAACATTTAATGTCTTAGAGAATAAAATGCGAAAGAATATCTAGACATAAAATACTTCCAAACAATCGGTTATTCATTTAACGAAGTAACTTTTAAAACAATTTAACAGCTAAACAAAGTTTTTATTACGTCAAAACTTACTGAAAAACAGGAGAGTACGAAGATTGAATAAATGTCACTTTTATTTATCGAATAAAAGTGAGAAAGAAAGATATGACACAGTTAACTTCCTCATCACAATAAACTGACTTGAGCCTAGAAGCTGATATTTATAATTTTCTTCGCTTCCCTCCATCGTAGTTGGTTTTACTCAACACAAAAGAGGTTAGTTCATTTTCGCATTGTTTGTTTGAATCTTCCGATTCATGTTTAGGATCACAATACATCAGTCTTTTATTGGCATATGCGCATCCCATACGGATTGCCTCGATATTGCTTTAAGTCACAAGTATTATAAGCAAAGATGGGTGGTGACTAGTAGAGGAATACAGAACGAGCGTTTCTACTTATCCGGAACTCGTAAAGTGAATGAACCTGCATCTCAGGGTTCATATTCACTTCGGGACTCGAACCTAGCACTGTTCGCTTCAAGCGCCATTGAGTCCTGATAGCGTATGAAGAGAACAGTACTAGGTTCTAGTCCCGAAATGAACATCAACTCTGAGATGCAGGTTCATTCACCTAACGAGTTCCAAATAAGTAGAAATGTGCGTCCTGGTTTCCACCACTAGCCACCATCCATCTTAACTTATGAAGAACAGTTTAGGTTTGTGTGACAACAAAACGATGGTGCTATAATTCCGAATCATTTTTTAGAAAGTGTATTCACGAATGATGATAAAATAAAATTGACATTTTACTTAACGAACTATTTCATATATGTGCAATGAATCGTGTCGTTATTAAAAGTTAATACGATGAGCAACAATTATCAAAATAGGCAAACAGTATACTGAAAATACTATTATCAATGACATTTTGAGAAATTGAGGAAAAACGCAACTTACATCATCCGTTTGAACCATTTTTGTCGAACTCGTCAAATCCGTTTGTACAATTGCAGAAGACACTAGATTATCACGGTCAATATATTTTACTTGAGCTTTCAATTCTTCAATTTCCAATTCTAATTGAGTAACTTTTAATTCCAAAGATTTCTTTACAATAAAAGAAAAATAAGAATTATTTCTTTTGAATGAAATGATAAAAAAATTGCATTAAAAGAAATTATGATGCATACAATTGAAGCAACCAATAAGATGCAATGCATTTATTGTGTTCCCAAGACTTATTTCTAAAAAAAAACATAGGTAAGACGTTATCGACACAAATACCAGAGTGATAGTAAACAATTAGGAGTATGAAGTAACACACTACAAAAGAAACTGCCAACGTGATTAAGTCAAAAAATACCACTAATAATAACGAAGAAACCAAATTATAGAAGGGATCGATAACTACCTCCACCTATCTTAAATTAGGAGCACAAGTTATGATAGTTGCAGCATTTTGATAGAATTAAAACCTAAGCTCACAAATTGAGAATCAATTTTGGTGTCAGTTGGTTTATTTAATTAAGATACCATTGTGTGTTATTAGTTGCTTGTATGAAGAGATTTAAATGAATAGTTACACATCCACCAGCTATTAAAGTTGAATAAAGAAAAACGTTGAATCATAAAGTATATTTTACTCGGTCATTTATTCTTCAATAAATTTATGGAAGTAAAACGACCTCAGGAAGCATCTTAGTGTTATTCAAACAAGTGTTGATGAATGTTTTAAGTTGGTTAAAAGTTTTTTGAATGTAATTATTGTTTTAAAAGAAATATATATATTACCATTTTAATTTTCTAGACTGATTACCATATTTGAGAAAAGTGACAGATATCACCAAAAAAGAGTGTTCACAATAAATGCTTGTGATTTTAATAGTTGAATTCATGAGTCCATCAAAGCCAGACCCCTACTGAAAACTTGGAAACATTAGGACGGCCGTTTCATCCTAGTATGGGACTGCTCAGTAGTGCGCATCCACGATCCCAGCCGCAGGAATCCAACTCAGCTCAATATGCTAATCATCATTTATCCGCCAGTAAGAAGTTGATAACACAAAATCAAACAAATCACTTACTTTATCTTCACTCAGAAGGAACAGGTCTTCATCTCGTTCTAAAATAACATCTTTCCGCTCTGACATTGGATTGTTAAGACTTTTACATTTATTCTACAGTGAAAAAAAGTATTTAGAGAGAAGAAAATGATTAGCAATTATCATGATAAACTTATTAAGTTCCTACCATCACACCAAAAATAAATGTGATGGATTACAGATAATTCTTAACAAAATTAACAAGGAAATAAATATTTTAAATCAGTTGCACCATTTTTTCCCACGTAACATATTCTCTTGATGATGATATTTTGTTAATTAAAAACTCATCATAAACTAAGGTACATAAACTGGAACACATTTGGATAAGCATTAGAAATTCATCGCGAAACATATGACGTACCATTTTTTGAAAGAGTATATAATGTAGGAGTTCGAACCCGTTCCACTAGTATTTTTATTTTATTATCAGAATGGGTTTTGTGGACATTTTTAGAAATTTCACAAGTTGAAATCATGAGCCAACTAAAGCTAGACCACCATGGAACACCTGGAAGCACTGGATGGCCGTTTCGTCCAAGTATGGGACTCCTCAGCAGTGTGCATCCACGAACCCGCCCCCTCGCGTGATTCGAGCCCAAGACCTAGTGGCTTCGCGCGCGACCACTTAACCATTAGACCACTGATCCGGCATCCAACGGTGTTAATGTCTAACTTCAACCAATCTACGAAGTTGCGCCACCGAACACCATTGTCTTCAGTGAGTTCATCTCATAACAGACCTGGTTCAACTCCACTGGTAACGGCTTCTCACTAGAACTCCAGGAGTGTCTCCTGAAGTCAGTCACTAGTGAGCGGGTGATTATTATTATCAGAATGCGTTTGGTGGAGATTTTTAGAAATTTCACAAGTTGAAATCATTTTAGTTCAATGAATCACAAATAAAAGAAAACACTACATATGCTATTGTTAATTTGTTATTGTAAATAGGTGTTCGTGTTTAAACAACTTAAATATTAAAAATAAATAAGTAAGAAGGGGATGCTTAGAGTATTTCGAGCTTCGAGCGATCCATCAGTGATATTATTTGAAAGAACTCTAAGATTTGTTAAATGCGGCAAAGAATCTAAATCTTTTTTCATCTGCCCGGTCAATTTAATTGTAATTGAATACATAGTACAAATAATAAATGATAAGATTTGTGTCAATTTATTAACTGAGAAAACAATTATAAAATACACAATCAGTTTAAGTTTAGCAATTCATCATTGTCGATGTAAATGACAACACACATCAACGTATAAACCTAACAAACTGGATCAAATAGTCATACTCAAAATTTTTGGATGTAAAAACATTTAAATATCTGTGCAGCATCATTGATGAACACGGTGGATCTGATGCAGATGTGAAGACGCGGATCGACAAAGAAGGAACAACATATCTACAACTGAAGAACACCTGGAACTCGAAACAATTGTCAACTGCAAACGCCAAAGTCAGAATTTTCAATACAAATGTCAAGACAGTTCTACGGCATGGGGCGGAAACCTGGAGAAATACGAAAGCCATCATCCAGAAGATACAAGTGTTTATTAACAGTAGTCTACACAAAATAATTCCGATCAGTTGGCCAGACACTATCAGCAATAACCTACTATGGGAGAGAACAAACCAGATCCCAGTGGAGGAAGTAATCAGAAAGAAGTGCTGGAAGTGGATAGAATACACATTGAGGAAAGCACCGAATTGCGTCACAACTCAAGCCCTCGCTTTGAATCCTCAAGGCCAAAGGAGGAAAGCAAGACAAGTGAACACATTACGTCGAGAAATGGAGACAGATATGAGAAAAATGAACAAAAATTGGATAGAACTGGAAAGGAAGACCCAGGATAGAGTGGGTTGGATAATGCTGGTTGGCGGCCTATGCTGCATTGGGGGCAACAGGTGTAAGTAAGTAAGTAAAACGCTTAGATAAGAGCAACACAAACATATTGTTATGATGTTATTTATTACCTCTGTTTCAAGCAGCTGGTCTGTTACTCGAGTAAGGTCATTTTGACGTTCCACTAACATTTCATGTACAGCATCATAATCACGTTGTAATTCAATCTGGAAAAAAATTAGTACAGCAAGATCATGTAGAAATGAGTGTTGAACAACAATTAAACAAGGGTCAAACATTGAGGTAAATAAAAATATAATCTTTAAATTATAATCATAGGTTTTAAAGATGTTCGAACTGTTATTGACAATTTAGTTGAGATAATTATACACAAATTAGTCCACCTATTCACAAAACTGTTATAAGTCGTTGATAAAGATTACGTTATCAATTGCGATATCAGTAAGATATTTGCAGACAACGTTCACTACCATTAGTGTAGGACATTCAGTAATCCGAATATACATTTGATTACGTGCCATTTGATTTGATAAGTTTATAATACACATTGAAACATTAAAACCACGAAAGTCATAGAAACGAATTGTTATCAACCTGCGGTTACAATACATGTACGTGATAAGAATATTAAAATGACTAGTAAGAATAAAAAAATTTAGTATCCCAATTTAAATTATGCCTTACATAACAATCAAAGTTACAACAGAAAGTTGTGAACTGGGAAAAAGTGTAGGTCATCGATTTAAGCACTGTTTATTGCATCAGCTACAAACTTACTTTGAATGCTATAACCTAATTGTGCTGTAAGCATAAACCTGAGAAGCAAAAGTAAGTGCACTTACAATTTGTAGATTTATTCAAAAAGTGATTGATATAATGAACACAATGCGTTCGCTGTCAAACAACTTATAAGTAGAATTTCACACATATTCAAGTAATACACTGCAAATGTTCATGCATCACATGTATATAGTGAAGTCACAAGAAAAAACTAGATTTGTAAAATTATACATTAAGACAAAAATTAGTTTAAAAAAATACGGGGAAATTACAAAACACAACACAGTGTGATCAGAAAGGCAGATGATTTCATAGCATTACATAATATCGGCCACAGTGACAGACGGTAAAATGGATATGCTAATCTATAAGGATTATTTTGAAAGAATTTTGTACTACACATAAAATTATTTAGGTTTACAATAAAAGTCATATGAAATACTTTATATTTTTCTAGAAGGAAAGAATTTTTTCTTAACTAAAGACACAGCATTACATAGCGGTAGTGTACTTCAGAAAATATAACCGGAAAAAACAACGAAGAAAAACAACAACCAGAAAAATACAACTTGAGTCAAGATAGTAAAGTGAGAGAAATAAGATCTACGATAAAAATGTATCCACCGAATGATCACTGAAAAGTCATCGAATCCAACCCTTAATTTTGAAATGTGTCAATAGTGTAATTAATACGACATCACGAGGACTTTGTTTGGAAGTCCAGTGATTGGAGGTAATCTAAATTAAAGCTATAACCAAGTTTTCGTGTTAGCTGGGGCTCGTTAGTAAGGTTGTAGATAAGACTTACATCACCTTGATAAACACAAAGATATAATCAATCGCAAATAAAACAATTTCTACATAACCAGATCTCGTCTTGAATGAAAGTCTTACTAAGAATAAATGACCTTATTGTTGAGCAACTTCCAACCTATTGCATTTTCACTTTGTATGTGTCAGAAATCGCATATGAACACAAGTTAAGACTCAGTCAACGAAAATGTCAAAAAAGAATTATCCGGAAAATGTTCTCACAACAAAAGAATGTTTCATTTAATATACACACAAAACATAGAGCATTTTTTTATTGTAGTATAATTTTGTAACTTGGATTTGCAAAACGTTTTATTACATGACATAAAATAACGTTTATTAACAGTTGAATAGAGAGATGTATGAGTATATGTAACTTACTTGGTATTTTGTAAGACCACTAATTTCATTACGTAGTGTTTTAATAAGAACTTCTGATTCCATAAGCTGTTCAATTAACGTTGAAACCTCAGACAATGAAACCTATAATTGTGTAGAAACAATAAATAAAATTATCAAACAATCCCAATACTGTAGATATTACAAAGATGAAAATAAAAACAGACTGATAGTGGATACTCATTCACATACACAGTAAATATATGATACATGAATGACATCATCGAAGTCGACAGGAACAAGTGAATCTTATTCAGCATGTAAACTCATTAAGAAATGAATTATATCTCAAAAATGCACACACAGAAACCATAATTAGTAGTAATAATAATAAGAAGAAAAATAACAAATATTATTATTGTTATCGCTTTAATCAGTATTACTTGGTTAGTACTATATCGAATCCGCAACATAACAAAGAGTGAATAATGATGCCACCACGCTAACACATACTGAACTCCTAAAAGCAAATGAATACGGTTCACCTAGAGTTTAAACCCAACGAAGTGCGAAGGAAGGTCTACAGTAAGGGTCAAAGTACTCCTCATTACTCTGAACTCGGTAGAGGCTTGATGATTGATTACTACCATCTTAAAACAGTTAGACGAATCCACTGAAAGAGAAAACTCCAACAACATTGAACAGAAAAAGAATGTCTACACTGAATGAAATATACTGAGTTAATCAGCTGCACATCTATGAAACAAAAAAGGTTATGACATAAAAACGGAGCTGAAATAAATAACTTTATGTTAGTAGCTACAGAAAGTTTGTAGTTAAAGTCGCAAGATATATAGAATTTAGGGACCATGATTTGTCTGAATGTATATCATTAATAATACAAACTAAGACTACAATATATATACAGCTAGATACATAATATATGATTATATGGTAAGTATAGAAACTTACCACAGCTCCTAGATTTTCAACATTACTGTTGGATATAGCACATATAGTTTGAGGATCAGAGTCAACGGAATCAGGAAGTTTACAGCCAGCGTTTTCTGAAACACATGAACTTGGAGTAACATCCAGATGTTCTGATGAAAGCATTATCTCTGGAATTTCATTTTCCAATTCATCATCTTTATCAGAAATAGGAGATCCCATCAAAGTCTGCAGATTTTCATCTTCGGGAGAAGAACATTTGTCATGTTTCATTAAAATTAAATCTTGAATAATTGGTGATTTTGCAGTTGGTGGAGTTATAGATTCAATACTCTCTAAGTCTAAAAGACCTTGAGACATTTCTACACCAGTGTCTTCATTATTTGAAGAGAATGATGGTGAGAACAAAGCCGGTAAGGAACGATGATGCTAAAGTGAATTACAGAAATGAAAATGAAAGTTTTCACTTGATGCATAATAATAATAATAATAATAATAATAATAATAAATGTATTATTCAAGTCCATACCAAATTTATTATTACAATATAGAATCTCAACAGAAAACAATATGAAGTATTGCAAAGAACTGCTTATTAATGATGATTTTTCATCTTATCTACGTTTTATATTCATGAATCTCAATTTAATTGTTGCTTGTTAATCTTCAGGATACACGCAAAAAAAAATATCTGCTAATTGATGTTGTAGTTTCATTTGAAATTTACAGCGTAAAACTTGACAATAAATTGTTAACCTTCTATGTGAAGGTCTGTGTGAGTATCTTATGTGGTTACCGTAATTGATTCGTTGAAAAAAAAATATAAAAATAGGAAAGTTTTGTACAGTCGGTAAAATAGTTGACGTACAAGTTTGATCAAGCTCTTCCTAAATAATTCGACTACAACTAAACACAGAAACGTAATTATCAATACGAATGTAATTGGCTGTTTAACTGTTAAGAATATGAAGGAATATTACCACAAAATAACTTTGACGACCCTGTTAAATTGAGAGAAAATGGAACTTTTACGGAAATTAATTAAGTATATTTCTGCTGTGTAATTATTAAATCCTTGGATAATACTATTTATTATATAGCTCTTATCATAAACTTTCACTTAATCCACACACCGTTACTGCATGCTTTACCATTTGTAAATTATCAGTAATTAATAATAGACTTATTGCTCAATTTTTAAGGAGATATATGACTTGGTCATATAAAACTTTATACTTCCTTATTTGTGATGCGTCGTGGTCATGTAACTGATTTATTTAATTCTATGAGTGTTGATTCAGGAAGACAAAACAGTAATATAAAAGTTGAATATGTTTAATATCTTCGCAATGTCATTGTTTAGTGAGAGGGCGGACCAATAAAAATTATGTTTTCCAGCGCATTCAGATTTCTTCCTCCACTGGGATCTGGTTTCCTCCTTTGGCCTTGAGGATTCAAAGCGAGGGCTTGAGTTGTGACGCAGTTCGGTGCTTTCCTCAATGTGTATTCTATCCACTTCCAGCACTTCTTTCTGATTACTTCCTCCACTGGGATCTGGTTTGTTCTCTCCCATAGTAGGTTATTGCTGATAATGTCTGGTCAACTGATCCGAAGTATTTTACGTAGACAGCTATTAGTAAAAACTTGTATCTTCTGGATGATGGCTTTCGTATTTATCCAGGTTTCCGCCTCATACAATAGAACTGTCTTGACATTTGTATTGAAAATTTTGTTGGCAATTGACAATTGTTTTGAGTTCCAGATGTTCTTCAGTTGTTAAGTCTGTTAGCCTTCAGTCTAATAATCAAAGTGCTTTCTATTGAAAGTAGATATTTTTAAAATTTCATCTATCTTAAAATTTTCCAAATGATCTTGTGCCAAATTCACTCATGAAATTATGTGTCAAATATTTTTTATTTTAATGAGTATGACTATGTGATCCAGTTTGTTAGGTTTATACGTTGATTTGTGTTATCATTTACATCGACAATGATGAATTGCTAAACTTAAACTGATTGTGTATTTTATAATTGTTTTCTCAGTTAATAAATTGACACAAATCTTATCATTTATTATTTGTACTATGTATTCAATTACAATTAAATTGACCGGGCAGATGAAAAAAGATTTAGATTCTTTGCCGCATTTAACAAATCTTAGAGTTCTTTCAAATAATATCACTGATGGATCGCTCGAAGCTCGAAATACTCTAAGCATCCCCTTCTTACTTATTTATTTTTAATATTTAAGTTGTTTAAACACGAACACCTATTTACAATAACAAATTAACAATAGCATATGTAGTGTTTTCTTTTATTTGTGATTCATTGAACTAAAATAAAAATACTAGTGGAACAGGGTTCGAACTCCTACATTATATACTCTTTCAAAAAATGGTACGTCATATGTTTCGCGATGAATTTCTAATGCTTATCCAAATGTGTTCCAGTTTATGTACCTTAGTTTATGATTAGCTTTTTAATTAACAAAATATCATCATCAAGAGAATATGTTACGTGGGAAAAAATGGTGCAACTGATTTAAAATATTTATTTCCTTGTTAATTTTGTTAAGAATTAACTGTAATCCATCACATTTATTTTTGGTGTGATGGTAGGAACTTAATAAGTTTATCATGATAATTGCTAATCATTTTCTTCTCTCTAAATACTTTTTTTCACTGTAGAATAAATGTAAAAGTCTTAGCAATCCAATGTCAGAGCGGAAAGATGTTATTTTAGAACGAGATAAGAACCTTTAGTGCAAATGTTCGCTCAGAACGCATCAATATAGTGAAAATTCCTATTTTGACATTTGGTAAATAAAGAACGAATGAATTGAGTGAAGAAATTTCTTTTCAATTAATTTTTTTATCATGGGTCTACACTAATATGTATATGATTTACGATAATGATATAATACTCATCGAGTGGATACGTTACGTAACAATTACATAATGACACTTAAATTAACATTGAGTAATTGGAGGAAAGATGATTTTATTTGCAATGAACTAACAGTGAGGCCCATCGAAACCACGATTCGCGCATCCGCAATAAAACAGTTAATTCTTAGATGCACAATGAATGTCTAATTCAGATTTGACAACGAACACTATAGACAACTAGATGGCGTTGCCATGGGTCACCATTGGGCCCTCTACTGACGGATATTTCCCTCGCAGAACTGGAAAATGGACCACTTAAAAGCACAATTAACCATTTACCAACTTATTATCACTATATAGACGATACTTCCATAGTATTAGAAAACATGATAAGGATAATTTACTTAATATATTTAATAACGTTCATCCATCTATTAATTTTCCAGCAGAAGATGAACAGAACAATAGCATATCATTTCTAGATGTCCAACTAACTAGAAGAGATGACGGAACTTTAAAAAGAGAGATATAAAGAAAGTCTGTATCAGGACAATACACTCATTTCCATAGTGCGGTTTCAATCAGATACAAAAGGAACTTTATAAATATCTTGACTCATCGTGCCAGAATGATTTGTTCGGAAGACACCATTGAGGATGAACTGGTTAATATCCGGAACTTACTTAGTATGAATGGGTACCCTATGAAATTCATCGACAAGCACATGATGGAGAAGAAAACAAGGGCAAAGATACCTACCGTCCCTAAGAAAGTACAGTTCATAAAATTACAATTCACAAATGACACCACTGAAGAAATCGTGACTCAGAAACTAAGAAGAGCTGTACGAAAAACATTTAATTCAGCCAGATTAAATGTTATATTCTACAACCACCCCAAAATAAGAATTACCAATAAAGACAGACTGCCTGAATTCGACAAATTCATGTGTATCTATCGGTTCAACTGCTCCTGTGGAGCCAGATATTTAGGGCGTACAATTCGGTATTATGTAATTGTTACGTAACTTATCCACCCGATGAGTATTATATCATTATTATAAATTATATATATATATAGGTGTAGAGCCATGATGAAAAACTAATTGAAAAAATTTTTCTACGCTCAATTCGTTACTTTTTTATCTTGAATTTGTTGAGTTTGTCAGTATCCCGAAGAAAAGCCGTATTAAACTTTTATGATATTGTCCGCCCCATTGTCCAGTGCTTCTTGAGTTTGAATTTCATCTTGGCGACCAGCAAGTGATGATCTGATGCTATATCAGCTCCTCTCTTGGTTCTCAAGTCTTCTATCGTCCTTCTGAACTTTTTGTTGAAGCAGATATGGTTGATTTGGTTTTGTGTAGTGTGATCCGGTGAAGTCCATGTGGTTTTGTGTATGCGTTTATGTGGGAATATGGTGCCGCCTATGACCAGTTTATTGAAGGCACATAGATTTGCAAATCTCTCACCATTTTCGTTTCTTTCTCCCAGTCCGTGTCGTCCCATGATGCCTTCATATCCAGTGTTGTCCATTCCAACCTTGGCATTGAAATCTCCCATCAGAATGGTCAGGTCCTTTGTTGGACACTTCTCGATGATTGACTGCAGCCTATTGTAGAATTGATCTTTAGCGTCTTCATTGTAGTCGTTGGTAGGCGCATAGCATTGGATGACGTTCGTTGTAATGTCCTCTTTCTTTGTTTTGAAGGAGGCTTTGATGATCCTTGGTCCATGAGATTCCCATACTATAAGTGCATTTTGTGCTTGTTTGGATAGCATCAATGCAACTCCTTGTGTATGTGGGGCATTTTCTTCTTCATGGCCAGAGTATAACAGAAGCTCCCCTGAAGTTAGTCGTTGTTGTCCAACTTGCGTACAATGTGTTTCACTGATCCCAAGCACCTCTAGGTTGTATCTCCTCACTTCTGCAGCAATTTGGAAGACTCTCCCAGTCCCCCACATTGTACGAGCATTCCATGTACCAAAATAAGTAGTTGCTCTGGTTGTCAGAAGGGGCATCGGCCTCGTGACTTCCGAAGGAACTCGGCTTTCTCTATGAGGCGTCATAGTTCTTCTAAATGAAGACCTTCTGGCTCCCAGGGCAAAGTTTAAAAGGCTTGAATAATGTTTTCTAGTTAGTTTTTTTGGCGAGTTAGTTTTCTACTGGATGGGGTCGCTAACCTCATGCCCAACCCCCCTCCTTTATCCGGGCTTGGGACCGGCAGTAGCCCCCGGAAAGACTCCAGGCGGAGTAGATGCTTAAACGTATTTTGCATTTCTTGTAGTTTTGTAAATAAACAATTTGTATGATGATGCGTATGAACAATATTAAAAATATTAGTGATACCCTTATCAATATGTCCTACGTCAACTATGTAATCTTTACACTATGTTATAAGCATCATAAGGTCAACAAATGAGAATTTGAAAACTCACCATTCTATGAATAGATGATGACATATGATGAGTTAGTGAAGTTTTTAACCTGACATCATTAGACAGATTTGGACAAAACACCATAGTTTGTATACCTTTATCTTGCTTTTGTTGTATAAACTAGAGCAAAAGTGAAATGTAGAAGAAACAAACAATAGTACATCAAATTTATGAAAGGATCTGTGTGTGTCAGATAAGTGTTAAAAAAAATCTTTCAGCGTAAATTAGTATCAACAACTTCACATTTTATTATAATGGATTAGTGGAGATTGTTGAGTTTTATAGTTAATTTAGATTGATGGATTATAAGTAAACAACCAGTAAAAACCACAAAGCATAGGACAGTTATTTTGTTCTGTCACGAGACTCATTAGAAGTCTGCACCTAAAACCACTCCGAATCGAACATAAGTTATTATGTATACAAATAAACATCTATTGGATTATAAGACATGGAGGTCCTGACAACTGAAGTCAATGAGGTATTCGACAGTTTGAATATTAATATTAATAAACCATCTCCAGAACAAAATGGAGTTGATCACAGTAGTAGTAGTTCCGAATCAAAGAACTTAAGTATTAACCTTTGAATATTGGCACTTTCAATAAAAGATATAACTAAACGTTAGTTGGAAACAGTCGATAACCATCATTTTCAACCTTAACTAATATAATTTTTTTTTTAATTAATATTAAATAAAGCGAATTGAGTTGTAAAAAAACTATCTAAACTGTTGACATACTTCCAATGATTGTTTCGTTTGTTCCATTTCTTTTTGGCATGTATTTATTCGATCAAGTTGTTTTCTTAAATTGGAAATTTCCAATTTACATTTTTCAATTTGATCTTGATAAAACTTTTGATTATTGTTATTGGTTGTACTATTGTTAGGTGTATTTGATTCATCTACAATAGTCACAATTGATTCTTCTTCCTCTTCTTTTACAACAATATGACTAAGTACAGCAGCGGCTGAAGTTGTATTCCAGGTACGAGAACGAGTTGTTGTTTTTGTAGTTCGAGTAGGCTGATTAGAATAACGGGTATTATCCGAATGATTTATATTATCGTTAGGATTTGATGGTATTAAATTTAATTGTTCACGTGAGTTCTGAAAATTAAAAAGAATGCACTTTTAACCCGTTATCAATTATGTGTTATAAAACAAGCACCGAATATTAAGTACGACAAATCCGGTTACATGTATTTTGAAAATATAGGAAGAAAACATTACGATTAATGTGAAAACAGTGAAATGTTGAAGGTTGATAGTAATAAAACCACGGAACATTCAGTACGAACCTAATGATAGAAGACTGTCATCATATTGGTTATGAAATATTACAAATTGACTGAATAGTTGTACAAGCATGAAGTATAAATATTAGTTCTATATAGGAGCTTTGTTGACCATCAGTGGAAAATCATGTTGCATTTGTAATCTATGAATTAGCTTTTATAATACAATTAACAGAGATATGGTTTACTTTTTGTTATGCCCCGATAAGCATAATCAATGGTAACTTTAGGATCCATTTATGGACTAATACTATGCGTATATTTTTATCGTATAATTGTTATGTAACTGAACTATTCATATTCATATTCCTCTTATCATAAGCTTTATTTTGACCCATAAACTATTATTATACGACTTACCATTCTCGAATTATGCTATTAATTACTACCTCCCTCATTCACAGCCACTTTTGGCTAATTCTTGTACAAATGTTGTTTCATATTTTATGGTACAATGTGGTTTGTCTGGTTGGTAATATAAACCCAGTATGCTTGAAATAAATGATTCATATTGCAGAGGCTGAGATTGGTGTTCTGGACTCAACTGGCTGGGCTAGGCGAAAAGCAGGACCAATCAAGACTCTAGACTGCTCGTACGGGTTTTACGTGTCATCGGTCCGATCGATAATTCACTGCTCTCGAAATGGCGGTATCTTTACGTTATACATTAACAGGGAGCACAGGCCACACTTTTGACCAGAGCTTACAGTATGACCATATGGAGGAAACGAAGTTACGTAATTAACGGTTATATCAATTGTCATTATAATCAACTTGATGATAAGTGATGGTTAAAGGTAATTAGAAACTTTAAAAACCGATATCTTGCATACAGACTTCATGAAATAATCTATGTCAAGTGTTTATCGAATCGGTTGTCTAACGAACACAATTCAAGCTAGTGTTAAGCAGTAACAAATAGACAAATGTAAGTAGTAAAATATTTGCATTAAATCTGACTTTACCAAACAAAAAAAACAAAGGAGACTTAATGCACGTCACTTCTATTCTGGAGAAGTGACTTATTGCGATATCACGAAACATATATAGAAGATTAACATTCTACTCAAAACTCAATTTATTTGATACTATATCACGTCCAACCTTGTTATTGTGACCTACAAACTCATTAATAAACGAGACATACATTTGAAAAAAAAGATTAAAGATTAGTAGTTCAAATGTCACAGTAACTTATCAATAACCTAATAAAGAGTAAATAATTCAACAAAAAAAACAAATATGTGATAAATGATGACACTACCAAACTATTGTTTTTTCTGTGGTGAGAAATACTACCTGAATCATCGTGAATAATAAACATTTTTAAGTTGATGGGAGTACTTAATGTAGGAAAATGTAAGACAGAAATCATTTGAATAAGTAAAACGAATCAATCACAAAAAATGCTCAATTACATCATATGTTGTATTTACAAACGATTATTTATGGGGATATTCAAGGTTGAAGGGAGTTTTGAGAAAAAGGATAATTTATAACCATTTATAATACACCATAAGGTCATTTGATAATAGAACGCCGAAGACTATTGTTGTGTTAAATATGAATATTTGAAAATCCCATAATGATAACTTCGTCCTAAGAATTTGTATTTTTCGATTGTTGATTCCAACTAATTAGTCTCTGCCGGGATATCTGTATCCTGAATGGATGTCGCAATATTGTCTTTGTTAAAACGTTTCTACTATCTTTCAATCATGGATGACAGTGGAATTCATGACGCTGATAAATCCAGCCAAAGAGTCGCAAATAAACGCTCAGTAGTCAAAATTCTCAGTTTTCAGTCACAAATTTAGACCTGGCTCTATCAACCGAGGCTTGAACAGTCGAATAGTATCATCAGTCATCATATGAAATGTGGATCAAAACCAAGCGAGGTAGACCATGTAAAATTCTGATTATCTATCACTAAAATGGTTCATAAAATTATTATTTTTGTTGAGTAAGGAGTGAGTGCTTTACACTGTCTTAAGTGGAAACGGAAATTGTTAAGTATGCATACAAGCATTCTGAATTAACAACAAAGTTATTTAGTTTCGCTTCCAAGAACTATGATGTGTAAATGAGTAGAATAAGGAAAATTTACACATTTATTTTGTAATACATTGAAACATACCACTGTTTCGAGGTCTTTAACCTCATCATCAATAGCGATCTGCACCTCCATATCAACAGAATCAATGGTTGCTTCTACAAACTTATCAAACTTGGTCACTTCAACCTAGAACCAAACGAAAAATATAAGAGAGTATTAAACACAAATAAATTGTAGCAGTAGTGCTAGACTGTTGGGGACGTTAGATCCCTAGAACTCACTTGTGAAAGGACCTAACTTTGTAATTTTATTTAGAAAATTTGAATTTCTTTGTTTTCGCGCCAAAGGCGCTCTTGTCACCTTTATGTTGTATTACCCACTGGGAAATATCTTAAATGCTATTGGTCCGTTGCGTCTTTTAGTATTCTATTTGGTAATTCTCCCCAAGGACGATTTTGTACTGTATATATACGTTTTGAATTGTGTTTGTTGTTATCGTTCGTTTCTGGCTGTTTGCAGAATATACTTCCCCATTCCAAGCTTGAACTTCTCCCTCTAGTTAGCGGGGCTGGGACGCATCAATAGCTAGCTTACTGGTCTTTGGTCACCGAGTCTTGTTTCTCGTTCGCAGATTAAGTGAACTCGTGATAGCTTCAACCCTAGCATAAACTAAGCTAAACGCTACTACAACCAAATATGATGTAACTTATTAGTTAATAACCAGATCATAGTAATGAAACTGGGTCAATATAATCAACATAGAAGATGAGATTAGATTCAAACTTACGAACAATTGTTGTTGAAAATTGAATTTTATAAATGATCAATAAAAATATTGGACTAACGATATAAGATCATATATCCACCATATTTTTAAAAAAATGTAATTACATGGTAGTTCAATGAAATTTGGAAACCTAAAATATAAATTAACTACTTGTTGTTAACACAAACTATTGAAACCATGATTTCGTCCTTACAAAATATAAACTTTATTCCCCAATGAATATGATTACACGATTTCAATGTCCTTTTAAAGGTCATTCAATAGAGCAAACGTTAGAAAAATTGAATTCTGAGGAACGTTTTTCAATGCATATCCTGACAGATCATCAAATTAACTTATAATGTGACTGAATGATTAATTGAATATTGTTATATACAATATTTTGATTGTCATACACTCGTATTAAGATTAATTATCATAATCCATATGATTATATAACTTTGTAACTGTTAATCGTATTAACTGAGATACCATAAAGATACCATAAATTAAACTAACTTATGTTTCAGTAATTTATAGTATTTTTGATGGTGATTTAAAATTGACGTTTATTTTTTCAGATACATTTTTAAAGCAGCATGAATGTATTGTATTTGCGTTGTAAATTGAATAAATTATTCAATGTTTACAAATTTTTTTTTCCACGAAACGTTAAACCAACTCTCCCACCTTTCCGGTGTAAGTAACAAAAATCATATACTTTTAAACAATCAATAGAAATCTGAGGACAAATTTTTAATTTATCAATACAGTTACTTTTTTTAATTAGTTGACTAATCAACAAACTATTTAACTGAAAAATTCCTATGATCATTAATGTTAATTTTACATTTCAGTAGGATCAATGAAGTTAATTACATTAAAAGTGTAGATAAATGTACTATTTCTATAACAAATAGAGATCAGTCTTAAATGTTATGCATTGAAAACCTGGAAACATTGGACGGTCGTTTCATCATGATGTGAGACGCCTTAGGAGTGTGTATTGACGATCTCACTCGTTGAATTCGAACCCAGGACCTTCAATCTCGTGCGTGAATGCTTAAACTCTAGACCACTGAGCCGGTATCCAATGGTGTTAATGTCTAAAGTCAAACAACCGACGATACTGTGAGACAACCTTCCATTGTCTTCAGTGAGTAACTGCCTCACACTATATACGGATTAGCTCTACTGGTCATGGGTTTTCACCAGAACTCCAAGAAATACCACTCAAAGCTAGTCACTATTGAGCACATAATAATTACCAGACTTTAATGTTCACTGTTTCTAAGCATTTCAAGTGATTTGGATTAGTTCGAAAGTAAATAGATTTTACAACTAAGTTAATATATTTACTAACATAAATTTGGTTCTTTTGGAGTTCTTGATCACCAATCTAATATATATAAATATATATCTGACAATTCAGAAGAATGATCCTTGCATTTTGAAAAAAATAATGTTAAATTGTCAGGTTTAAAACCTATTCAATTAATGATATTAATTTTAAATTGCATAATATTTTGATTCATTTAGACAAACGTCATAAACAATTATATTTGCAGCAAACTTTATATATATAAGTATCTTAAGACGTAAACACCATTCGATGCCGGTTTAGTGGTCTAGAGGTTAAGCGTTTGAGCACGAGATTGAAAGCCCTGGGTTTGAATTCTGCGTGCGGGATCGTAGATGCGCACTACCGAAGAGTCCCAACTGGGACGAAACGACCGTCTTTTTTTTTCCAGGTTTTCAATGTTGGTCTAACATTGATCAGTTCATGATCTTAATTAAAAGTACAAGTGAATTAATGAAATTAAACTACTACTAACCTGCGTACAAGCATCACATAAATTCACTTGATGCTGTTGTATATAAGCATTAGAATCATTAATTACTTTTACTTGTTTGGTATCAATCTCATCTGAATAATTTTGAATGTCGTAATTTTCAGATATATTTGTCTCGGAATCAAGGAAATTACTATGCTTATTGATTGTTGGAACTGTATAAGGTTGCCAATCATTTTGTTGGTCAACATATTTATATTGATTCTGTGTTATTTGATTGTTTATATTTCCGCTTAATATATCATCATCAGAATCACTAGGTTTACTCCATGATACAATATCCCGTGATTTAGATTGTACAGATGTTTGAATATTTGGTTTGATAGAATCATTTGGACATAAATGTTCCATTTTTAAATCAGATATCCAATGAGGTACGAAGTTATTTTGTCCTGTTTCTTTTATATTCAACGGTGTAGTACAAGAATCTGTATCACTAGTATCCACTAATTTATATGACATTACCTGTGATCTGTACAAAAAAACGGATGAAGTAAAATTACTTAGTAAAACGATAGGTATATTTGATATGTACCGATCACAGAATGGAAAAAATACTAATGACAATGTTACACAAACATTTTAAAGAATAGTTCACCAAAATCAATGATCTGAAAAGTGGATTACTTTGTGAACCTAAGTTGGACGAAATCAGAAAGTTCTAATTTATTACAACGAAAGTGCAATGAGAAAAAGTAATGTTCAATTAGTGAATTCCGATAGATAAATAAAACATTGTTGTACTTAGATGAATTTCATTTAATAAGTATAGGTTTATTAACTCAGTTGCTTAAGAGTTTTATGACAACCTTAAGTAACAATAAAGGCATGTATGGGATGCGGTTTTCCCCCTTCAAATACAAAATGCTACATCAATATTGGCTTGCGTCATTGTCTGAATTAATGATAAGGAGTGAAGGAGAACGTATAGAAAACTTCTCCCATCTTGTGAGTCTCATCAGTCCTGATGGACTGGTGTCTGACAAAATCTCATCACAGGTTCACAAAGCTCATTAGGCTTCTGTGAAGTAGGGGAGATATGTCTACCAACTAACTTAAAGGATGAGTTTGTTGTGCAGCAGTGTTAATAGGTGTAGACTACCTGGTTGGGGTCCGCGTGCTTATCGTCATCAATGGTTAGACTTTGAATTACATGGCTCAAAGTCGTTTGGAATGGCACAAACATCGCGATGTTAATCTGACTGTAAAACGATAGATGCAGTTTTGCTCTATGCTTGTGAGACCTCACCTCTCCTAGTTGGAGATGTTAGACGACTCTCTGTGTTTGATTACCGTCGTCTCCAAAGGATTTCTAACATCCAGTAGCAACACCATTTTAGTAATGCAGAAGTTCTTCATCGTGTGTTCGGACACAACGATTAGGATTCAATTGTTTTCACTATCGTGAAACATCGACTTCGGTGGCTTGGACATTTCTTACGTAGAGAATTCCTAATCGTGCATCATTTGCCGACGCTGAGACCGGTTGGAAAAGGCGAAAAGGTCGTCTGTGAATAACATGGTGTCGTGATATGAAAGAAAGTTGCAAAGAACTGGCTTCTGCTGATCCCTTACAACCCCCTAGTTAGGGTCCTAGAGATGGCGCAATTCAGTGGCTAGAGACGTTATCAGACAAGGCTCAGGATCTATATATATATCCTATTGTATAACTATTCAGCAATTAGATTGTGTATATTCATACCAATCTTATTACAAGCTTCATTTTAACTTACAGATTATTATTATACGGTTTACAGCTCTGAAATTATGTTCAATTTATTCATTACAGTCTCCCACATTCACAGCCACTTTCTGTCTTGATCTTGTACAAATGCTATTTCCTTTTTTATAGTGTGATGCGGTCTTTTGGCTGGTATATAAGCCAAGTATGTTTGAAATAAATGATTCGCAAAATGGAAGCTGGTATTGGTGTTCTGGCGAGCAAATGACCAACAAGGACGCTAGGCTGCTCACACTGGTCGAACGTCATTGGTTTAGCACAGTACTAAGATTGAATAAGTCGTATTTAGATTGGCGAATAAATAAAGTGATAAAAATTCGGGCATAAATACAACAAATTTCTTCCGATTTTATTCTTCCTAACTGAACTGTTTTCTCCATTATTATTATTATTACTATTATTATTAGTATCATTATTATACACTAATTTCTATTCGTCGTTGTTCTTTTAATATACGCACTTTACATTCTCTATCTCTTCACAACCTCATACGAATTTGGTGCCCCTTTGTACCAATGTTTATGTGTACAAATAAATCAAATTCAACATTTTAATAAATAATATAATCAACCTTAATAGTAAGTGAAACTAACTTTTTCATTTCAAGTTCACTTTTAAGACGATTTAATTCGATACGGAATTCCTCTCGTTCTAATTCTCTTTCTTCTATTTGCTCATTGAGGAATTTCTCCTACGCGAAATTTGGAAGAAATAACCAAGAACTCATAAAAACTAGTTGTGCATTGGTAAAATAAAAATGGAAAATTTAAATAGCCCGTCCGCCACACAACAAACTGGCAAACGAGAGTAAAAGTATAACTTATCTAAAATACCATCTTATCATTTTAGATTGTTCTATAAAGGAGGGTTTTACTGAGTTTAAAGAAATCAAATTTTCGACCGTTAAGATGAAAAGATAGAATGCTGATCAGTAGATTAAAGAAGTGATATGATATGAGATCGAGTGAAGGTTATTTACTGTATAACTAATGTAAGCCCATTATTGATATAAAATCAAAGACAAAGCCATTGGCTAGAAGAATAGGATTTTCTTTGTCGGTTAGACAGTCATGTGAGATCCAGAACCTGGGACACATGTGCATCAGTTTATGTTGTCACATCTCATTAGGACAGAGAGATTTACTTATCAAGAAAAATCCCAGAGTAGTAGAAGTAGTAACAATGTCAGTGATAGAAAGAAAGATTAGGTGTAGAAAAAAAAGTATAAGATTTCGTAACTCGGATTGTAAAGGAAGATAAGAATTAAATTCATGTGTTTCATTCAAACAGGTTACGGTAATCACACGGACCTCAACCAGGTAATCTACACCTATTAACACGACTCAGTCCAATTGTAAATGAATTCATAGACTCATGCCATGTTTTGTTATAGCCGACACTACTTCTAAATCACATAGCATCTCACATCAAGGCAGGCGGTGGTTAGACGTATGTAACACATCCCAACCCCCTATGTTGATGAAGATCCATTACACTATCAATCGACCTGCCATCCTTGCCTAGTACGCTATCCCTAACCTAATCACTTATTAGGTGCCACCGAATTACTCAAGAGATAGTTCGATGACACATGATTGAATACTAGTTGTTGGAATATTCAGGAAAATATCCCGAAAATTATTCTATTAAGTCTAATGCTATCCTTGGACTTGAGATGGTATCATTTTCCTACTGGTCAATACTTATTTCACGTTACAAATGTTATTTTCTATTTTATGATCTGCTTGATTGGTATATAAACAGAGTATGCTTGAAATATAATGATTCATATCTCAGAGGCTGAGACTGGCGTTCTGGACTCAACTGGCTAAGCCGGACAGGGGGGCAGGACCAATCAGAACTCTAGGCCGTTCTTACCGGTTTACGTGTCTTTGATCCGATTGATAGGTCACTGCTCTCTAATCAACAGTCACAAGTTATAACACTAGTAACTTGCGAATACTATATATTCTTAATGGTTTTGCTTCACACATAAAATAATATGATATGACACGTCTATATACAGAATCTTAACACAAAATTAACATGATTAACTGTCATATGACATTGAAGGAAATTAGTCTGTAGGTCATTCACTTTACAAACGATTAAAACCGAACTGTCAGGCATAATTCTTGAGTATAGAATCACACTAATAATACAATTATTTTAAAGTTAATGAAGATTGAAAACCAAGTTGGGCAAACTGCAATCCCCCACGCTAAAAATCTAAACCTAAATTTAACAAATTTTACTAGACAAAATTTCAGAGATTACTGTTTAAAACTGTAATGGTCCTCCTATTAATGATAAGACACAAAACACCTTTACCATTTCCTGAATTCGAAACAATTATTGGTGATCTGTTCAATACAATACCAATAACAGTTAATGTGGATAATATGTAAAAGATTAACTGAGACAGACATGGGGTTCAGATATGAAACGAACCAGGATACGATTTATTTATTATTAATTCTAGATATTATCTTCATTAAAAAGAAAGTCATGTCGAATGACTGACATACTTTAGCTTGAAGTTTTTGTTGAACTGAGAATATTTCATTTTTTAATTCACGATTAATTAATTCCATTTCATCAAGTTGTTGCATCAGATCATGTCGATTTGTCTCCAACTCTACTAATGATGCAGTATGATTCCGTTCAAATTCTGAAAGTCGACGATCCATTTCAGCTTGCAATTGAATACGTTCTGTTTCAACAATTTGAGATGTTTCCAAAAGTGCTAAAGATTTACAAAGCATTTACAATGCAGAATAAATTAGAGACATATAAATAATTTTTTATACAGGGGATCAAAAATAAGATATATATTATTTTACCGAGAGAAGGGTAATCCAATTATATGAGCTACAACGAAAAAAGTAATACTTTAATTAAAATACAATCCCTTTAAATAACGTTGTATAACATCTGAAACAAGAATGATGGACAGAAACAGCTTTAATGAATAACGTATAAGAATTTCAAGGAACGAATTCATGTATCACAGCACTAATTAACTATGAATTTTGACAAACATATAGTGTAACAATTCACAATAAGACTGAATGCATTAATTTGAATGTAGGAAAAATTCGAAGAATAAGATTATAAAGACAATTATTTGATGCCCTCTATAATTCAATAATCGATAGAGGATTTATACAGAATTATTTGTTACTAAAGTCATAATTAACTGATGTGAATTACTGAAAAGGATTTTCACATAACATCAGCATCCAGATTCTCAAATCATTCTCAAACAAATACGAACCATAAAAAAGGGTGAAAAAACGTTCTATAAATATTGCACAAAAACAACTCATACCACTGTTAAAGGCTTTATTATATACAAAATTATAAGTTTGAAAGCAAATAAATGTTATGAAACACATCATCACGACAAGACTTACCAATCTTTGTATCTACAGGTAATTTCTCAGTTAACAACTGATGAGCAGTAAGTAACTGTTCACGAAGATTACGAACTAGTTCACAGTTTTCAATATCAACATCAGGTTGATTTAATTTTGATATATCTGTTGATTCAATTAGTTTTTCACATCCAATTTTACATAACGAGAGAAGACGATCTATTTCAGGCAACAACTGCCCAAATATAGCTGTTTGAGAAGAGTAAACAATATACGTATTATGTACGCTCACACAACTGAGGTACGCTGTTTAGTCTTCATAAATAATGGTTGAAAAACTGAAGGTTTTAAAATTTTAAAAGAAATTCTGAGTCACAAGAAACATCCCAAAATTATCACTTCCATTTGTCGAGAAACCCTATCCTGCATGTTATAGTAAAAGTGGTGTAATGGTGAATCTATAATGCAGTCATTAAGCCTAATTTAGACAAAAAGCAGCATTTCCCCGAACATTAAAGAGGTGCGACTAATAATTTATGATGGGAACTTACACAGATAGCATACTATTTCAGAAGTAATATATCAACTGAAAACCTTATAAGTGTATTCACAAATAACTTATGATCATATTTTTCAATAACAACTGCTAAAAAACAATGACTACAGAATACCTGCGAAATTGACCTGTACACATAAATCCCTATAAAAGTAGTAGCTTAGAAGAAAACCACTCACATTCAAAACTGTAATTTTTAGATTCGAACTTTCCCCCTGATACGACTGAGGACAGGGAGTGTGCTCTCAAACTCCAAATGCTCTCACGTGGCCACGCGTAAGCAGACATTGCCATGGACGTCCTACACACAGCCATCTCGTGGCGGGGGTGTTGTTTACGAAATTAAGAGGATAAAAAGCGAATATCCGGCACTTTAACCGGATTGCTGGACACACAGTATCCACCTAGGGGAGTTGGTAATCCCTGACTTCAAACTAGTGGTCCACATGGGCTCCAGGATCCTGAGGAAACAAATGGCGTATGAACCAATTGTGGGTCACCGGCTACCATGGAACTGCATCTCCTTACGATGCTCCACCGCCTTGTGGATCAGGCCTTTAGGTCAAAGGCTCCGTGCGTGGCCCCCTAAGAAAACCACCTGTTTTGGTCTGGGCACCTGGGCAGTATCGTAGCCCACACACAAAATAAGTGATTTATGTGACGCATAGAAATTCAGTGCTCCTTTGTACCAATATTTCTGTGTTCAAATAAATAAATAAGATTTGAACCCAACTCCGCATCAGGTATATGCAGTCTTAAAATATTACAATTAAGGTTATTCTAAGCTTAATATAACATCTGACAAAACATAACAATTTCAAACAAATTCTGACAATAATAAATTCCAAAAATAACTTCAGTACTGGGAAAACAAAAATAAAACGACAAATAAAAACCAATTTTAAAATTCCATCCAAAATAAATACTCAAACAGAATAGAAAAACAACATTAAGAAAGCAATATTGATATACACACATTTTAGTAAAAGTTAATAAAACTATGTTCAAAGCTCATAATAAGAGAAAATTTATGTTTGAGCTCTTATTTATTTATATTATTAATAATAGACTCGTAGAGATTGTCACATTGCATAGATTTAACCCATTACTGAGTTTCAATCATTAAACATTTTACAATAATCAGTAATAGTATCGAAGCTTTAAAATAATAATAATAATAACAACTCAAAGTATACACAAATAGAATTAGCATTAGATACGATTTTACACAAACCAACATTTATTAAAACAATCCTTTTTTCATTAAATGATAAAAACAACATTGATATGAATTAAAACATTGGCTTTAATATTGTTTTTTTCTATGAATCAAAGTAGAAATACTTTTTGAAAGCTGTTAAAATGACATAACAGTGTTTAATATGAACAAATTAATATATTTGTAATATCCCAATGAGTAAGAAAATTAGATTTTCTGACGTTTCGTCACTTAGTGCAAGACACTTCTTCAGAGAATAAATAACCAAACTAAAATTAATACAAGTTTAAATAGTATAACGGAAATTTACATTCAAGTCTCTTATGAATCACCTTTACCGAAATGACATGACATTGATTTATTCGGACCTGTTTTCTGATTGATCATATAATATTCATGTTGTTCCGTTGTACCATTTAAAAGTCAGAAAATCTAATTTGGGATATTACAAATATATTATTTATTTATAACAATCTACCAATGCTCAATTTACTCAAAATTACTAAATCAAACCTTAGTATATAATTTTTTTTCATTACTTGAGATATAAATAATATTAATCCAATCACTAACTGATTATCTTGAATACCCTGAATGGAAAAATTATCTAACAATTTGTAAATCAATGTTATCGTTGAATAAATAATTTAATATCATAGCACAAAGAAAACTACAAAAAGACATTTGACACTGTCTGGTGTTCAAGAAAATGAACAATTGTTAAAAATAGTTTTTTTAAACACTCTGACACCTTTTCATCTATTAGAGTATATTATTTCAACCTTACAATAGCGCTAATTTCAGATTTTTATAAACGAAAATTTGGCATAATCGTTGGATTCATGAGTGGATCTGATTTAGACCACCATTGATAACCAGGAAACACTGAACGGCTGTTTCGTCCTAGTATAGGACTCTTCAATAGTGCGCATCCATGATCCCACATGCGGGACTCAAACCCAGGACCTTCGGTCTAGAGAGCGAAGGCATAATTTCTAGATCAGTGAGCCGGCTTCTAATGATGTTCATATCTAACTTCAATCGGTCCATAATCTTGCGCAACCATTCACCCACTGTCTGAGGTAGATACCTGTCTCTACGCGACACAGATTGGACTCAACTGGTCACAACTTCTTACTAGAACTCCAGGAAATACATGTTGATGCTAGTCACTAGTGAGCACTTGATTATTATAAAAATGAAGCTTTGTGGAGATTGCAATAATATTAAATGACTCCTGCATGCAGGATGCGCACTATTGAAGAGTCCCATACTAGGATGAAACAGCCCTCCAGTGTTTCTAGATTTTTAATGGTGGTCTAGTTTAAATCGACTCATAAATTCAACTGATAAGAATCTACTCGACCAAAATAAAAACTAAAGTTTTGCACTACAACACCAATGTAAACCAACAAAAGTACAATTAAAATACTCATTATTCCCTATCCCCTATTTAAACACAAAATATCACAACAAGTACTGAACAATTACACTTGGTTATCCATCATTCTTTTATATTAAAAATAATAATAAATCGTCTAAAGAAAATTTCTACTGATTAAAATATTAAAATCAACCTACACGTTAAAAACTTGCAATCTGTTCGGAAATGATCTAAATATTTTGTATCGCATATAACATTGGTAACCAGTAAATGATCACATTCATTCAAGTAATCATTAAGTTGAACTAAAGAGAAAGTAGAGGAGAATATGATGAATGAATTCTAAGAAATAAGTCACTTCATGATAAAAGTTTATCCTACTCTTACAAACAAAGAATGACCAAGAAACACAATAAAACGTAAATGTATGATAGTATTTAGGAATAGAGAAAAACGTTTTCATTTAATTATCTATAAGCAAAAGCAAGCATAATATTCTAGATCGAAACAGAATCAAGGCAGAAACGGAGAGGAAAATAAATAAATTAGAATGAAACATATGAGAGCACAAAGGGAAGTATCCAAGTGTAACAGAATGATGAGGGTTCAATGCAAATGAAACAGGTTAGATCATTTAAAACTCAATTGCTCAGTGTTTGAACATGTAATATATGAGTTTACCACTATTAACAACTTATGAGCTATATACTAATTGAAAATCAGTGGATGAAAATCTTAATGCCACCGAACGAAATGATTACAAACGCTAAAAATAGCCACATTATTGTTACTATGATCTTTTAACGAATTAAGTAAATTTAGAATACGTTACTGTGTAGAACAGAAAAGGAAACAGTTTACATAATAGATGTAGAAACATTTCTCAACGAAGCTACTGCACAATGTATATTTAACTGGAGAAATCAACTAAGAATTCACCTTACATCGTTACCAAATCAAGCTACTGGATAATTCACTCCAGAAACACCTGGGTACTTCCAGGCAAAACCTTTCCTCATAAAGTTTTCCGAACATATTTATAAAATAAATACAACGAAAGTAATCATTAGTGATGCATACTACTTGTCGATAGTGAAAATAGGAGATATTTTCCAATGCTATTTTTACGAATCAAACTTGGAAAGAAATATAGATCAGATGTAAATGTGAATAACAATAATAATATACTCATCAGTAAATGAACATAGAATGGCTGATATTGTCCAAAAGGACAATGAATGCTTCACGACTAAACCATCTAATTCAAAGAACGACACTTCATCTAGAAAGAATAATAACATTGAATATAAGGTAGTAGTTTAATATAACAAATTAAGTGTTATTCCATTTTATCCGCGTGTGTAAACACATACTGAATATAAACTGAATTTCATTACTACTTCAATTGTCAATTACACGTCATAATGTGAACAATTCATAACATGGAATTATTTTAATAGATTAAAGAAAGTGAACAATAGAAAAGACAATTTTTAGATTTTATTTATAATAATTGTGAGAAAATTTTGGATTTTATATTACGAAATTTTATGTTTTCATAATAGCTAACATGAAAGTGAATATTAGGTTCAAGCGATTACCGTAACAAATGATTGAGGACATTGATTTAGAATCGATTGAAACGGTCAGATGATTTTAATCTTTGAATTCTTGAAGATCATGACTTTCTAGAATTATCTTTTACCTTTTATTCCGTGAAATTCATTCATTCTTCCCTAATCATATTCTCTATATCTGGTCATTTTTTATCATCACCAGTATTATTAATATTTCTACTACTTTGGTATACATTTTGATCATTTCATCTTGATATACTGATATACTGACATGAATTAAATAGCGCTAACATACTTATATACGAAATTTTACGACGTCGCTCACAACTGACTGACGATTTTATGCTGAATGTTAATAAGCACAATATATCATTATAGTCTCATGTCGATATAAATAAAAATTACTTTAATTAATAATACAATAAAAACATAAAATTGCATGATATAAATCAACAAACTATCAATCTATACCTTTTAATTCATTCATTCTTTCTTGTTCATTATTTTTCATATCACAATTCAATGATAAATTATTATTCATCCATGAATATTGATCATTGATACGTGCAGTTAACTCATGTTTCAATGTTGTACTGATATCAATTATGGACAAAATCATTTTATGATAAAATTCTAGACAAACTGTGTAACTAGAGAACATGAAAAATGAAGGAGAGAAAAAAAACAGGTAACAATCACAAATAAAGAGAAAAAACGAGGGATTATTGATTCGTTTTCTTTTTTAAAAATAATAAAAATAGAACTATTTTGAAATGAAAAATTAAATAAATAAATTCATTGAATGTGAAAGATATTTTCTATTCAATAACAAAATTCATAGAAGGAATAAAAAACAAAAGTGAATTGTGTTAGTGACTAGTTAACTAAAGATAAACTGAAAAAGAACTATGACCGTTTATAGTATGTTACTAAATTTTATTTAAAATATGAACTAAAGAATTTACATTAGTCAATAAGATATTACTAAGTATGCATCAATTAAATGATAAATGTAAAATATATGATGAAAAAAAATGAAAATTCTCTATTAGTATCCTGTGTATTATAAGATATTATTTGTGTTGAGTAGGATCTATGAAGAGAATCTTTTTTTACGGATATATGTGTAGAGTATGAGAGACGGTGATCGATGAAATATTTGGTAGTTTGCTTTCTTCCTTCTTTCTTTTTTCTTAATTTTGCGTAGAAAACAAGTGAATTATGTGAGAGAAAAATTGTATGATACACAGAGAATAAACATTTTTGAAAATAACAGTAATTGATGGTCACGACCGTTGTTGCTACCTTGACGTGGTGGTCGAGCTTGCTTATCGTGATGAACCAACCGAGCTATACTGGCTGGAACAACCGTTCCTCAAGGTCCTACCATGTCAGACAGGTCGGTTGAAGAGCGGTAAGACTAAAAGCAACAAACCCAAGGTCCGAAGGCGAAGTCTTACTGCTGACTGTACAGAGGTGTGACAGCAGTAATGTGTTTCCTTCAGACAACCAGCATGATAGCGATGCTGCCTTCCCACAAGGAGGGGTGGGGTTAGAAAAGGTCTAACCTAAAAATGAACACCTCGCCTTATCCCACGGATATCCGTCTCCTGCGGTAAGGTTTCAACAAGTACGGAGCTAACACAAAAATTACCCATGAAAATGTCGTGTGTGATCGACCTCAAGCAGTTGTCCTTTGGGCACTGCGGTCACGCTCTCAGGTCACTAAGACCATCTCTAATCCAATCTCCTTTTCAGGTACCTCCAAAAGAACCCTTCCACGGTGTGGGCAACCGGGAAATGATAACCGCCCTCATACCTCTAACAGCACTCAAGACCACTAATTGATGGTTTGATCAATTCAGATAAGAGCACGAGATGAAAGTCATCGCCATTATGAACATTTAGTGGAAATGCCAAAGACGGAACAAGTATGTTGTCTAAATCAGTGTGGAGATTACATTACTTACCAACTTATTAGGGTTGATGAGACATCCAATAAAGAAAATGGTCAATTCTTAATAATAAAAAGTAAAAACCAAACTAGATTTTCGATGAAACCGTTACTAATCATATTCTATTTTGAGCAACTTTTTTATTCGACCGACTAACTTCTAACTACCATAACATTAAATTAATTCAATATTAGCCCACAAACAATTGTAACGCTTAATCATTCGATTAAAAAAGGCTGACATAAACTGTTCTACCGGAAAATATTGCTATTATTCAACCTGAGACCAACAGAATAGGAGTTTAAACATTTCAAGCATAAACAATTGCACTACATACTATTAACTTAGCATAATAATGTACAATATAAACGAAGTGACAAACAGAAATGTTATATAAACATAATTTTGGAAACTTTCATTAGAGATAAACTACAATGAATTTGAGTAAGTTCATGAAATCTCTCTAAAAATAAGATGGAAAGCCTATTTGTAGTATAACACTCAATGAAATGTTAACACTGAATTAAACAAATTATGATTCAAATGAAAAATATATCAGATAGTTTTTATTTAAGAAAGAAGTTAAGAGAAGAAGGTTATAGTTAAATACTTAAGCAAACAGTTTTTACCGTTGAGAAAATATTTTCACAGCTGACTTAACTTTTATTAATAATACATAAGGTCATGAAAATAACACGATAAATTTTTCTATATCAAACAATAATTACAATGCTTACACAGATAATAGAAATTTAACTGGTATGCAAACTATGTACACAATAGTTTAGAGATTGTCAAATCTAAAACTAACGGGAATGAAAATAAAGAGTACTATGTGCTGAAGATTATCACGGATAGTAACTTTAATATTCGTTACAAAGCTTATCTCAAATTCTAGTAAAATTCTCCAGTTAAGAAAACTACATCGTATATTTTGAAATATACCTTTCAAGTTTTATAACAACAGTAGTTGACAAGAAAACATTACCTCGATGAACTGCATACTTTAGTGTAGATTTATACATTTAGAATTTTAAAACATCAAACTAGCTATTTAGGTAACAATTCAACTTATCTTCCTACATAAAAATGATTCTCATTTATTTATTTGTTTTATACAAAACAGTCAAAAAGTATCAAGTTATTTCGAAGACCTTGAACATACTTATGAACAGAACATATTACAAAGGAATGAAGAGCATAGAACCTAACCTGATAGACATGTGCTTAAATGTAAAACAGGAAGCGCAATTATCACCAGCGGCAGTAAATTATCATCGAACTATGTTACTAATTAATTGAAGTGGAGATTTTACCACTCGACTTCGGCTCTGGTTCCAATGATTAAGCGTTTGTCGCGAGACCTTGATATCCGACTTTCGATCCTGTGTTAGAACGGAACGGCTACCTAGCATTCTCCGGTTCCTTATGGTACCTCAACCAAGATTAATTCACGGTGAGTATAAACTACGATTTAAACCAATCTCTATAAAACTCCTTTCAACCAGATTAGATTTTGAGATAGATTTGGCAAATAAGATGAGAAAATGAAGTTTATCGAAATATATTTATGACTGGACTATGTAAAGTTGTCGTGCTACAACATCAATAAAGTGAGAACAAATCAACAAATAGAAAATAATCAAACAAAAGACTCAGTGTATATTAAAACCAATAGTATTGAAAACTAACCATAAAGGATACAGTCCGACTAAAAAAGAATAATAGATATAAATATTATTCCCACTTACTTTTTGATTTGATCCTCACCATTCACTGTTAGATCGGGATCAGTTTGTAAATAGACAGAATGTGATAATACATTTTTAACCTGAGAAAAATTAGTATCAATAAATATAAACACATCAATCATGATCAAAAACAAATATGACAGTATATTAAAGATAAAAACGTATGACACTCATATATCTGTACATAGCTGACAAGCAAAAAAAACGTATGACTAAAGTGGGGGGAAATATTTACCACAGATATATATTTAGTAAAGTCGGCAGAATTGAAAACTAATACACCAACTTCCGTTTGAACATTAGTATAAAAAGAAGTACTTATTTATTGTATAACATTACGAACATAAACTAGATACTATTCATAGAAAATGGATGGACCATGGCTAGTGGTGGAGTCCAGGACGCGCGTTTTGTCCTATTCGGGACTTGCGATATGGATGTACCTGGACTGTAGTGTTGATGTTCACACTGTAACTCAAACCCAGTACTATTTGCTGCAAAGCGTAAGACGTTAATCCATAGTTTAGAGGGCCAATAAACTGCTCAACACTGGCATGTAGGATACACCTAGCCGACGAGCTTCAAACAGGACGAGTTGTGTATCTTGGATCCTACTTCTAACGACAAATAACCCATTCCGAAATACTTGTGACAAAATAGTAATATCAAAGTTATCCGCACAAGAAACGCATGTAAAAACAAAAACTGATCAAAATGCAGTCTTGAATATCGACAACAAGATAATTCTAACCCTTATTATAAATCATATATAAGTACTGCTTGGATAAACATTCAGGAACTAATCGTAAGATTCAGTAACTTTGATTATCTGCACAAATATAAGTTTTGGAAAATATTAACAACTTACAAAGTTCAACCTATTGACAATCTCATTACATCACAAATAATATAGGGTCAAACTAGTGCAAGTGAATAAACACTTTTAAACTTATGCAATGTTAATATGTTCAAAACAAAATAAACGTGAGAGTACTTCATTTAGTAAGTCGATCAACTGAAAAACTGGATAATTACATCAATGTTGTGTGACATATAAATAGTAAAAGTAATAAGTAGTATTGACTAATACAATGATAAATAATAAATAATATTAATTTTCCAATTTAAAAATGATCAAATCTAATTCAACCTACATCATGAAGGGGTAGAATGAAAAAAAATCCTTTTCAGAAGTAAAACTACCCTATAATAATCGATTAATTTATGGTCATACTATTAGTATCGGTACTATTAACCAAAATCATGTCATCTACACTGTGATGGCGACCAGTTTTATCGATTCGTTTTTTCAGTGTCCATTAATTAGACAAATAACTGAAAGGTGCGCTTTATTTAACTATATTTATTCACATAAAGACTAATTATTTGGTAAATTTATTTCACAACATACTATAACTTAAATTTACCCATGGATGATTATGCACTGGTCAGGTCAATTTAAAAAGTGGGACAATTTAAGGGTGTGGCAACTTTAAGATGACGCATATATGTACGTATAAGGTAAAAGTTGCGTCCTTTTGAAAAAGGGCTCAGATAAAATACAAAACGATCGAAAACCCAGCAACATTAAATTTGACGAAGAAAAATTGATTATTTATTTTTAGTGATTCATCAGAAGGAACTTTATGTGAAAAGTAATGCATAGAATTGTTATCGTTCAAATAGCACGAAACCTAAGTTCAGAGATTCCTGTCAACTACCTCCAACCACCACATTACATCTCAGCACAGTGCACGCGATGTCAAGTCACATAGAGACTAGCGATCAGATTGCAACTTAGTCGATAGAATCCGATCTGCACTAAGAAGAACCTGAAGCACATCACAAACCAGTGATCAATAAATTGTAAAATGATTTGATATCAAGTACACGAAATTGTACCTGGTGAGTTATTAAATAATTTTAAAAAATTCAGGCTATTTATTTAGCCCATAAACTATAAACTAATTATTGTACAAAGAAGAAAGTGAGATTTCCGGCAGATAATCCTCATGGAGAGATACTGACTTATGAATAAGTATGGACTGATATATATATATATATATATATATATATATATATATATATATATATATATATATTGTGTAAACTACCTTGCTACATTACTTTCTTACAAAACAACAAATGACCTTGAATGATATTTACATCATGATTTAAAGGAACAAGGAAAATAACCAACTGAAATAATGGGCAAGATGACTATAATCGTTAATCAATTAAACTAAAATACGAATGAGATTTTCTTGCAGGACGAGCGAGAAAAAGATTGGAAAGTTGAAATAATGATTTATACGAATCATGAAAAGTGAATGAAAGACTATAATAAAAAACATATTCATATCTTTCTTAATAATGAAAAGATAAAAAAAATTTTGAAACAAAAGATTTTCAGTTGACCAAATAATCGTTTGATAGTAGTACTATCAAACAACATTACGATGGTTGGTTAAGTATAATTATGAGCCACACAAGACATGAGAATGCTACAGGTACTACTTATCGACTAAAATCAAAGGCATAGAGTCGAAAGTTGGTATCCAGTGCTTGGCTATAAAATAATTAATACATTTAAGTTTAACTAAACACCATTTTGAAGGTTTGAATATATGTGCATTTGAGTGGGATGAGAGAAACAAATGATCAAATAATACAATCACGTTATATATAAAATTCCAGAATATTGTCTGATGATGCAATCGTGACATTGTAGTGAGATTTAATACAACATGTAACCAGAAGCTAGATATGAATCAAAATTCTAATCCAAAGAATCTACTATAGCGTCCAGAAGTTTTTAATTCAATAAGATAATCAAAAAGGTAAGGAAAATTTTATTCTTCGTTAAAAATTTATTTTAATTCAATCCTCATCTCAGTCGCATTTGACACCCGAAGACTAGCGGTTTGACCTGATCAGATAACTACATATGGATATTTTAAACACGTTTGATAAAATATAAATAAAAACAAAATCAACTAAATCTAAAAACTTCACCTTCTATTCAAAAGTTCTTTTATCTTTGTCAATATAAAAAAAGACTGGATAAGTAGAGTAAGACATACCTCAGGATCTGTCTGTGTAAATATGTCCTTATTTGATATATGCAATAACTTGTAATTTTCAGTTGTATTATCAGCTTCTTGTAGGGTCTCATCGCATTGTGTACCTAAAAATACAAACAACCCAGCACGAATAAAATTGTAGTAATAGCAATAATAATAATAATAAATATGAAGGGATGATATTAAGGAAACAATTAAATAAACGAATGTTATGGTATCATTTTAAAAGCCTTGTACAACAAAAACTATGTATTATCTCATCAGAGACGAACAACTCTAGATGTCATTATTAAGTGAGAGTCAATCATATGATAAAATCTTACTATTAAGAGTTTTGTCAGTTACAGAATTAATAAAAAATTTATCTATTTGAATGATTAAAAAAATAATACTTTGTACCGTATTGATTTTGTTAAACTTCTGATAGATCGTAATACATATACACATATGTTTCTAAACCTGTGTTACTTGCTTAAATGTTTAAAATTATCTTTATAAGTGCTAGAAAACTTAAAACACTAAGTATTTAAAATAGTATAAAGAATATTATAGAGTAGTTGAAACAAGTGGATTATAACACTGTTGCTAAAGATTGATACAAATGCATGAGTGCAACAAGTAGATATTATACAAGAAATAGAAATATCCAAATACAAAAAAAGTGTATATTTCGTACCAGCTTCTGTATTCAATATTGATTGTTCAATAATTTTTTCTGTACACTATAAAATAAATAAAACCATTAATACATTACCTATATTCATTTAATATAAATAAATGAGAAATAGTTATTTGGAAAAATTACAAATGGTCAGATAGTATGTCTACCTGCGAATTTACGGTTTCAGCAAATAACTATTAAACATAACGTAGTGAGTACCAATCTTAGTTTGAACATAGAGCTTAGGTAAATAAGTTCGGTTGCAGTATAGCAAACAAACCTATTCTTCGTCCTCTGCATATCATAACATTATCTCATATTTTATCTTCTGATCTCATTGGCTCTTCTCGAACTAATTTATGATCATTTAAGCCATAATTACTTCGATATTTCAACAGAAGTGTTGTGTTTACTGAAGATGAAGCATTACAGAATTAGATTATCTCTTGATTACGTAACTAACAACTGACGCATCAAATGACTAAAAGCTATGAAATGTAAAATAAGTACTGCAAACAAAGATATAATTGACTTCAGACTTGTCTCTCATTTTTCTTTCTCATTTATTTGAGTGTCTAACCCTACAAAACTATGAAATGTTTTTTTGTAATTCTTTATGTTTATGTTTAAAAAAAGTGAGACCTATTACCGAATTCAAAATATATTTTTGTGATCTAAATGCTTACCAAAATGTACAACAATGAATAATGAACCAATTGAAAGTAAGAAATACAAACTAAGTTGTTTATAAACCAGGTAAACAACAAAAAAACTCACGAAATCTTCTTGTGCTGCATGTATAGCTTCATAAGCCATAATTTTTGCTTGAAGCTCTATGCAATGTTCACACTGCAGTTTGTAGAAAAATAAAATCCCAGAAATAGATTAAAAAAACATCTTTGTTACTCACAAAAATTACATTAGTCAAACGAAAATAATAAAATTAACAAAGAGCAAACAAAAAAGTGATAAAAATGATTTAACTCAACACCAGGTACACATTGATGTATTTGGTTTCCAGCCAAACCACTAATGTAAGGACTAGTGATATCAGCTGGCTGACTACACCTAAATAGGTATAATTGAGTTCGAACCTTTGATACATTGTTTGGAAGCCTAGTCAGTCAATAATACGTAACATAGAACCTGCAAAAAATGTTCTGAACGTCGAATGCCAAAACCACTAACTCAAAGCGTCGAATTCCAACATAAAAAGATAGATAAATAGCTAAATAACGCCTTTTTCGATAGAAAACTGATCACAACATATTTGTTATTTGATAACATTTAGTAGCTTAACCATCAACTTGGTTAGTGAATGTTATAAGAAATCCTGCTTGCGTTGCTAGGATAACTCAACAGTGAAGAATGAAATTACATTCAGTTCACATTTTTGATATAAACTTTAAACAACCTTTCAGGGTTTGACGTTTCTTTATTTGATGGGGGGGGGTTCAAGACTGGGAACGTAAATGTTAAATTGATATAGAATATATATATATAGACAGTGATGTAGTCAGTAATTATAAGGTTGCTCATATACACGAAATCTGTCGAAGGACCCACTAACATAAAAACAAATGTGGTCATTTTACTTTAGTGATTGCTTTATAACACGTACAATATTAACTACTGAAGCACTGATAGGGAATGGAGAAATAACTAACGATTTTGAACAAGATGAGGATTTGAATATGCAGAAAGACGTCTAACAGCTATAAGAAACTAAATAAGGCGATCACTGTAAATCCTTCGTTATCAGACAGCACTTATTTAATTTCAGATTTGTTTTGCTCAAAATTAAAATTCTTCAAGGGTCATTAAACATACACATATTTTTAGAAAAGGAAAAAAGGCATTTTGATTTTATTTAGTTATTCGTCCTGCGATTTTTATCCTACTATGATTAATATGAGTGTGATTTTGGATGAGTCGGGTCTGAAAACCAATAAACTATATCCTAATTAGGTTACTAACGATTAAAACAGAAAATTCATGAAAGGATAATTCAAAGTTCAACAAAATTGTGAAAAAAAACTGAGAGAGTTTACGAAATCTTGAATGCTTGTGTAAATGAAACGTTGTCACTGAGATATCCAACAAATCTCCGACCACAACAATATTTTAAAAGCTACCACCAGATATAATAAAACCGGTAATAGTTTACAAAACGATTAAGGTCTTATTATTGAAAAGAACAGAATGTAAGCAACGTCTGCTTATAGTACAATAAAGAAAATGCAGTCTTAAAAAAGTATAGGCAGAAATTTTAACTTACAGGAGATAAAGATGTTTTAACAGGAGTAGGTTTTTCAGTACTAGTTTCAGAGTCACTGGAGTTATTTGCACTCATTTCATTTTCTAGTTGTAAATCACTCTTATTTAAAGACCAGTCATATAACCGAGTTGATCCTGGAGGTAATGTTGGTAGTAAACTACTTGGTTTTTGTGAAGAAGGTTCATTAGAAGTTGAAACCAACTGAAAAAAAGAAGTGCCAATGCAAACAATGCAAAAATCACTTTTATTTGATGAGTTTGTTATAAATAATATAGGAATCGGTAAAAAAAAATAGTCACTCATTTTATCAGAACAGTGACAGGAAATTAAGATGGAAAGCAAAAGTCCAAACAAAAATATCGATGATCGTCTGAAACTGGATTAAATAAATAATGTCAAAAGTTAAGACTAAGAAGTACAGAAGAAATGAATAATTCTGTACCACTGTATATCATATTGAGCGGTCAATTGAGGTAGTCTGACGGTAATTATTTTTTACGTGGACCTCAAGTAGGAAGTCAGCACTCAACAACATTGATCACACCAACAGTCCACGAGTTCATGAACTAATAATCCAGCCACCAACTTCCTTACAACCTATTTCTAAGCCAGCCAATATTGCATGTTGTGGTAGGCGGTGTTTAAGCATAGGTAAATAATAATGGATTATTAATAGTCGTTTTAAAAACCCTATCTGAGCCTGCATAAACAATAATAAAGTCTTGTAATCGAATCATCCAGCTTACAAAACATAAGACTATACCAAAAGCCTCTAACTCAGTTATCAATCTTTCCCGTGAGTTTCATACGTAAATAAAGATAAAAAACCAATGAGTAAAATATACGGTTTTAAATTTATAAATAAACTGACCTCATCTTTTAACTCCAACAATTGAGTTGTTAAACCGGGTTTGTAAAGCTTGTTATCACTGAAAAAAAGAGAAAGGAAACAGCTTATACATATAAATATATACATAGCGAGAGAGAGAGAGAGAGAGAGTAAATTTGTTTTTGTCAGAACACCATAACAATACTTCTAACTATAAAATAAATTCCAATGAAAAGAAGCAAACGTTTAGTTTGTGTATTTGCTGAAATAAAAGAAATAGACTACACAGTCGCAAAGTAAAAAAAAGAAATACAATTAATCTATCTACAGTTAAAACTATACCCGTGTAGTGGAAATTCAATTCGTCAAATTACCCGTACTTTAATAGTTAAAACTTAAAAAAATATGAAAGAACGCTTTAATAAACAAGAAAACATTTTTCAAAATTTTATGTCAAAAAATCTGATAATTTATACATTTTCCATTGATCACTACGTATATTGATTGTTGAACTTAAACAATACAAAATAATGAACAGAGAGATTATGCAAATTGTACATTGTATATGATGTAAAATGTAACAACACCTCATCGTATTAGTCTAAAATAACAAGTCAAAAGTCTGAAGTATAAGATGAGTGGGAATATCAGACTGAAAAAAACTGAAAATTTGTAGCCTTTCATTGCTTTCACTTTGTGCAGTAGTTATTTTATTGTAATAATCGTTTATTTTAATGACTGTTAGTCGCAATATTGATTTCAATTTACTTACCCAAATACAGATTTATATACTCAGCTTTGAGTCACTGGCGTTTCTCCGCTGCTTTGTGGATCAAACCTTTAAGTTGAAGCTTCTGGTTGTCCCTCTAAGAAAACCACCTACCTAGGACTGGGTACCCGTGCAGCCCACAGCACACAAAAACCAAGTGAATTGGGTGACGCATATGTATTCGGTGCCCCTTTTTACCAATATTTATGTTCATATAAATAAATATGGCGAACTGTCATCTGATTTTGCAACCTAAAATGGTGTCCGTCAAGGTTGTCCACTATTTCCATTTCTGTTTAATTTCATCATAGATACACTACTGGAAATGACGTCCACGTCGACTGAATTTTCACGAATTAATCTCCTTCCCGAAAGTCCACTTATCGACTTAGAATATCCAGATGACAGTTCTGTTTGGTGAAGACGCTGATAAGATGCAGAGTGTTTTGGTAGCATTTAGCAACAATTCCAGGATGTTTGGAATGCATTTCTCCCTTTCTAAGAGCAAATTGCTGCTTCAGAACTAGTCTGCGTCAACACCTGAACTAAAGATAGGGAGTAAAGTAGTCGAACGCGTCGACAACTTCACTTATCTCGGAAGTCTGATCAACCCTAACGGGTTAGTGTCTGACGAAATCTCTGCACAGATTCATGAAGCTCGTTTGGATTTTGCCAACTTATGTCACCACCTATGACGAAGGCGAGATATCCGTCAATCGATTAGCGGACGGGTGTACTGTGAAGCAGTTCGTTCTGTGCTACTTTACGGCTGCGAAACGTGGCCATTAAGAGTAGAAGATATTCGCAATTTACTAGTATTTGATCACAGATATCTTAGAAATATTGCTCGCATCTGCTGGGATCATCGGTTAAGTAATAGTGGGGTTAGATCCAGGGATTTGGGAATGATGGTAAATCCGTTGATGAGGTTGTGAATCTACATCGACTGAGATGGTTGACCCACGTGTTACGTATGCCTGAACACCGATTACCATGACACGCAGTGCTGATTAGTGTTAAGGTGGTTGGAAGAAAGTTAGGGGTGGCCAAACCAAACAGCCTTGACGGACACCACTTGAGGTTGCAAAAACAGATGACAGTTCGCCATAAGCTCTCACTCGACTAGTAGTGTTCGAGTAAGGAACCTTCACAAGATTTATGTACTTAAGAGGTACGCCTTTCAATGACAGACACTGTCACAGAACCTCACGGTCTACAGAGTCAAATGCTGCTTTTAAGTCAAGAAAGACTACCATTGTCGGACGCCGATAAGTATGTCTGTGTTGTAGAACCTGACGAATCGTGAATATGTGGTCGATGCAGCCACGACCAGGTCTGAAGTCAGCTTGATTCCCTCGTGTTTGCAGTTCACGAGTCTTAGTTAGGCGTCCGACAATTATTGAGGCTAGTATTTTAGATACTATATTAGTTAAACTAATCCCTCTATGGTTGTCACAGGATGATTTTGACCCTTTCTTATATATTGAGACGATCAGTGATTGTGGCCAGTCAGATGGTATTACGCCCAACTCCCAGATTTTAGCTAAAAAATTAGTCAACCTAATCGCCAAATTGAACCACCGTACTTAAAGGCTTCTGGAGCCAGTCCATTTTGACCAGTTGCCCTTCCTCGTTTCAGATTAACTATAGCCTTTTGAACTTCAGCTAGAGTTGGGGGACCTACTCAAATGTCTGAGAATTGTGGGTAGTCGTAGAGTAGCTCACGGCCAGCTGAACTGCTCCTTAAAATGTTCTGCTCATCGTTCTAAACTTCTGGACTGAGAGCAGGTAAGAGTGTCGTCTTTTTCTGAGATTGTCGCACTCACACTTGGCTTCTTAATTCGTTTTTTTTTATTAGTCTGTAGAGCTCTCTTGAGTTACCTACAGCCGCCGCCTTTTCCATCTCTTTTGCTGTCGTTGTCCATCACTGCTCACGGTCGTTCCTTAGACTTCTCGTTAACCTAGATCTGACTTACTTTCGCTCATCATCGTGTTCAGAACCTGATGGGGTGAGCTTACGTGAATCAATCAGTGCAATAAATTTAGAAGAAATCCATTGGTTTTTTGTAACTCTTTGGTTTAAATCACTAGCATATGTCACTGCTGTTCCCACAGCTACTTATATATCTTTCCAAGCAACATCTGGGTCAGCCTCGTTTTTAAGACTACCTAAGTGTGACCTCGGTTGTTCCTGGAACCTACTTTTGGTTATCCCACTACTCAATTCAATTCTAATGGGTCTTTTTAATGTGGCTTTTCTGCGTCTAGTGAGGCGCCTTTTACCATATGAAATCGAGATCCCTGATGAAAAATTAATTTTAATTAAATTCAATTCAACCAAAACTATCTTCGATTTCATTAGCAGAGCAATGTTTTAATGTAGTCCGTTTAACTTACAACTACAGCCGTAGATTCAAGCCCCGCTATACCTGCTTCTGTTTGGGAAACGGGATAATTTAACTAACCCTTACAGTTAGATTGTGTCTCATAGCCAAGTACACAAATCTTCGCTTGACAAAAGATTTAAGAAATGTACAGTTTTAACATGATAAGTAAATAATAAACAATCATACCTAGTTAAATGCGTGCTATTGTTTATAACTGGTTTTGGAATATTACTATGTGATAATTGTGAAAGTTGAGCATTTTGACGTAGTAAATCTAGTTCTTGACGAAGTTCCTCCATTTCATCCAATAATCTTAAATAATCCACTTTTGATACGACCTCATTTACTTCTTTTTCTTCTTGTTTTATGTATGGTGTGGCTTTCAAATCACTATTCCATCCTAAAACATCATTTGTTAAATCGGATAGATTAGCACAACTGAATGGAGTAACAACAGTTTCATTTGGCAATGATTTTCTAGGTGTACTAGATAGTGCTGGAGACACTGAATCCAATACTTCTCCCACTGGAAAAAAAAACAAAATCATTAAAAGCAAATTATTTAGAAATATCTAACTTGAAAAAATTAAACATTACAGTATAAAATAAATTAATTAAAATCTATCTATTGCGTAAAGTTTAATTACTGCAACCAAGTGAGTTTAAAGTCATTTATATGTGATCATTAAAACAAACGGAATGGGTGTATAAATTGTTAAGGCGATTAGTTTGTATTTTAAAAGACCAAAAAATGAAAAAAAAACATTAAATAATTCAAAGGATGATAGTACTGATAATAATATTGAATTTTTTGGGTAGAAATATGATTGAATACATCGTATACATTCCTTTCGGTGCACTGAATTAGTGTCGGTATTCAAACAGCCAACACAAATTGACTAAATAATAAAGTAATAATAAACTTTATCTAAAAAAGTTTATAGCGACTATTATTATTGTTATTATTGCCATCATTACCACTACTATTACTAATAGTAGTCGTACAATACGCCTTAATTACAAACTAATTACAGTGAACTTGAATGATATTTATATCTGATTAAAATTGGTGAAGTAAATGCTCTGCGAACATCAAAGAGAAAAGCATGAGCGCACAACAGTATATTGCAAGTAAATGCTTCAATAACTATCAAATAAACTTGAATAATTTCAATTTAAAATAAAACACAAACTAACTGTGATGATAACGCTACAGTAGCTCCTCTTAAAGCACATATATTATGAATTATTTGGGTGAATATAATACTGTAACTCAACAATCAAGTATTTTGTGCTTAAAGTAAAGTATGTGAAGTGAGTTTGGACCTGCAACTAAAACTTAATCATATGCCTTAAACATATATCATGTTGGTAAACCGATATAATGACAAAAGGCAAATAAAAAGATTGGTATCCATAACAAAAATATGTTAGAATATAAGGTCAAAAATAACACCTGCCTTCCTTTAGTCTGATAGTTATAAGGATGTAATTAGAGATAAATTGTTGTCAGTTTGTTGCATGAATAACCTTCAGTAATTTCAATGTCTGTTGTACTTGGTAACGCTGACAGACCAGGAAAAAAAGGCTCAGAACAATAAAACTGGTGTATCAAATAATACAAATGAAAATTGTTTTAAATAACAACAAAAACTGTTGTGAATTCTGTTTCTTGAGTATTCACTGATTAGCCATATCACAGAAAACCCTAAGCTCTATACATATGCAATGAAATTATTAATAGTTTTCGTAATGTGAGGGTTTAGTTTTGTAAAACCTCCAAACATTATTTTCATGAATTTTATTACACAATTTGTTTGTGCACGCGCCTAAAAGCCGAAAACAGCTATATTTTGAATTAGCACAAAATATCATCTGTAATTTTCTGCATTTACACCACTAAATTAAGATGTTAAGTGACTGAAGGTAGACGATAAGAAACTCTGGACCCATTTCTTTATACTTGGCAATAGTCAGCAAAGTGCACCAGTATTCTTGCAAAATGAATGACAGAATTCGATTGGTTTTAAAAGAGTTAAACAAACATGGTATCAGTCACTACTTATTGATCGATCAATTCTATTTAAACTAGTTAAAAAAAACTTCATTTTTCATGAATAGCCCCTAGATTTGTTATATGACTAGACTTCAAAATGATTCATGGTACAGTACCCTGTAGAAGTGGCTTATGCTAAGTAACGAAACACTGAAAATCCAATCTTCCACTTATTTAGGTATTACAAATATATAATTATTTTATTAATAACTTTCTATTAAATTATCAAGTCCAAACCTTAGTATTGATACTATCAATTAAATCTTTACAGTTTCATATTATACACTGTAACATATGAAAACATGCTAAATAAACACTGGTAGTTAGATAGTGTCATATACACTAAAGGCAATTCATTAAAACAAAATTGATTTTATGATTTATAGTAAGACGATGCGACTGTTTAGAGAATATCGAACATTCTAACAAAAAACCTACAGGAATAACAGTAACTATAAAAGAGTTTGGTTTGGTACTTACGCTTGATGCAACAGACTATTAAGTATGTCAATCGGAAATAACAATATATTCCGGTATTTAAAATGTCACGATTAAGTGGATAATACCTTATTCTAATAGAATCGGATCGATACATACTGACCAATAACATCCATTAACAGATTATGAAAACCAATAAAATTACCTAGAGTAAGTACATGAATGTCATACACGCAAAATGTGAAAATGTTATATTACAAATGAAAGATAGCAGACAGCATTCTTTTTTCCCTTAAACAATCTTGAAGCTATTAATATATTCAAATGTGAAGGACTTTTATTTAAAGCAACAAATTAGTTCACTGAAGTGTTCAACATGTTAGAAAGCAATTATTTTAATGAATACTCTGATGGATTATACAGTTAACTCTTAAAGTTAGACTTAATTATTAACATGCCTTATTATTCATAATCTAAGCAATAAAATACAGAAGTAAACTCGCTTAAAACAACATTATTAAAGTGATAAAAATTAGATTTCTAGCAAATTAATCAGGAATGATGCCTTGATACTCCTCCCTCGTTATTTTCTGACAACAGAAAAATAAGTTGGGGATTTTATAGTGCTTTATTTCCTGAAATTTGAAACGTGATTTTGAAGCATTCAAACCAGATTATATGTAGCCGTAGGATCAACATATAACGGAGTTAAAATTTGACCCGAATTTCTGAAAGTACATAACTAATGAATGTAATACCGAGTGAAAACATTTTTATATCAGAATGACTTATCACCATGAATTGCTACTTTCTTCTAGTTAGGGAAATGTACAATAAACTTTCGGGTCTTGTAATGTGTATGATAACACTCAGCTGCTAATATGAAATTTTATTCTTAATATGCCCCTACTTCGGTCAATGCGACCTATCAAATAATAATCGTTTGGTTATATCAACGGACATCTATCGTAGCTTACAAAGTAATTATCTAAAATAGCAGATTGAATTTTTATCTCCAACAGCCCATATCTCTAAGACATTCCGTTACGTAAAGCATACTCGTATAGTAAATTATGTTGATACGACAAATGGATAATTGAAAAACTACTTAACGGATGTATGTTGACATACACCGTGAAATTATTTACAACTACTAGTATAATTTCTGTTTGACTTCCGTTTTTATACAGTCAGTCAGTAACAACGTAGAACTTCGTACGTATGTACATCAGTTCGAGTTGCCATACCACATTAGCACAGAAATCCAGTTGTCCATCCAAATCTCGTAGTGGTAGGGATAGTAAGAGTATAAGCAGTAATCGGAAAAATTAGGGTTTGAAGATGTTATTCAAGGAGTAAAATCCAGTAAAATAAATTTTGAAAGAGAAAAAGAGAAACGGGGAGAATTCAGGAGATTAGAATTTGGGAGAACACAAAGAATGGATGCCCCTTTTTACCAATAAAACACAATGGTTTTCTATCAAATCATTACTAAATCATACATTGTAACAGTCTGTTTAATGATAAAGCATAATTTTTTCTTCCAGTACTATTTATTCCCTTTAAATAAGCTACTGTAGTATTATGCTTTACATCAGCTTAAAATAGAAATAATCAATTAACAGTATCATCAAATCATCTCCACAGGTGATTAAATAAATCATTAAAAAGAAAGAGGTTAAATTTATCAGACAAAATATGATATTGAAATGCTCAGGATATTTAGTAAACTTGAAAGTTTAAAATGAATTATACCCTGTAGATAAGGACAAAACAGCAAGAAATATGTATTAGATTATAATAATAAGCTTTTTTAACTACAAAAGAAAACAATCAGTTTAATTGACTAGACAAAATATTGAAGCATAATAATATTGAAATTCTACTTTAGTCGATTGATCTAAATTTTATCTTAAAAACGTTTTTGTTTAGAATAATCAACGTCTGAAGAAGAAGAAGAAGAAGAAGAAGAAGAAGAAGAAATATAAGTTATAGAACTTGAATAAACAGACTCAATTAATTAGTTTATTGATTTATTCTTAATAGTTTAATTAAGTTTATAGGTAATGGAATAAATGATTAACAGGTAAAATGAAACAAACTTAATATTTGACCCATAATTATATTATTAAAATAAAAAATATTTGACACATAATTTCATGAGTGAATTTGGCACAAGATCATTTGGAAAATTTTAAGATAGATGAAATTTTAAAAATATCTACTTTCAATAGAAAGCACTTTGATTATTAGACTGAAAACTAACAGACTTAACAACTGAAGAACATCTGGAACTCAAAACAATTGTCAATTGCCAACAAAATTTTCAATACAAATGTCAAGACAGTTCTATTGTATGAGGCGGAAACCTGGATAAATACGAAAGCCATCATCCAGAAGATACAAGTTCTTACTAATAGCTGTCTACGTAAAATACTTCGGATCAGTTGACCAGACATTATCAGCAATAACCTACTATGGGAGAGAACAAACCAGATCCCAGTGGAGGAAGTAATCAGAAAGAAGTGCTGGAAGTGGATAGAATACACATTGAGGAAAGCACCGAACTGCGTCACAACTCAAGCCCTCGCTTTGAATCCTCAAGGCCAAAGGAGGAAAGCGAGACCAGTGAACACATTACGTCGAGAAATGGAGACAGATATAAGAAAAATGAACAAAAATTGGATAGAACTGGAAAGGAAGACCCAGGATAGAGTGGGTTGGATAATGCTGGTTGGTGGCCTATGCTGCATTCGGGGGTAACAGGCGTAAGTAAGTAAGTAAATAACAGACTTAAGAAGATTACTGTTCAAATTTTCAGACTACAGGAATTTCAAACTTTGGAGCAAAACAGTTTATCTCATTTGTTGTAATGAGTTATTTTAATTAAAGCTTAAATGATCGCTTTTATTACTTGTAAAATAAAATACGATAACATGAGATCTCATAAGAAACTTCAGATAACTCGAAAACATAATTTAACTTCGAAGCACATGAAACCTACTGTTTTTGATGAGTCATATTAATTTATAAAGGGATCGTTTCCATGAGGAATTAAACCTTTCAATGCCTTTTAATGAAAGAATATATTTCGGATCATGTGTAAAATAATAAAGATAAGAATGATTAAAATGAACAGTTTACCGAAAGAAGGCGAACTAGGTGAAGTTACATTATCCATATCTTTGGAGAAAACATTATCTTCCATCGATGATTCCATAGGACATTCTTGATTATGTCGGATATTTGCATCATTATTTGCAGGGATGGAGATTTCTTTTTCGGCCTCTACATTCGATTCTTTATTTCCTACAGGGAGCTCTAGATTATTTTCGCCCAAATCGACAGCAGCCGTCCTTTCGCATAAATGCTTGTCAGTTTCGTCATCTGTGTCTTCATCCAATGAATCGAAATCGTCATAAGAAAAGGCAGTCAATGTTGTGTAATTTCTAGAATGATTCTGTCAAAAATAAGGCATGGATCAATATGCAAGTTAGTGCTAAACAAGCATTTGGTACAAAAATGTCAATACATAAAGTAGTTACCTCGTGTTTCAATAGAAAGTTTAGTGTGAAACTGAATAGCGTCAGAACGATAGTAAAATATGTAAGTGAAATACACTATGCCACTATCCCTTGGTTATGTAAGATTTACGAACGAATTGATTTACGTTTTTCGTAAAATACTATATAAGTTTTGAGAACATAATTACAAGTGATTTACTACGAACCAGGCGACAAACTTGGGATTACACCAGTCAACAATCACGCATCATACGACAGATATGCTACTAGTCAACCAGTGCACTCTTAGTTCGCTTGATAATAATGAAATAACTGATGCTTAAGCATAAACTACACAAATTGACAGTTATACCTAAAATCATATTTATTTGCGTTACAAATACTACAGGTTGTAAAATGTTACCATTCATTGTATTCAAAAACGTTTCAGTAAAAATACTTAGTGAGAAAAGTAGTAAATGATTAGAAAATTAAAAATTTTACTGATTTACCTGTAGAGGTTTCTTGAAAGCTAAAGGCATGAAAGGTTGGCTTGGATTTGAAATAACATTCTGTTGACTAAGAACCCCTGGTTCTTTTGAATGAGTTTGTTTATCCTTTTCACTCACAGGTTTGCATGAATTAACGCTACGTGTGGCAGCAATAACTGCACGTTCCGCTGCTCGAACACGTTCTTTGGCTTCCACAAGCTCTGCATCCCGACTATTACGCAACTCATTCATCTGAGCTTCTAGCAACCTTTTACTAAGTACAAGCTCTGTAACTGAAACGAAACACAAAATGGAATCAAACTTCAAACACGTTATGTATGTAATGTAGTAGTAAGATATTTAAGAATGAAACAATAAAGGAAAGTATCAAAAGACATAAACATACATGAGTCTAAGTTGAAAAAACAGGTCGAATCAGCTTGTTTCAAATAAAGAACAGTGTATGATGGGTTGCATGTTTTATAGTAAACAATTAGTAGCTGTTTTAAAAACATTACTTTTCAAGTGTTGAGTATCAAAATGACTCCAAATAAGGCTATTGTGTAACTAAAACTATTTGTTACCGGAAATCTATCAAAATTATACGATAAATGTGACTTTCTTCCAGGAATAAAATAAGTGCTAAGTGAAAGGAATATTGATGACGTGTTTTGTATTATTAGCATTAGAAAAAGATATAACCCGGAGAGTCGACTATATTTGGCAAAACCATTCCACTTATTTCTGGAGTTTCATCAGTCCTAGTGGGCTGGTAGTGGATAAAATCGAGACATGGTTCCAAAAATCTCGTTTGGCTCTTTCTAACTTACACCATCGGTACTTCGAAAGTGTTCATCTTTCTATTGAAGAGTGAGTGTATTTTGCAGTGCTTTACCTTGTTCATTTTATGACTGTGAAACGAGGTCCTTGAAAGCAGAAGGCATTTAAACGAGCAACTCAGTTGAAGTCATAAATCTTTATCAATTGATGAGGCTAGGATAGATTTTATGAATGCCTAACCATCCAGTACCACGACATGCGATGCCGGTTACCTCTGGAATACGTTGGATTAAGCTAAGACTGTACAGGTCAAATTATAGCAGAGAACGACTAAGTCACTGAGTGCTTATTTGAGGGATACAAGAAGCCACAGACGTTCTTATTAAACTCACAGAATGGTCGTGATGCGTGGTTGGAGTAGTTGAGTGATACAGCTCAAAACCGGCCGAAGTAGGGCTGAAGTATTTGTTCTATGTCCTCATTTAGGTGTTATTACTAAATTTGCACTCTCAAACTTTTTTGCTCTATATATTGTTGATTCTCTTTTTCTACGTTCTTATATGAAGCATGACAACCTGGACAAATATATAGTTATCAAGTCATACGGACAAAACTTATGAAAATGAGAACATAAAAACACTAACGACAGATCTTTCCACTTAGTCGAAAAGCACCACCTATCCACTGCAATCCGTTAACGTCAGGTTGTAGTGAATGACAATATCGAAAATGCCAGGATGGCGAGTTAATACCTGGACCTGAGTAATTCAGTCTAACAAGTTACGGTAGAATTCCGAACATTGTTGACAATTAAATACCAATGAAACAGATGAATTAGTTATTTCTACAAAAAGGACTGTGACGCTTGCAAGTCATTGAAAATGGTACCGCTATTCCATATTATCGATTAGAAACAGGATAAGTCAAAGTATTAGACATAGTAACCCATATAGTTTCGAAAAAATTAGTTATTACGAAGAAAACAAACTTTTCGGTTTACTAAAATGAAATAATAGGAACTTATGGACATACCAAAACCTCTCATACAGAGATGTTTCTACAAAGTGAAACAATTAAGTTTCGAAATAAAATTTCTGGTAATCATTTCGAAAACCTGTAAAAGTAAAAGGGGTAATAACTACGGACCTCTAGTTGTCACGCTACTGAAGTTATCAACAAATAGAGAAACGGAGACATTTTAACAAAGATCCTTAATTTGAAATGAAGATAAACTACCTCTATTTATCTTTACAGACTCTAAGTGAGACTTCCAGAAAAAAGACTTACTCTGTTCATCCGCCGCCTGTAAAGCTGCATGCAGACGACGGTTATTTTCGGTGGCTCGTTCCAAGCGAAAATGGACTTCAGACATGCATTCCGAATCTTCTAATTCCGAACGAATTTGTTGCAGTGCTTCTAACTCAACAGAAAGATTTGCCTTCAGCTGTAATGCACTCTGTATTTCTTCCAAAAGTTCTAATGTCAAAAAGAAAACAAAAAGATTTATACGAACTTGTGGCAAGTGGTTAACAAAAACCAACAGATTTTTTATTCAAAATTACGCAAACAAATAACCACGTATGCGCGAAGAGCCATAATTATAGCTTACACTGTTACTGGTTAGCGAAAAAGCATTATTTGATTATTAGAACTTCCAAATAGGGTAGGTTTCGTTTCCATGACCCAAAGGTTACCTGGAATCCCTATGCTTAAATGCAATCTCATATCATCAAACTTGAGGATGGCGACAGATCTGGTTCCCAACATACATGTTATGTACACGAGAGTATTAGATTCCCCCTGTAGTTAGGATACCCAAATCCTAAATGTTTCAGCATTTTGAATGAGCATGTGATCATGATGCTTTCATATCATGAGATATGAAACTCTCCGACTAGAAAACGCATAAAGGTGAAACCTTACGTACATAAATACAAACTTCAATTGAGAATGTGACATACCGTTGTACGACGGCTGTCTTATGTCCCCAGACCTTGGTCTAGATGTGTTCGTAATACCGTAGTTTTCTCCGCTACATAATCCAGAAAACCGACGCTGTAAAGCGGAATACTTTTCTTCGTATCTTCTGCTCCACTCCGACAAAACCTGAGACAAACTAGTATCTTTTCCCGCAGATAGTTCATGATAGACCACCTCCATGGAACCAGCTGTTTTCGAGACGATGAGTGAAGCGCTGTACTCAAGGACTAGTTTCGATGCTCAATTCGTTACAAGCATGGACTGTAGAGCTTACGTCAATTCTTGACATAAGAACTTAGTAACAATTGCTGTGAAGCCTTAGATTGGTTAACACTCAGCTTCACTTTTAGTTCGACGGCACACTATTAGAAAATTTTTCTATGCTACTCACGATGATAATGGTACACAGCAAATCCATCTTACTTTAGCACACGTCACCGTGTAGAGCAACAACCTGTATTCTCGAAAGCGCGCCTACTAGCTCCCGAAAAATTGAGGTTTGCTGAAGATGAATTCAACCACATGATAGATTCAGGACTCATTCGGCCTTCTAACAGCCCATAGGCATCGTCCTTGTATATGGTTCCTAAAATGGAGAGTAGACGCTGATGACTATCAGCGACTGAGTGCAAAAACCATTCCTGATCGTAACCTGTTGCCCCTCACTCATGATTCGACAGCTACAGTGAAAGATGTGACTGTTTTTTCGAAGATCTACTGGGTTAAGGCATATAACCGAATTCCCATAACTGCTGTCCTCATATCTTTTGGAAACTACAAGCTTTGTCATACAAATTTCTGCTTAAGAAATGCTGCACAAACTTTCCAAGGGTTTATTGATGACGTTTTTGAGGCCTCGGCTCTGTGCATGCGTATTTTGATTCGCATGTTCGGACAGAGTATCTCATGGCCAGCTACTGGATCTTGTCTTCGAACGACTACAAAACACGGCATTACGGTAATCATTCAGAAATGTCAAATCAGCACCAATTTTGTAGGTTTTTATGAACACGCTATTGCTGCTTAAGATATCCGACATCTAAAAAGAAAATTGGCAGCCATCCTGGATTACCTAGAACCGACCACCATTAGGCAATTGCTCACGTTTAACGGTACATTCAGCCTAAGACATGCTAACTTGGACTTTTACACTACGACTTTATGGCTGGTATCAGATGAAAGAAACCGGACAGTGTGAGATATGTTTATTAGTTTTCTTAAAACTACTCTCTTGATGCACTTTCCGTTCTAAAAAACAGCCTTCGTTATTCCAACCTTGGTAAATATCAAAACTCATTGTCCTTTATTGCTGCATTTCTCTCATCTGGAGCCTCTGATCAAATTTCATTCTAGCAACAAAAGTTAGTGTGAATTTATCATACCTCAGTCTGTTCCACAACGAAATTTTAATCACCGTTTAGCGCTCATATCCAAGTGCCTTGTTGCTCTTTTTTGGAATCTCTATCTCTAAGTGATAAACTATGGGAAATTTGAAACCCGAAACAGAATTGACGTATGCATTTTCCCTGGGTCATAGTTCACACCAAGTGTTCAACAAACATATTTTATAACAACTGTTAACACCAAATGTTTTATTGCATAAATAATCAGCACGAACAGTATTCCAACAAAATTATACCGAGATTGGATCTAGGGTGTAACGTGGACGCGATGCCACTTTGGAAAAGATTTTGAATACTGTGCTAAGTATAACAGTAAAGCATAAACCTAATCATTAACACTCCAAAATATCTGCACAAATTACCTGTTATTTACTTATTTATTATATTAATCTAACAACCCTACTTCAGAAGCATACCGAGAAAATTAATGTTGCAATTTGTAGATCATGAATATAAGAATGGCGTGTTTCAGATCTGGCAGAAATATATTATTATTATTACTGACATAACAAAGGTTATTAAGGTGACTATTTAACGAGGCTAAGCTGCAACAATATGGGAACAACGAAGCGTCGATTCTGTTAGGAGTGTAGTGTAGTAGTATTCGTCAAAACCACACAATCCTCAAGTCTGAACAAGGGATATCTGGGAACATAGATATCCAGAACTTAACAGGTTAGACTTCATAATTTTAGGACTAGATCTATCATTACAGTACTACTAATAACGAAATAGATTATAACTCTGCATATCATCTCAAAGATAGTTCATTTAATTGTGCGTGTAGCGGTTAGTAAATTGCCGAAATAAGTAGTTTTTAAGTCTTCAACATAAATGGAGACTTCATTAGATGCAAAGGACACACTCTAGCTGAAGGCACACGATCGCACATCTGCATCAGATCACGGGCGGGTACGCCGTGGTACGCATCCCTTGCAACTGCTAGTCACTTTAAACCAGAGGCTTCTCGACGTATAGATAGCTCACAAAATATATTTTCGAACCCCGCCTTATAATTACATAAGTAGTGTTGTTTTCCTTTTATGTTCAATCATTACAGATGATTACAGTATGTTTCGTTATCAGCTGCTCATTCAGTTCATAGCTAAAAACCATGTCATTCTAATTGGAAGTTTAGCGACACAATCATGCATGCAAATCATCAGTGTAAGTAGTCGAGCAAATCTCCTGCTAACTAAAAGCACGACTGTTCAATTTACCCCAAAACTGGCTAAGAATCAAGCCATTATCACAGACATGAGTTGAATGTCTACTCCCCTGGGTTACAACTTATTGTCTCCCTGATAATCACACGAGCATCACTCACTGTTAATCATCTTGTAAAGACTTATTTAGCCGAAGACATCTTGCAGCACCGCATCACCTATAACTGCGGCACATAGGCTTAGTTAATTTCAACCACTTATCCCTATCTCTGTTAAATCGTATTCCGTTTTATGATAAACTGCATACATGCAACTAACTTGTAAGCACCATCAACTGGTAAGTATAAATTTAAATAAATAATCTATGGCAAGTCAGAACATTGAGTCTAGAGGAGGTCTCTCGCGAATACACTCATGTTTAACGATTTGTTCTTAGCTATCTGTTCAAAATTCACATAATTATCACTGTTCACGTACTAAAACGTTTCTTATAACCATTCATGTGTATTAGTAATATTAATAAATTCTGTCACGGTCAAGTAAAAATGAGGTCGAGAAAATCTCCCTGTAACTAAATAAACCGTATCAAACTGACTGGAAAAATAGTTTGAATTCTTCTCCAAAGTAATAATTTTTTCTTTCAGTTAGCCTACTAATGCAGATGCAGTTGGAAATCAAAATATATGGACAGCTTAACGGCATAAACGTTATGTGTCTTCAAAGTTTTAGTCAAAAGTAATAGCAATATTAAGATTTCGTCAATATTAATTGTTTTTAGTATTTCTAAACGCAAAATACTTTGTACCTATAAATTAGGTTCTTAACCAACGGCTATTATTACGCATCATACGACGACTTATTAAAATATCCCTACATGGAATCATTTTATCACTATTGTGGTCCCACGTTTTAGCCCAAATTATCTTCTTAAATTTCATTTTAAGCGTGTTAAGCATCAAACCAGACATTAAAAAATTTCACCGTGTATATCCCGACCAGACGGTGCCGCTTTTTTCTGATATAATTTTCAGCTTATCAATTCCCGGAGGATTTACATTAATTTTGATAAACTCCGGCGCGCGACAATCCCACTCAATTTGGTATCAAACCAACGTCACATTGATTCTGGTGAGAGAGTAATGCAGTATCATTGTGCCCTAACCACACAATCCTTAATGCTCAACACGAGACACTTGGGAAAATAGATCTTCAACATTTGACGCGGAGAAAATCTCAACGATAGAAAGGCGGGAACAATGAATTGAATTAATATAAATTGATAGCACGGGTTTTCGCGCACATGTAACATATTGTTGTAGATTTTATGTGTCGTTATTTATCTGCTATTAACAGCCTTTTTTCCATCATACGTGACTCCTCGTAATCTTTGTGATTGGAAGATAGTTTTTATTTCAATTTATAAGCAATTTGACGTATTTCGTGCTCACCACCTTAGTAAATATGTAGTTGGTGTGGCTCAGCCTCACAGGCATGATCGCTCTAGCCTATGTGTGTTCTCCACCACATATTGGTATTTTTAACAGTGCGATGAGTCAATGTGGAAAATGGTGTGACTTCCACACAAGATCTTATATACTAGGCAGTTAGCATTAGGTCTATTGCTAAAGCACTATCATAATGGACCGTGTTTCTACATCCTCACTAGTGATGTTTCAGAACCTTACGACACTTTGAAGAAGACTATCCTCGAAAGTGTAAACCTAACCTACCGACGACGGTTTGATCAGCTTCGCCACAGCATCGAATTGCAACACGTCTCAGGGACGAAAATGTTGCTGCCAATGTGGGTGGTCACTGGTAGACAGACGCTTGACGACAATACGTTTGGATAGCTCTTCTTGTTTGGACTTCATCAACTGGTGTGAGCAGTTCCTATCTTGGCTGCATCTACAGACTGTATTTTGGAGACCACCAGAAACCCTGGCACCGAGATTTATTCTGTCGAAGAAAAGCCACACAAAATGACATTACAGGCCTCTGCTGTACACTCAATCGTTATCTCTATATTAGTCCTAATCTCAGACGCTCTAAAGTTCCTCAGAAAAGCTCGTCACGAGAATGTCTCAAGAGGCAGATAATCCTAATTGGTGCTGGTACTGCAGTAAATATGATAAACTCTTTGGAATTTCCAGGAAACTTTGAAGTTTCTCAATCTCCAAAATGTCTGACAATAAAAGACCTACGGGACATTTCCATGCCAGCACGCCTTAACGGCAAACGCGACTGGTAGACACAGCTTACTGTTAGACATCTCTGGTGTGATGACGAAAATTCACTATCTCTTCGACACTGGTAGAGAAGTTAGCGTTCTTCCCGAGAGTATCAGCAACTGTCCGCGTGAGCCGACCCTTAACTTACAAAAGACATGTGGAAAACCGATTGTCGCTTACGGTAGGTGACATGTTTAACTTAACATGGGTTTACGCAAACTCTTTCTTTTGATTTTTTTCGTAACAGGAGTTCCTACACCAATCATTGTTATAGACCTTCTATAATGCCATGACCTATTCATCGACCAGCGTGAATGTAGCTTAGTCAATGATAGAACTAAATTAGTTGTTTGTGAAGGTTTATAGCTCTTCAATGTCAGACAAATTATCCATCCATACTATCAACTCACCCTAAAATCTTTTTCTTT